ACCACGCGTGGGATTACCACGCGTAGAATTACCACGCGTGGAATTACCATGCGTAGAATTACCACGCATGGGATTACCACGCGTAGAATTACCACACGTGGAATTACCACGCGTAGAATTACCATGCGTAGAACTACCACGCGTAGAATTACCTCGCGTTGCATTACCTCGCGTTGCATTACCACGCGTTGCATTACCACTTACCAAACTTTCCCACTTCGCACTGTCCTGAACTTCCACCACCCTAATCTCCCAATTCCTTAAAATGAACCCACCAAAAGTATTTAATTTCGACCCAACTAATTTCCAACAGTAATAAAATCTACCTAACTACAACTCCAAAAATGACTCCCCCATCCAATTAATCCCAAAAAGGTTAACCGTCCAATTATTCAATCCAAACAATTTTATATTGCATTCTAAAAAAAGAAATGATAGAAAGGAAGATATAAAGGCGTCATAGTTCGGGTGAATTAAAACGATATCGGATTCCATCAAGGTAATGGAAACATCGTGCCACAAAGAGAGGAGTAAGTTGGACAGAGATAAATGAACTCATGTATGTATGTATGTATATTTCATTCTCAGATGGTCAGGGTACACGAGTGACGTCAAAACACTCTGTGCCAACCTGTCGGCACGATATGCATATGTACGGTGACGTAAGCAAAAAGATTTCTCTGGGCAGCGGAAGGAAGGGGGCAAGTATGTTCTTTGGTGACTTGGTCCTTATAACGTTGACCTTCCATTTTAGGCTGCGGACCACGTGTACTGTTTGAAATGACGTCGATGGACTTCGATTCGAGGCGATATATTGTGCGCGGATACAAAGGAGGCTTCTTCTGACTAAATATTTAGGTTGACTCTTGTAGTTTGATCTAGATTTTAGAGGCATCGTGGTTGCGGATTTGGAAAGTGAGTGTACAAATTTTCCTACACTTTCAAGTCTTGATATTCCCAGGTTTCTTCACATTAAAACTAATAAACCGGTCAAATTCCCAAATTTCTAGATCCTCAAATACCGGATCCCAAAATCCTAAATTTCTAAATCTCCAAACTCCAAATCCCTAAATCCCCAAATCCTCAAATTGCAAACTGCCCGCATCAGTTCGCTCTAGGCTTACTTAGATATACTTCTACCGCTGACACAGTTTGAAACATTGACGTAACCCGAGCCGAAAAATCCGTGCGTCCAGTGAAATTGGGAAGGTCGTAAAGAAACGTGGTTTTACGACTATTTTATAATGGAAGAGAAATTCCAGAGAAGAACACAGAAGTTGTAAAGAAGTTGTGGGCTATTTTGGAGAATTTTTACGACAGGTAGTTCTACAGTTCTAAATTGAAGCTCTATAAATCCGGCATAGGACAAGAATATAAAGATCGAATGCGGTCATTCGATTATTTTCATTGGTTCACCGGATACAACGCATCCGGCACTCGAATAGCGTGTGGAATATTCAGAATAATATGCCGATTATGTATATAGTAAACTCAACAAATATTATAGTAATTTTAACGCTTTATCACTGAACTACATTTTAACTTGAGCTACTCAATTAAATCAGCTACCCAAAATTGTACGAATAAGGTGAAAAATAAAATCCGTGAAAGTTACAAACATGAGACGAAAGAGATAAAACGTTAAAATATCTTCAATCAGTAAATTGCGAAAGGTTCGTGATGTAATTTTATTTTCAACGCTGCTCTCTGTTCCATTCTCGAGGCAATTTCCAGAATAGTAGCCATAAATTGATGAAACGTAAAGGTAATCTTATTTTATCCGTTCCGTTCGTAGTATCGTTCGTTAATTTTCGTTTTCTCGTGCTTCCTTTGGCTCAGTTTTCCTCACCGCGTTCGGGTCTTCCACTTCGTATCCTTCGCCAGGTATTGGATTTTTCACGGGATTGTGAAAGAAGCAGCGCTTGCCGTCGCCCCACGGGAAAGGCTATCGAAGGGAAATATTTATAAATTATTTATAGGAACAGGAGGAAAGGTCTCGCGGTTCAGCCTGCGTATAAAACGAAGAAGAACGAGCACGAATTAAGGGAACAATATCAAGTTTCTGCGGTGAAGGCGAACGATTCGTACGACTTCATTAATCGATTACCGCACAAATGGATTACGCTGCCGAGATGCATGGAACAAAGAGGCTCGTTAAGCATAAGAATCAGTACAAAATCCCCGGGTCACGAAAAAACATGTTTAATTAATTAGGAATGCAGGCAGCAAGAGAAAGTGAAGAATAAAAAGCGAGCAATTATTACCACGCGTTGCATTACCACGCGTAGATTTACCACGCGTTGCAACACCACGCGTAGAATTACCACGCATTGCATTACCACGCGTTGCATTACCACGCGTAGAATTACCACGCGTGGAATTACCACGCGTTGCATTACCATGCGCAGAATTACCACGCGTGGGATTACCACGCGTGGGTTTACCACGCGTAGAATTACTACGCATTGCATTACCACGCGTGGAATTACTACGCGTTGCACTACCATGCGTAGAATTACCACGCGCGGGATTACCACGCGTAGAATTACCACGCGTAGAATTACCACGCGTAGAATTAGCACGCGTGGAATTACCACGCATAGAATTACCACGCGTAGAATTACCACGCATGGGATTACCACGCGTAGAATTACCACGCGTGGGATTACCACGCATAGAATTACCACGCGTAGAATTACCACGCGTAGAATTAGCACGCGTGGAATTACCACGCATAGAATTACCACGCGTGGGATTACCACGCGTGGGTTTACCACGCGTAGAATTACTACGCATTGCATTACCACGCGTGGAATTACTACGCGTTGCACTACCATGCGTAGAATTACCACGCGTGGAATTACCACGCATTGCATTACCACGCGTAGATTTACCACGCGTAGAATTACCACGCGTTGCATTACCACGCGTAGATTTACCACGCATTACATTGCCACGAATCAGACTTTACATTGCCACTCTCTATATTGCATATCGAGTCAGAAATATGTTTGATCAACTATATCTAAAGTTAAATATTTCTGATAATTAAAAATAGGTAGAAGTATCTCTAATTATGTAAGCACCCTATGTGTGATTCCCATCCACGGAACATCCTCGTATTCTGGTCTAGGTTTCTTCTTCTCTTCAATTTCTCTCGAATATACGTAGATCGAGGTGATAATCAGCAGCGGCATCATAACGAAGCACACCAACATTTGCCAGAATTTTTCCTTATGCGAATCTACATTTACAAAACCACATCGTTATTGTATAAACGTACTGGCTGGAAGAATTTCGCCAATCTAACCGAATGAGTCACTGTACGGTACTCCAATTTTTCCGCGAACGTACTTCAAAAATTATTATGTCGTAATCGTTGCCTGGTACTTTGTGTCGTAACAATGAAACAGATAATAGTCTTTTTCTAGGAGTTGCAACGTAACTGTTCTTTACAGGTACTTTAATTATTGATTATCTAAGTGGTGCTGATAACGTTTGACGTGTTCTTATCACTGGTATTATTTGTACTATTCAATGTTATAAAAGTAAAACATGTATGTTTGTTGCTTTAAGGCATTTATACGTTAGACCAACAAGGTGGTAGACTAACAAGGTATATTTCTATGGATAGATTCTGGACTCCTAGATATCTAGATATCTGTACATTTACGTCTTTCTATTTCTAAGTCCTCAAATATCTCAGACACGAATATCGGAGCTAGATATACTAGGTCGTAATATTTGGAAATTATGATGTTCCTAGACCTCGATATACTTAGATTCAGATATTCTTACAATTAGATAATATCTAGATACCGATATGTCCCTACACCATAAATAACCCTCTGTCCCAAATATCCCTAAAATTCGTCGCTCCTTGAAAAAAGTATAAATTACCTGGTTCCTGGCAATAATCTTTTATATTAGGACAAGCAGACGTCGAGCAAATAGGTTCAGGATCAGCGGGAACCGCTTTGCACGGTCTCGAAGATTCGGAACACTCATTCGAAGAAGGCTTCGGTTCGCAAGGATCAGCGCTCTGTTTCGCACAAATATTCTCGAAGCTCTTCTCACACGTCGGCTCAGGGGGACATTTTTCTGGCTTTGATTCTTTCTTGCAGGAGGAGAAACTACGGACATTCTCGTAACGAGAGATTATCATTCGACAAGGACTCTTACTTCCCTCGGAATCTATGCCCAGCGAAAGGTCCAGGCGCGTCGGATCGTTCGCGAAAGAAAACAGTTGCGTCGTCGAATTCGAGAGCTGCGAACAGAGATACCTCATCGAAGGACACGGGTCTTTGGAGAACATCCAAGCATGGTAAATCGTCGTCAAAGGGAAATGCGAAACAATCGACGATCTTTTGGCGAACGAGAAATTCCTTTGAACGTTCAGCTTCCTTTTAGCGGAATCTTCACGCTTCTGTATACTAATGTCCCCCGACGTTCCGCTGAGTGTACTCTTTCCTGAAACGAACTTCGGTTACCACGCGTTGCATTACCACGCGTAGAATTACCACGCGTTGGATTACCACGCGTAGAATTACCACGCGTTGGATTACCACGCGTAGAATTACCACGCGTTGGATTACCACGCGTTGCATTACCACGCGTAGAATTACCAGCGCGTTGGAATACCACGCGTAGAATTACCACGCGCGGAATTACCACGCGTGGAATTACCACGCGTAGAATTACCACGCGTTGGATTACCACGCGTAGAATTACCACGCATTGCACTACCACGCGTAGAATTACTACGCGTTGGATTACCACGCGTAGAATTACCACGCGTAGAATTACTATCGCGTTGGAATACCACGCGTAGAATTACCACGCGCGGAATTACCACGCGTGGAATTACCACGCATAGAATCACCACGCGTTGGATTACCACGCATAGAATCACTACGCGTTAGATTACCACGCGCTGGATTACCACGCGTAGAATTACCACCGCGTTGGAATACCACGCGTAGAATTACCAAGCGCGGAATTACCACGCGTAGAATCACCACGCGTTGGATTACCACGCGTTACATTACCACGCGTAGAATTACCACGCGTGGAATTACGCACTGGCGTAAGTGAATAGATTTCGGGTTCGATTACAAACTGATCCTCGGAATGGAGATCGATGCTTTGACGAGCCGCAAATTACTCGAAATGATAAAAAGGACATTCAAATTGGATCGAATTGAATCGCGTCGAATCGAATTGGGTCAAATTGAATCGTGCCGAGATGAATCACGAGGATTTGAATCGCGCTAAAACGAATCGTGTCGAACAAAATCATTGAATTGTATCGTCGGTTTGACCATATCCTAACAATGAAATAAACTGAAAAAAACGTTCATAGTTGCACCTTGACATTAAACAAAATACAGATCTCCAGAGTTTTTCCTTGAAAAGTTTGAATTAGATAACGCGTATCGGTGTCCTGTCGATAACAAGATGTCCTTGTATTAAACAACTTCTCGAAGATAAAAAAGAGAGATTCTGTACCTTCGTTTATCGTTAACAGTATTTTGCTCGGTGATTCGTATCTGACAACATCTTTCGCCACACAAACGAGCGAACCTCCTTTTATGTTCCTATAACGACGTTCCCTGCACGTATTTCCTTTTGTTTCATCCAGGACATCGTCGAAACTCGTGTACGACGAGAAGGAAGACCGTTCGTTCTCGTTATTCGATTTGATTAAGAGAGAACGCGATAATTCGTTGGAACTCGCGACAGATACGAACGACAGAAGTTTTAACCTACACAAAAGCGGCATAGTCGCCATGTTGCGCGTTTGATTGCTCGACGATTTATCGTGCCTCTTGCAGACAAACTCGTGCACCGCTTTTTAATGCATTTTTCTCCGAAGAAAATACGTCGCCATCGAATCAGGAACGTGGCTTTCCCGATCGCGAAGTAAGCCGACTATTTTGTCGCGTAATTCGTTCTCCTTTGTTCCTTCGAACATATTTTCACGTATATGGATATTTCAAGAATTCGAGACATCCGGCGTATCCTTCATAAAACTCGATAAAAGCGTATGCACAGTGGATGTGAGGATACAACGTACTGATATAGCGTGCCAGAATATTTTGGTATTTGCAAATTTCGGGATTTCAAGATTTAGGAATGGAGATATTAAAAAATTTGGGTAGTTGGAAATCAAGAATTTAGGGCTTTCACGATCTGACGACTGCAAATCTTATATGTGGTGATATGACGTGTTGCAATCTAACGCATGGCGATAAAACACGTGGCGATACAACATGTCAAAATCTCACATGTGGTGATACAATGTATAACGATCTAATGTGTGTAAATCTTATATGTGGTGGTATGACGTGTTGCAATCTAACGCATGGCAATAAAATACGTGGTGATACAACATGTCAAATTTCACACATGGTGATACAATGTATGACGATCTAATGTGTGAAAGTCTTATATGTGGTGATATGACGTGTTGCAATCTAACGTATGGCAATAAAACACGTAGCGATATAACGTGTTCAAATCTCACATGTGGTGATACAACGCGCGACGATTTAATACGTAAAATTCTAGCGCGGGACAATATAACGCATGGCAATATAACGTGTGGAAAATGTAACGCGTGGCAATATAACACATGGAAATATAAAGCATGGCAATGCAACGCACAGTATTCTAATGCGTGAAATTCTAACGCGTGGCAATATAATACATGGAAATATAACGCGTGGAAATATAACGCGTGGAAATATAACGTGTGGCAATATAACGCGTGAAGATATAACGCGTGGAAATATAACGCGTGGAAATATAACGCGTGCAAATATAACGCGTGGCGATACAACGCATAGTGATCTAATGCGTGAAATTCTAACGCGTGGTGATATAACGCATGTCAATATAACGCGTATTGATTCAACGCACAGTAATCTAATGCGTGAAATTCTAACGCGTGGAAATATAACGCGTGGCAATATAATGCGTGGAAATATAACGCGTGGAAATATAACACGTGGCAATATAACGCGTAGCAATATAACGCGTGACTATATAACGCGTGGCTATATAACGCGTGGAAATATAACGCGTGCAAATATAACGCGTGGCGATACAACGCATAGTGATCTAATGCGTGAAATTGTAACGCGTGGTGATATAACGCGTATTGATTCAACGCACAGTAATCTAATGGGTGAAATTCCAACGTGTGGCAATATAACGCGCGGCGATATAACGCGTGCAAATTTTACACGTAACAGTATACGTCGAATATTTGATATCCCAGTATTTCTCTGATTTTCTTCTGTAACATTATCCAAGTTTATCGGACTTATCGAGTAATTTTCACACCCGTTCAGTTCGTTTTCCAGAATACGCTAGAACAACTCGCTTCCTCCGCGTTATCTCCGTTCCATAACGAGGATCACACTTCCGGTACACGATCGCAGTTTCAGTGACGCTCGCAATTCGCAACGTATTTATAGCAGTCCTTCCGCTCTTCCATTTGTATTTGCCGTGAAGTTTCGGTCTTCATCTAGTGGAAATTCGTAGTGTAATCCGAGACACCGACGATTCGAACAGGTAGGTGCGTTTATCGTGCGTAGCTGCTTTATCATAATTCGTTTAAATCTGCATCGCATTCATCTCGTTAACGTGGAGGAAATATTCGTTCATGAATATGTTAATTTTATTAGGTACTATAAAGTTAACTAATGGTGTCTGCTCATCGTTGCGTGATTCCTCATATACCGATTAACTCGTCATTAAGAATCTTTACTGCGTTATTCAACTAACTGTTTACTCTTTAGCCTCGTAATGTAATTACTCTGAAAATCTCAAATCGCATTTAATTATTGGATTGGTGAAAAAGTCGTGTTGTTTTGATCGCAAGATGACATTTATTCAACGATAGGTGTAGACTATACACTGTAGAGGATCAGTGCTAATTAAACAGGGATCTTGATCAACAATTTTCCTCATACGTTTAAAAAACAAATAAGTTACATAATGTTTCAGTTGCATTATCCGTAATTTCTTCTCCAAAAACTTTTAGAAAGTAATACCAAAAATTTCCAACTGTGCACTGAACATGTTAATCCTTTCAGACACACGTCCTTAAATTCCAAATAAAATAAATGTCATGTACCGTTCGCCAGCCAGAAAATCAGTTCCGACGGGACACGAACGACTGATTAAAACGTATTACCTTCACACGTATTTTCGGCACGACTGAATAATTAGTTGCAACGGGGATGTCAATTAGATCAATAAACAAGGACAGATTTATCGACCCGCATTTTTAGTTTCAACTCGTCGCAAGGTTTTAAGCGAAGTGATTTTAGGGGCTCAAAATATGGAGAGCGAATACCAGTACGTTTCAACACGGTTGCGTTAAATTTTCACCTAATTGCTTCTCCGATACGAATCAATGCCCGTCCAATAATTAGATCAGCATAGCTGAGACACTTAGATAAATGCACAGCAGAATAAATGGGACAGCACGTCGAAATGTAGTCTAGCGAAGCGCCAGAATGTCTGGGGTCAGTAGAAAGTAGTAAACACGTAGTAGCCACCCGTATATCAACTCCGTTGCTACGTTGCAATACCAGGAAAATCCTTTTGCCATTACTTTTTGCACCGCCACACAATTCCAAAAGAAACTCTCTAATTCTCCTGGGGACCATTATTCAACGGAGTCTTTCGAATCAAATGAAATGGATAATCTCTCGTGCTCTTAAACTCCTCTAGGTAGAAATATGGAGGCGTGCGTAGTTTATTTCTCACATTTATAAGGGTCTTTTTGGGATCTTTTGGGATTTAGATTCTTTGTAGATTATGGACTCTTTGCAGATTTACTTTAGGTGTATCTTAAGATTTGGAGATTGTGGAATTTTGGTAGTTGGAAATTTTTTAAGTCTGGGACTTTGCTAGTTTTGGAATTTGAGAGTTTTGGGAGGTTGTTGTATTGGAATTTTGAGGTGTTGGTATTTTTCAGTGTTTTTAAGTTCTGGGACTTTGATGATTTGGAATTTTAAACAATGATCCATAGTAAATCAACTAAATAACTAAATAAAACTGACGAATAATCGAACTAATATATCAAACTGAATGATGACAAACTTGAAAAATAATTTTATAATACAATATCATTTCCAAGTTAGGACCTCCTCAAATTTATAAATTATTTTATCAAATTTTAAAGTGATGGCTTTTCTAAAATTTCAAATTATGACTTTGTTAAATTTGCAAGTTGGAACCTCCTCAAATTTATAAATTATTTGATCAAATTTTAAAGTGATGGCTTTTTTAAATATTCAAATATTAAAACCGATAAAAAAAATTTTTGCTATAGGCACAATGACGCGTTCGATTAAGAACACGTTGCATATCCTTCGGTTTTTCTGCCAACACAGATAATTGTCGTCATCCAACGTTTTTTCACCGGTATCCTCTGGCGTTTTATCTAACGTTTCTCTGCCTCGGGTTTTCCTCTCCGATTATATTCGCGAACACGTAGAAACAAGCATTTCGCTCTTTGAACTTCAACGTTATAGCGACGGTCGTAAAAATTTTACAGCGAAGATGGCTTCCTTGGAAATTGCTCGAATAATGTCAAAGGTTCGAAGTTCCATCGCGAACTTGGAACATCCCTCGGATGAATTTATTGAAAGGAATGGATCTCGAGAGTCCTTCGTGGGCTTAACATTGAATTACTGCTTTTGTGTCTCTTGTATCGTCCCTCGTTTGCATTCACTTTCAAATTTTTCATTCAATTTACTGCGTGCCGCTTTATTCCGAGAGGCATTCGGTTCTAGAATTTTAATTTGTTTGTGTATGAATTCTGTACCATTTCTTTTGAGGTACGATCATTTTCAGACGAAGTGGTTAGGTTAGGTTCATTCTTTTCAACTCTGTGCACGATGTATGTGACACTTATCTTATTTTATTGTAAATTTGAGGAGGTCCTAACTTAGAAATTTAACAAACTCATAATTTGAAAATTTAAAAAAGCCATCACTTTAAAATTTCATAAAATAATTTATAAATTTAAAAAAAAATCAGAACTCAGCTATTAAAAAATATCAAGTTACAATTTAATTTTCCTTCCAGATAGCATTGACTGTTAAAAAAAATGTGAAACCTCGTTTAAATAAATGTGCATTTATTTTTTGCGAACGAAGTAGATTATCTCGAAGGTGATGAAGTACCTCGATCAACGATAGACTGTCTGTTTATGAGAAACAATTTTAAACACCACATTGTAAATTCTGACGACGTCATCGTGCAAAATCGATGACACTGGCCCTCATCGAGAGATTAATTATTTCTGTTTCGTCCAACTTTACAACGAGCCAATTGAATTTTCCTTGCTCTGGCAGACTTCATGCTCGTTGAAAATTAAAACCGACAGTGAATTTTCCTGCTAATGAAAACGTAAAGTCACTTTGGCTATTTCTGCCAACATTTATTAAGACGATCTTTAATTCTCGCATGTTCTAATTTTGAAATGTAAAGTATTAAAGATAGAAAGATAAAGTTTTGAAATAAAAAGTTCACATTTTGAGATCAAAAATTTTAATGAAACATTTAATTTTTGAGATAAAAAGTTAAGGGTTGAAAGAAGTTTTAATTTCAAATTTAAAAATTGTAAGAAATTTAAAACAAAAAATATTTGACTTTTAAGATAAAAAGTTTAGGTTTAAAACAAGGTTAAATTTGAAACTTAAAAATTGTTTATAATTAAGACAGAAAAATGTAATTTTGAAGATATAAAGCAGGTTTAAATTTCAAATTTAAAAAAGTAAAAAAATTTGAAACAGATAAAATTTAATTTTTAATATTAAAGTTTAAATTTTAAAATGCATTTAAGGGTGTGTATGATGATTGCAGGGGTGAGTTATCGACACAATCAGTAAAATAGAGGGTCTTGGCCCACCTCCAGTTAAAAATTGCAGTTACACAAATGAGAATAATATTCAAGTTTATTTGCCACAAGGTGATATAACAGAAATAAGGTATCGAAGGCATTCCAATGGTTCCTTTCCCTCGTTCATCGCGCGATTACGTGTAAATTAGAGCGTTCGTTAAAGAAGAAGCCTTTCGTCGACCCAGTTTCGCCTCTGCCTTCGTTACACCCTCAGCGTTTGCACCGTAAAGGATTTCCGCGTAACTTTCCAATTACAAACGGCCAGTTCAATGAAAAACCCTCGTTTCTCGACTAAACTTTTCTGCTGTTACTTTTCCACCAGTTTTATTTCTATGTATACGATATCTCGCCACATCTATAATTACTTTGGTTCGTACATAACTTCTGTACAAAGCGTTATTGGTACTGAATTACTTCAGTTGCTTTGACTGAATTAACTGAGTTTATTGTTTATTTAAAACACTTGAGATTTCATTTGCAAATTTCACATTTGTTTGCTAATATTTATTGGTAATATTTTGTTGGTATTTGTTGATAATTATTCAGGAATTTAGGTTGAGAAATGGTCTAGAGATGAAGTAATTTTATTTTGAGATATATTGCCAAACCTGTTACATATTCTTGGGATGTAATGCCTTCTGTATATTCTTGTATAGTTAAAAGATAAGGTGGACAGAACTGATTAAAACTACGAATTGGATATTTCAAATATATCGACTGGATCATAGTTAGACACTAGACTATAATTTGGAGTACTTAGATTATCGACAACTTCGACATAAGTACCATTTGCTCTATCGATTTGGTCATTGGTACCACTTGTTCTATCAATACGTTGATGATCAGTACCATTTCTTCTATGAATACTTCGATGAAGTACTACTTTGATCAATCAATACTTTGATGATCAGTAACATTTTCTGTATAAATTCTTTGATGATGTACTACTTGATCAATAAATACTTTGATGATCAGTAACATTTTCTATATGAATTCTTTCATGATGTACTACACGTTCAATTAATACTTTGATGATCAGTAACATTTTCTATATGAATTCTTTCATGATGTACTACTTCTTCAATTAATACTTTGATGATTAGTAACATTTTCTGTATGAATTCTTTCATGATGTACTACTTGATCAATTAATACTTTGATGATCAGTAACATTTTCTATATGAATTCTTTCATGATGTACTACTTGTTCAATTAATACTTTGATGATCAGTAACATTTTCTGTATGAATTCTTTGATAATGTACTACTTGCTCAATTAATACCTTGATGATCAGTAACATTTTCTATATGAATTCTTTGACGACATATTACGTGTTCAATTAATACCTTGATAATCAGTATAATTTTCTCTATGAATTCTTTGAAGACATATTCCTTGTTCAATTATTACTTTGATAATCAGTAACATTTTCTCTATGAATTCTTTGAAGACATATTCCTTGTTCAATTAATACTTTGATAATCAGTAGCATTTTCTTTACGAATTCTTTGATGCCTGACTCTATTTGTTCAATCAATACCTTGATGAGTACAATTTGCTCAATCAATACTCTGATAATCGGTACCAGTCTCCCAATACTTCTTTCATCAATACACATCAGTATCAAACAAATATCGATACGATTCAGAGATTATCGTAATAGATAGACGAGGTGAGAGGAGCCCGAAGAAAACGAGGTATACCTAACCAGGCACCTAGGCCACGAGGGTGGGAAGTTCGACCCGTCCTCTCGAAATGTCAAAGGTTGCCGCGCAAGGCGCATCGACGTATCCCCGTTTTCCAGGAGCCACCAGGCGAACCTGATCCTCATTGTTCCGGCTCTATCGTCGGCGAATAATTATCAACAATTCCATTCTGCGCCATTTCACTCGCAAGATCCTTGAAACACGGGAGTGAGGAAACGTTCGACACCTCGACACGTTCTGTCACTTATGAAAGGGGGAAAGAGGCGTATATTATGATATTACTTAGGAATCATCGATTTTTCCTAATCTAGAAACGCGGCTGACACCATGGTTGAGTACATTACGCATGCTAGGTGTGACAGTGATGTAACTAGGTTTTTAGTTCGGGGTGGATCACTAGCTCTGGTAGTAGTTATTGCAATATTTTGGAATTTAGGGAGTTGGGAATTTGGGGATGTAGGGATTTAGCGATGTGAAGATTTCGAGATGCAGAGATTCGGGGATATAGAGATTTGGGAATATAGAAATTTAGGGATGCAAGGATTTGGAAACATAGGGATTTGGGGATGTAGAAATTTGGAAAATGTAGGACTTGGGGAATGTGGGAGTTGGGGAATGTGGGAGTTGGGGAATGTGGGAGTTGGGGAATGTGGGAGTTGGGGAATGTGGGACTTGGGGAATGTGGGAATTGGGGAGTGTGGAATTAGGGAATGTGCAATTGGGGAATGTGGAATTGGGGAATGTGGGAATTGAGGAATGTGGAATTGGGGAACGTGGGAATTGGGAAATGTGGGAATTAGAAAATGTGGAAATTGAGGAATGTAGAAATTGAGAAATTTGGGAATTTGGAAATGTGAGAGTTGAAGAATGTGGAAATTAAGGAATGTAGGAAATCTGTAAATGCAGAAACCTAAAAATTTGACAACACCAAAAATTCGCAAATCTAAAAATAAAGAACCAACGTACTAAAAACATGTACCTTAATAAGCTTAACAATTTAGAAATTCAGAGGCTTGTAAATTTAATTAAAATTCACTTGTAGTGCATAATCACGTTGATGTCAAGTGTAAAGGAACGTTAAATCGAGAGCCTCGACTATTTGATCTTTTGCCCCATTATTTTACCCTAAAATAACGATGCAATTTCAAGAGTAAAGCAGTCAATCCCTTAATTAACAAGGCAAGTTGACGCGCCTCCAGATTGCACGTGCACACCGTGAAAACGTTCGAACTAACTACCAAAATGTCATCCACGAGTGAACTTTGCCTATCAAGATCCATTCTGTGATAGAAAGGCAGAGGCTGGAAAGTGATTCGACGTTTGGCAAATTCGATTTATGTGTAACGCGGCAGGAAATACTATAGCGAACTATTGAGAACCGCAGCGGTGAGGAAAACTGACTTGGTATCTGTGGCGAGTGTTAGTAGTGCATGAAGATTTCTAATTTGGGAATTTGGGAATTTGGGGATTTGGGGATTTGGGGATTTGGAAATTTAGGGATTTGGGAATTTGGGAATTTAGGGATTTGGGAGTTTGGGAATTGGAGAATGTGGGAATTAGGGAATGTGAGAATTGAGGATTGTGGGAATTGGAGAATGTGGGAGTTGGGGAACGTGGGAATTGGGGAATATAGGAATTGGGGAATGTGGGAATTGGGACATGAGGGATTTGGGAAATGTGGAATTGGGGAATTTGGGAATTGGGACATGAGGGATTTGGGAAATGTGGAATTGGGGAATGTGGGAATTGGGGAATGTGGAGTTGGAGAACGTGGGAATTGGGGAATGTGGGAATTGGGAAATGTGGGAATTGGGAAATGTGGGAATTGGGAAATGTGGTAATTGGGGAGTATGGAATTAGGGAATGTGGAATTGGGAAATGTGGGAATTGGAGAATCTGGAAATTTGCAAATTTGCAAATCCAAAAATTCAGAAATCTAAAAATATAGAAACCCAAAAATCCCAAATTTGAAAATTATAAAACTGACCACCTCATCAACATCCGCCATCTTGTGCATCCTTACCTTCCACCCCATAGACCCATTTTAGCTCCACAACTTATCATTAACATTTCCCTAATATGAAATATCAAACATTAACAGCACCCTAAGAAATTTGATCTCGAAGAAGAAAGAATTCTCCGAACTTCCTACCTGAACAGTTTCCCTTGAATCACACAATCGCTCGTAATTAAATGTGTTCTTTACCGTGGACGACAGAAAAAGGTATCGAGAAATTATTTTTAGACATTGTTCCCCGGAACTGGAAGCCCGTAAGTAAAGGTTATTGTACCCTGCAACATATTGACTTCTCGATAGAAAATCTATAAGAGGATTACATTACCCTCATTACATGCTATCGTGTACTGCTTTGCATTATCTCCCCTACCAGTTCATTATCATCGAAGTGCATTACGCTGACATTGAGGCGTATTTTGCGGACTATTCTTGCGCGGATATGCCACGGATTAATTTAATGAGCGTCGTTTGTGGGAGGAAAGAAGTTTTCGAGTTAACACAATCAGTAAACCCAAATTTACTAAACGTATGATACTACTATAACTTGTATATATTATTATTTTGCGGATAATTAAATTCGACGAATGATACTACACGGTTCTATTGGAATCCATGTATTGGCTGATGTGATTAATTTCGTCGTCCGTGTAATGCCACGGTAAACCGCTATCCACGATGCTAATTACAATCCATGATAGTTTCGAGTGATCTACGCTTTGACACAGTATACGCGTAATTCATTACCTCCGAGATCAAATTTTCGATCTTAATTTTTCTATTACTAGATTAAATTATTTTCGAATGTTTAAATTAAATTTCAAACTCACGTAACGTCAACAACTGTATCGATTTCAATGAAGTAATTGAACAGTTCGAGTACCACAAACGCCACAAATAAAATAACACGCAACACGAGAATCGCAAAGGTACTTCGAATTAAAACAGTTAAAAAGTAGAGATATCTACTTCAGCGTAAATATCTGTTAAAAATGCGTTTAAATTTTATCGATTCTTCGTCATTAATTACGACCTATAGACAAAGGTGAAAAACGCCGACGAAGCGGTTCATTTTAACCCCTTATGGTTGATAAGATATAACGAGCGTAAACACTAGGCCCGAATAAATTCGTCACGTGAACCGTCATCAATTTCAATTTGTGCCCGTTTATTATCTCCGTAAATAGAATTTAGATTTTACGTTTCATTAAACTGTGTCGAGCTTCAAACGAAATACCTATATGCAAATTTATCGACAAAATAAAATAACGGTAATTCCTTTGAAACGTTTTGTTTTGACTAGAATTAATGAGATATGAAAGCATTGTCTCTTTAAATGGCAAACACTTGAAATAGAAGTTTGGGACTTTGAACTTTTTAAAATTTAGAGACTGTGGAATTTGCTGTGAAAATGTTTTTCTTATCTATGGTAAATCTGGCGATGGAAAATTTCTAATATTCCCCTTCTCTTCGTACTCTAAGCACGTGCTTATTTTGCCTAATGTTTGATTCAACGCTACCGACGATCTATATTTTCGTACAAACGGAAATACGTAGTTGGCAATAGATCCGACAGTTAAATTCTCTGAAGAACTGATCGATCACACTTACGTTGTGTCGCGTGTGGCATGCATGCACATACATACCAATTCAGCCACAGATTTCAACCACTCCTCTTCTATGTATCCACGGTTCACTTGTACAATGGTGTGTCACGTACGCACGCATACGAACGCGAGCAATCATACGCAACTACCGCGATTATCCCATTGCGAGGTGTCTATCGTTTTTGTCTGGTTAATCCTGACAAAGATAGAGGGAAATATGGAGCAGCTCTTCCTCAATCAGTAAAGCAGATTCAACCAGTTCTGATACGAGTATCGATGCACTTGTTCCCGCGTGCAGTGATCCAATTTAACGAGGTAACTAGTCATTTCTAGACCCTTCGAATCCCTCGAAAACAATCGCCGCTTTAAATCGAACGACGCATCCTGTAAAACGAGTCATCGATTAGAAATCATGCCTGACCTTTCCTGTGTGCATCGAGCATCGATACATTTAATTTGTATGGTCATGATCTTTTCCAGAGACGGCAGCTGTTACTTTCATTTTTGGTGCGGTTGCAGCCCTGTTGTTTGATCAAGTTTGCAGTGTTGCCAGCAGAGCGCGCCAACGGCAACTCAATAAAATCCAAAGAGCGCCGGACGGGCGGTGTTCCGCGAAGCGTGATGAGTTTGACAGCTCCCGCGTACTGAACGTTATTCAAAAGTCGAAAATCGATCGAGAGATGCGGCCGAAAAAAAATCCTTAACACGTTTCCGTATGCATCCACGCAAGATCGTCTAATATGGGAGAATGGTTGGTCGTAGAATCATCACACTGATACTTTTTCTGGCAGGTAAGAATGGAAATTCACTCAGCCGTAAGTGCACCTGCGGATCAATGTGATATTATACGTTCACTCTCTTTCTTGCGTTTGTATACGTGAACCGTATAAATCCAGCTAAGTACACGATCGTTACGATTCAGGGTCGAGTTATGTAAATTTTAACGAGTATTTTGATTTCTCGGCCGTTCCATTTCGCTTTTTATGCCATTTCTTGTTTCGTTTTCGCGAACTTTGTCCATATCAACGGGAGGAAAATGCAACAGTTCGAAATTTTCTATTCGATTTGTGAATTTACATAAGATACATGAGTATTTATCAGATAAACTTGTTAAAAGTATGTTTTTGTTTTTACTTAAAGTTATATTTGATCCTATGCATAATAACAAAAATAGTGTTTATTTGTCATGTGTGGATGTTGCATGTGAAATAAGATTTCAGGATCAGAGTATACAATAATTCATGTCTATACATGGATTAGTACTATATTATTACTATTTGCCATACTATTCTTATTTTATTATCTTACTATATAATCAAATAAGCCTAAACATTGACTTATAATTTAATCATAGCTGGAGTCTGACTCAAAGAAAAGATTTGACCAAGTGTTTATCAGATCTCAGGTTCAGACTCATTTTTACTAAACTATGAATGAAACATTTTTATATATGTATGGAATTCTAAAAGATTTTAACAAATTTAAAAAATAATTTTATAACTATAAATTGAAAATGATAGATAATATGTAAAAAAACAATTTCATATATCCCATTATTTTTTATGTTTAGCATGGCACGAAGCAGTAACTTTAGTGCCAGTACGCTCCGTGGCTGTAGACATTGGGCAAAACTTGACTTTGGCATGTGCAGAAGAGGATGCACTACCACAGTCAGGAGAGTCTGTAGGAGTGATGTGGATAAGGGAGGGACGCGAAGATGGACAAATTGAGCGTCTAAAAGTTGAGCCTAATGGAGCTTTGGAACTTCTTAATGTCAGTGCACATGATGCTGGAAACTATTCGTGCACTTTAGATGATGATCATGATGCTGTCAAAACTAGAGTCAATGTACAAGTTAGAAGTAAGTAATAACTTGATTATATCTTAAAAATGACTGTATATTAATACATTTAAAACAATTATATTTTATTTTCAGCTCCTCCTCCAGCTTTACACAATGTATGGGTAAAACCGTCTACGATATTGGCAAATATTCTTTGGGAAGTAGCTGACACAGGTGGTTATCCTATCATAGATTTCACTGCCGAATATCGTCTTAAACCGAGTGTAGGTGAAGAACCTGAAGACTGGAAGCCTATTGTTCCAACGCACATTCCACCAAATTCAGTAAATAATTTCTATTGTATGGAATAAATGTTGTGTTATTAATAAGTAGACTACGAATGTTTATGCATTCTGCACACAAATTATATGATTTTCGTTTACCGTAAGCGCATAAACATCGGTAGTCTATTGATAAAAGTTATTTATGCTAATGATTTTTATAGAGGCAAATTGATGTATATCACTTGGTGCCAAACACGACTTATTCTTTTCGAGTGTGGGCAACAAATCAGCTGGGAAGAGGAGAAATTGTTGAAGTTGAAGGTCACACTCATCACAGTATTGAAGAACTAGGTATATCATATGAACTTTGTTATGTTGTAAAACAGGATTCTGCATGCAAAGAAATCAATATTTATATTCAAATACAGTGTAGCTTATTAATTGCGATCGACAATTCTTTCAGAACTTGCAAGACATCTCTTAGCAGGTGTAGAAAACTTTGATACTCGTGTCTGGGTGGCAGCAGTAGGCATAGTTATGGGTACACTTATGATTCTTGGTATAGGTACTTGTTACCTCCTCTATCGTGAGTGCAAAGTACCCTGTAAGCATTTCCTGGTAACTTTATCTAAAGGCTTTTGCTTCTACTCTTTCTCTTTCATGCTATTTATTTCTGCTGATGAAATTCACTTTCTTCTATGCAAATAAACTAAGTAGAGCATACTATAGAATACTCAATCTTAAAAGTGAAATATAAATCTGTTATTATCTAGAGAACAAGATCTGCAGCAGAAACGATAGCATCACTAACCACTTAACTTATCTATGGCCCTGATCTCTAGCTTTCTTTACATCAGCTATTCTCCTCTCAATCAATTTAGTGCTATTCTAATACAGTGCCAATTATCTTTCACTAATATTTCCTTACTGCAAGCGCTCTGCAAATTTACTAGTATTTAATGAATTTTTTAGCATTTAACTTTAAAAATTTTATTAGCATTTAATGAGTCTTCTTACAATACCATTTTAACATAATAACACTTTTATAACTTTCGCACTTAAACACCTTACAACATAAGGCACTAAAATAATGTGTAACATATTTTTACTTTTTCTGTACAGTTTGCCTGTCAGTAGCACCTTTAATACTCCCCATAGGAATGAAACCTAAAATTTTGAATGAACTTTTATAACCACCAAACTCACTGTATCCATTTACAAGAATCGTTTTACTTTACTTTCTCCCAGTTTTATCAAATATGTTATGTTTAGAATTAATAAGTTCTGGTGGTTCATATCAAATTTGTTATGCAGAATGATTAGTGTCATGAATAGAGAGTATTATAATAGTAATAGAGCATTATGGCCTAGATAACATTATGTGCTCTTAGTATATCTTTGATTATATAAAATATAGTCAAAGGTAGCACATTTATATTTGCTGGGTAAACAATGTATTTACCTGAATAAACAAATTTTCTGATACATTTCATTAGCCGTACTTTTTATGTGTCAAAGTAAACCTCGAATTTAATTTGTGATGGTTCATCCTTAATATGTTTAACATAAAATGTTTACGAGCATTCGTGGCCTAGCAAAATATTTGTAAAGGGAGAGGGTAGAAGCTAATATAACCCGTGGCCCAGACCAATGAAAATTAATCTCCGTTCCCGAATTGCAGCGCAGCTGGAGGAGCAGGAGGTGATTGAACTTGTACCCAATATCATTCTGAATCCAGGATTTTTTGACGAAAGAACAGAACATATTCCGCAAGATGAAAATTTCAACAACCAAACTACCACACGTTTGAACAATAACAGCGTTGTGCAACCTATGCGACTTTAGCGATTTAATACTTAGATTTCTGTGGCTAATTTTTTATTAACAAGTGGCTTGAGCACAATTTATGTGTCACCTTAAACGTAAGTAACTGGAATTACAAGAGGCCTCGAATCCACCCAATATCGCGCAGAATGTAGAATCGGGTAAGCGGTGAGAGGATGATAATCATCGCGAAAACTGAGAATTTGTTTTATTTATAGTCAGAAAATTGAGAAATGCATCATACATTCTGAGTATTCTAAGGAAGTCAACTTTTCACTTACAATACAATGTAAAGTGTTCAAAGCATATGTAAGACTCTGCTAGGTTTTGTGAAACGGAGTAGAAAACATTTTTGAAGATGTTTACAAGGAAGTTCCAACATTAAAATCCGATGTTATTGCTCATTAATCGAGCTTAAAGTCAAGAACTCCTGTAAGCCAAACAAATATTCTTAGTAAGACTGTAATTCTAAGAACAAAAAACGAAATTACTGAAAAATTAAAGTTCGTATGGCGTTAATATAAGTGGCATATATTGGTCTTACATTCTGCATGAACATGACATGTTTTTACAATTATTTTTAATCGTTATTACCGGACACAAGCGAAATTTTAAGGGACAATATCATGCAGAAAGTAAGATTATTACAAACTACACATAATCGGAATAAACAAATTTTGTCAGACGTGAGGTATGATAAAGGCTTGCTTACTGCCGTTTTAAGGTGTGCAGAAGTCGTTGGTAAGAAAGTTCCTTTTTTTGTGTCTTTTAAAGATCTATTTTTTTTTTTTATTTATTATTATAAGGATTCATTGTTTTTGTTTTTAAAGAATATGTTGAGAATTTTTTCTTCCAAAGAATTTAAGATTACTAAACAATGCACCATATACTCTTTCTGGAAAAAATCCTGCGAATCAGAGAGTGTACAGTGTAAAAATTATGGTACTCTAATTGAAAAGTAATTCTACTATGTTAGCATTATTTATAGTAATATTATATTCTTCATACTTTTAACTTTGCATGCAATCATTCAAGATAATATGTAATGCTTCAACATGCTTTTGCACTACCTTAATAACAAATGCAATATTTACCGCTACAGAGTTGTAAAAAAACTATAAAATCAAATTTTATCAAAAAACAAGATTTTAAAAAGCGCAAAATAGCACAATTTTTCGGATGATAAGTTTCAGTATCAGAACTTTTTAGAAAAGTAAAGAAATTCATCGATAATCTTCGTGATATTCAGCGAATAAGAATTATTCCTGGGCATTGCGCGTTTCAGTTCAATTCATTCCATTCAGGTTAGCAGTAATTATAGGATAAAGTAGAATAAGTTAAAATATTTTGGATATCACCTTTGATAGAATCAAGTTTGATAATCGATTGTTGAAACAGATCTTTTTCCAGATATTCATTTTCTATGATACAAATATTGTCGTCTTATTCAAATTGCATAACAAATTCAACTTAGTCAATCAAGGAAGGTTGATGATTTTGATAAACGTTCTTCCTGTACAAATACATAGTTATTTTCCACAATTTACAAGTAGTATCATATCAGAATTCGTCATTATGCAAAACACCTTATTATAAACATACGTAGTAGCGAGTGCTTAGCATTGAGGCTTTTCTTAATTCTTTACCTAAAGTTCTCAGGAAAAATTGAGAGATATGTTTTGTGATCGTTGTTGTTCTTTTCGTTTAAATTAAGTTCGATTAAGGCTCCCCACGTGGCGAATATAGAACTGGTTGTGGAAATTGATTCTCGTAATTAGTCTTTCATCTGTTATTAGTAAAGTTCATATTGTGAGAAACATAATACCTTAATGACTCTACTTAAAACAATTGTATAAGTTAATATCTTGCTTTTGTCAATATAAGAAACTGACAAAAAGCAATTTGGTGCACGCAGGTTGTATAAATATTGGTTGTGCGTTGTTACATTGAAGCTTTATGATCTGTTCCTCCCTTTAGCATAATATTACAGGGATGAACAGACTCAGTTCGGCTTCGTACTATGCACTCTGTGTTGTGAATGGTATATATACGCGCTAATGAAAAAAAAATAATACGATAATAACAATAATGATAACGATATAAATATATATATATATTTATATAGCCGAGGCATCGTAATATTTTAGCTATAAGCAAAGACAATTTTTTATATAAATAATAATAATGCTGAAATGCAGTGATGAATATTTATCTACATATTCATATAGATAATTTTGTGCTATGATATCGAGCTTCAAGAGTGATCTAGTAGATTTGCCCATTAAGAGTATTTCTTGTAGAATATCATGTTCCTTCTTTCTTGCAGAAGAGTCGTGTTATATATTCTTTCATCGAGACACTGTATAAAATAACCATCATTTTGACAAATTTTAACCAATACAATATTTTTAAATATGAATAATACGTATACATAAAATAATGGTATTCATTTTCTACGCAGAAGAAAGGGTGTTTAATTTAAAAAATACAGCAATAATATATTCACCAATTCGGAACACGACCCTTCACGTTTCATGCACATTCAGATTAAAATATGATCACTTGTTTCTGCTAACTAACATAACAATAGATGTACTGTAACTTAAATGTTTAACTGTCTCTATCAAAGCTATCTGGTGAAGGCATAGGTTTTACATTTAGTGGCATTAATATCGTGAAACCTGATAAAAAAAAGTATAAATGGTACTTGGAATATAAAATGAAAAATTATTCTTATAACTACTGGCTGCTATAAGAACTAACATTAAAGCTTAGTCATCTGGGTTCAGAATTCTGCCATTGCATATTATAGAAGATCAGCATATCTACCTATGCAATATAGGATGTTCATGAAATCACTTTCATTATATTAGGAATACAATCAGTAAAGTAATATCATTAAAACCAAGAGTAAAACTATAAGATAATAATTATAATTCTTTCTTTGAGGATATATAGTCACTTTTTTATCACGAGTATTATGTTTTTTTAATTAGATACTTTAAATTAATTATAACATTGATAGTAAAATCAAAAATATGTTGCTAAATTTAATTCTATATAGACATTTTTTACCTTTATATACCAAAAAATTAATCAGATCCTATGACAGCATTAAATAGATATATTTTTATGAGGTAGATTACAATAGTACAAACCTTAATAATTATGGCAAATATTTTATGTTTTTGTTTCAGATTATATAAATTTGGCAAAAATTAATAATCTGTTAAATTTCTAGGTAGTTTTGTTTTTATGATCATGCATTTTCAGATAACAGATGCTATTAAGCACAATGTGTGCATAGGATTTATCATTATACCTCTGTAGTCAGATGTATTTCATTGATATATTTACTTCACATAGCACATGTGAAACATATATTAAGTAAAGCACAATACCATAGAATAGTGTAATGGTTGCTGATGGCACCATGAATCGTCCCTAACATACATATTGCTTGCTGATGACATACCAGAATAAACGGAAATTTAATGTGGTTTTTACAAAAAGCTTCAAGTTAGTTGTGCTTTTTATAAAAAAGCCTTCTTTCAATTTCTCATCTGAGACTTTATGTACAACATCTGTATTTACAAACGAAAGCAATTGTAAATACTTAATATTTCTTTACTTTTTGTAAAAACTACACATCTGTCATGTCATTACCTATTAGATTAATAATGTTAGTTTAACAACCTTACATTAAGTAATGGTAACGGAGATTTATAATGGTAATTCCAGAAATAATGTTATAGAAAATAAGTATTAAATTTTATATTAGTTTGTGTTAAATTATACTGTGTTGTGTTATATAGGAGCCAAAGTATTTTTGGTGATTTCTTTACGTAAATTATTTGTTTTATAAAAATGAAAAAACGAAAACATACATAGGAAGCAACATTTGTATATACTGTAAGCATTATTGTTTCATTTCTGTATTTTGTATAAATTGTTATATGTGCACGCTTGTTTAATTTACTTTATTTATGTCATATATATTTATATATATATATATATATATTTATCATATTATTATTATTATTTAAAATCTGATAATACTCCATGTCCATATAGTGTTGAGCGCTATCTTAAACTCAATGTTACCTTAATTTTAAACTAGTGTATGGACTCATTCCATTGCTCTTACACATGGTTGTAATATTTAGAAAAATGTTTTCCTAATACTAACATGTTCATAGTTTATTTTATAAACTATGAACAGTGCACATTCCATCACGTACAAATCCTGTATTAAGAAAGAACTATAAAAATGTAATGTGCTTGATTTAAAAGTTTAAGTATTTTTGTGGAAAAAAAATAAAGAAAGTCAAGGTTGTGCTTGAATATCTGATACTATCATTAGTTAGAATTTAGCTTTCATACTACAGTTAAAAAAAAAAAACAAATATTAGTTACATATCAGACAAAGTATAACAGATCGATTTATTCATCTCTATTCTAACACTTAAATACTGATTACAATCATTAAAAATACACTGTAGTAATTAGCGTACCCTGTTCATTTTTTCTTAGAATTTAAATAGTGCTCTAAAAATTTGTTAAAATTAACATACTCTGTAACATCAACCTCGTAAAAATACTTTTTTATATTAAATAAATGTTCATTACAAAATTGCAATCAGAACATTAATATAACAGTTTAAGTATATTTTTTTTACATCATTCATTAACTGTAGTATTATTCACATTTTAATTGTATTATATAGCAGTATACATGATCGGCATACTTAAAAATGTATGTACTACGTGTAGTTCTAACTCTACATTCTTATCACAATGGTTGTCACAATGGTTGTCACTATAATCATCATATTTCACGTAAAAAATCATACAGATTTATTTATAAAATTCATTAAACATATTGATACAATAAATAATCATTCATAAGATATGACTGTCTTTTATTGTAATGTTAATCAGTATCAGTTGATTGTGTTAAAAGGAGTGTTTTCTCAATGTCTGAGCACAGTTTTTTTATATAGTTAGGTGTAGCATATTCTGCAGCTAAAATAGCATTTGCCACTGCTATTGTTTCATGAATGGTCCTTGCTTTCACCCAAACCCTCCCATTCATACCAGCTGCTACTTCAAATGCTTGACTATTCGCAAGTGTTTTAAACAATGGAGATTTTTGATTCAGTATCTTCCGAATAAGGCTTAAAGAACATGTAAAGAGCATGCCGTCATTACTTAAAACACCTAGGTTCTTTTCTTTGCCATGAGAATCTACACAGACAAGCTCTGATTCCATATCTTTACTAGCAACTAAAAGTTTTGCATACACAAGGTCTCCAACTTGAATGTCAGGACGATTTTTTTTAGTAGCTCCTTCAAATGCAAGGTATGACAGAGATGCTTGATCACTGGCTCCTATATCTACTTTAAATATATCACCACCTTTCTGCGTCACTATACCTACTACATTTTCTCCACGGTTTGGTATATAACTGCAAATTATATTGTACATGTTTGATTATTTGAAATATTACTATCAAGCAATTTCTAAATGACATTCAATTACCGTTTTTGATAAGTATCTACATAATATACAGCTGGTTCTGCTTTTTTCAGTATACCTGCTTTATATGCAAATACTGTATCAGCTTCGCGACGAAGACCGGGTCCTAAAATAATTGTTTCCTTTTTGTTAACAGTTGTAATATCTTTCACAGTATCGCCAGGCATCACTACATCCCCTACGCTAACTTCCATTTCTTTTTAGGAATAAAAAATTTCTGTTATGTGTTAAAATATAATTTTGATATAGGTTATAAGCACATGACATTTATTAAAATCATTCATTACCAAATATTTATGCAAATATATATACAGAAACGACTTTAATGTATTTGAAGAATTATTCTGCAAATAAAATGTCTATAAACAATACAATTTTATGCATAATTTCATCATGGTATGTCACGTGTATCTTCTGCAGTGTGTTTTCTTAATTTCGCGCTTGGATTCAAAAGTGCATGGCTTCTGCGCACTGTATATTACATAAATTGATGCAATACTTATTATGAAGCATTAACCTAATAACGTGACAAATAAATAAGCTCAGTTTACTGTTTAAATTATTGGATTAAACGTAATTGATGCTTTTGATTAAATTGAGGAAACACTTTTTGTGAATTAATTGCAGAGCATGTAATGTATTTTATTTAGTTTGATTACTTATTCAGTAGAGATCATATTCAATTCGCGCAGCGTGGCTAACTTGAGCTAACTTCAGTAGGCTCCCCACCAGTTAATGCGGTGCCGATACGAAATGTGTTTCTTAGTTAGCCGGTCATATACGCAGTGGACTGGATGCATGAATTGTAGTAAGAGACATACATCGTTCATAACTAAATCTGAAAATTTAGGAATTCAGGAGTTGTAGAATTTGTGAACTTGGGAATCTTGGTATTTGGCAATTTGAAACTTTCAAACTTGCGAAGTTTACTGTTTTGGAAACTTCGATCACTGAGTATACACAGCTGCATAAAAGCGCATGTCTGTTACTGTTAGTTACGATGCATACTCTAGCCAATCGCAGTTGATATGCGCAAAACAAACCTAAACTCGTCGAATAATGAGTATGATCTCTTGTTGAACGAATAATACGTTCATGGAAACAATGGCGCCACCGTACAGTAAGTTGCGAGGCTGCCGCGTGAAACGGTAACGCCATAGAAATTGTGGTGCTCGTTGTTTTTTTTCAGTCATCGATTTCATTCGGTAATAATTCGTGAAATCGACATTTGTGTGGATGGCACAACAAGATCGTCAGTGGTATTACTAATGCTAAGGTAATATTCTACAATAACGTAAAACATATACTCGTGAAATTTGCGCAGCATTCGCCGGATCGATAATTGATTTGGGTGTATTATATTCTAACCTACCTTCTCGTTCCCTTCCAGTTATTAGTTCTATCATGTCATATTGTCAATCAATTTATCATAATTCAATTAAGATTTAGTGCCAAATGCTTGAGTAAATTATTATGGTTTACTTTGTAATCACAGTGAAAGAAATCTTTATTTAGGTTTTTAAATATAACCACTATAACGTTTATTGTTCACTTACTGTCACTCATTGTTAAGATACCTATTAATCGTTAATTATGTATAGAAATGCTGTTTTAATACTTGTCATTGTGTAACTATAAAGAAAATATGAATAACATAGTTTTATTTTAATTTCTTATTTCCTTTTTAGACTTAAGTTTGTATAGACTTGACATTGTAATATAACATATGTGAATTAACTTAGTTAATTTACTGAACAAATTATTATTGAAACATTGTTAAATATTATTTTTGTATTAGCTGAATAAACATTTGTAATTTTGCAGATTACTTATATCGCTAATTAATTGAAGTCATAACTTTATTATACGTGTAAAATAAAAGTAATGCAACTAGTACTTATTTAATATAATTCAGAACTACCCTTGCAAAATGAATATAATATTTATACAATAATTGTGTTAACTTAAGACAATAATAATAACGAAAGTTTTTTATTTTACATTGCAGGCATAATACAAAATGTACAATGGTATTGGATTACAAACACCGCGTGGTTCTGGAACTAATGGACATGTCCAAAGAAATTGGGCAATCATACGTAAAACAAAAGATAAAGTCACGTATAAAACTGACGAAGGAAAATTAGACCAGCTCAATAAACAGCCTAATAAAGAAATTCTTGATCATGTTAGGAAAAGAAAAGTTGAAGTAAAATGTGCAGAATTAGCAGATATTTTAGAGGAACAAGGGTAAGTATTTTCAATACCTTGATATGACAAAAAATCAATGTTAACATAATGATATAACAATGAACTTCAAAGAGAAACAAATAAAAAATGTTCCTTAGATAGAGGTTTCAATGTTACATATGTAATAAATGTGTAAGCTTTATTCACTCCTTGAACCCGATACTAAATTAGATTTTAAACTTCTATTGGATTTAGCTCACCTTTGGCTTCAATGCATTTCTTTCTCATATATTTCTTTGCCAGTGTACTGTCCATAAGCATATAAATAACACAATTAATAGTAACCTGTTTGTTGCATTATATAAATACTTGGATTTTGTCTTACAGGTTCACTACCGAAGAGGTAACAAAAAAAGTAGAATCATACAGATCCATGTTAATGGGAACTGATACAAAACCAGCAATATCTAGGGATGAATTTGGCCGTGTAAAGTAAGTAGAATTTTTTCATTATTCATCCTACTATATTTCTGCGTTTGTATACTTTGTGATATTGAATAAACAAAGTTATCATGTTTGAAACAAATTATATTGTAAAAAACACTGGTTTGACGCAATATACGATACAAAAACAGCCACTTTCCATAACCTGTTTGCGTTTCTTTATTAAAAATCTCACAAGTATGTACATATAAGAGCTTTCATCTTTAGCCAGAAACGTTGCTAAAACAGTTACAACTCTTCTCGAGCCCCTGTCTCTTCATACACGACTTAAATCGAAAGTTTGAAAACCTCAGGATCTCTCGTGTAAACGTTGCGCGTCTAAGACCGCTTGAAAATCTGAAGATCGTGATCGCGAGAACCCTCGGGGCAAGGACTCAATAGTTACTCTACTGGAAGGCCGTGTAAATGCAATCTTCGAGCACTTGCACCCTCTCATCGAGGGCTCAGGTTCCCGCTAAACCCAATATTATTGGAGGGTGGAGACGCTCGCGTTCCCTCGAGCCGGCTTTCAGGGGTATTACACCGGCGATATCGACGTACCCCATAGCGCCGGCGCCACCCACGAAAAGGGAGAGATGCAGAGAACACGGAAAGAGAAGAGAAACAGCGATATCTGTCGGCACGAGGGGAGGGAGAGTTCGTTCCAGCATCTCACTCGACTTTTCCGCCTCAGTGCGAGGATGGACCGGCGTTGCGACGCTGCGCGTCGTCGACTCTCGACGGGTGTACACGAATCGTCGGCGAAAGGACAAAGGAAATTAGAAAAAGGGAACATGTAACGATCTCGTGATACGTTAGCTACGAAAATCACAAAAGTCTTCCATTAGAGTATAGTCCATCGATATTAGTAGTCGTAAGTGTTAAGTCGTCGCGTTTAAGTGTAACTATCCTAAGGTACGTAAGATCAGAAAAAAAGATATAATACGTGCTCGAATAAGGCTAATTTTTTGATCAAAGAATTTTTATGCTGGGGACAAGAACCTCACGTGTCTGAAAGGGATCAAATCCATGAATTTTGTCCCGAATAATCCATGTGTCTCCAAGTCAACGAGTAATTAAATCGACGATAATTAAGAAAAAGCTGTACACGCACAGTGTACGACGATAGTGTGCCTGATCCGAAGTCTTCCTTAGTCTAAGCTAGAATACAGCCATATATTCTTACACGAGCCACATACATCTATACACTACTGTACAAACGCGTGAAAAGCACAAAGAATCGTACAACGGAGAAGAATAGTCTGCTGGTTGATGGAGCAATCCCAAGTGGAAATGAAGTAAGAAGGGATGATTTAGGGAGAAGCTCGTTTCAGCGTTGATTACTCTGGGGAGAAGCAATCGATCAAACGACACTGCGAAAAAAAACTCTATTCAACGGAGAGGGAGGAAATAAAGAATCCAGCGCGAGAGACGAAAACTGACGTTTCCCGTCATTGTCACCGGATGATTGTTCTTGCAGAGAAGCTTTGAATAGAGAAGCAGCGGGGCTGTAATCGTGGGAGGAAGCCATTACCTGCGCCTCCACCCCCATCCCTCTTCCGCCCTCCTAAACTATCAAAGTCTCCCTCGAAAAGGGGATTAAGCTGCATCGGAAGTACTTGCACAGCGTGGCCCAACCGGCAGAGCTCCTTAGCGTAAATTAGCGGCCGATCGCCCTTAATGCTCATCTAATTACTCGGCCGTTAATTATTCGGGCCGGAGGGGCTGCCTGGTGGTCTGGCAAATTGGATGTTGAACGAAATGAAACGATTCGACGACAACGATACCGGAAACTACCTACACACCGCGGATCTTTATTAACCGGACATTGTCTCGTCCCTGTAGTTAAGATCGAAGTATTCCGTTAAAGAAGCTTGTTAAAGAAACATCCAAGTAATGAAGGGATCAAACATCGTGCTTAGACGTAGAGAAGAAAGTTCGCAGGGAAACCAAGTTTAAGAGGATCCAGACACGATTATTAGTTTAAGAGGATCAAACGAACGAGAAGCGTTCAGTTGCCTGTTTATACTCGAGGAATGACTATGTCCGTAACGGTGGCTCCCCTGAAACCGGCACGTGGACGCGGTCCAGCCGATGGACGCGCCTTCTTCGAGACCCTGTGGCGTGGCAATTTTTTCCTGGACAGACAGAAGGTCGCCAAACGATCAAGGAAACGAAAATTACAAGCGGCGAACGGAAAGAAACGGGCACAGCTGCAAATGCGACAGCATTGTTGCTGTTGTCAACGCATACAACTGCATCTTCTCGCCGGACGGCGAAGCAACGTACGCTCCGTCGTCAGGTGAATTTACTGCTGCTCACTTTTTATATTTTTAACTCTTTGACTGTCGAACCGGTATTGTGGGGAGGTTCGCGGAAGAGTGCTTTGATTATGTAAGCTTTTGTTGATGGGGTTGAAACGCGGGGCGATCGGATGATGGACAATTTATATATTATTATATATATTTTATTGGGGTTTATATATATATTTTCTGATTTCTTGTATATGTTGTAATATGTATTTTCAAGTCTGGATAATATTTTAGTGTTAACAAGGTTGATATCAAATTGTCAGAGTAAATTTTCAAATTCTAATTCTTGGGTTTCGAATTCACAAATTAAGTTTCTAAATTTAAATATACATCATGAAGGCATCAGAGGTGGAGTTAGGTAACACGTGAGAAGTTTTCTGCGTCATTCCACTAGCCATTTCATCTGAAGATTAATACGCCACTATGACGCCGTAAATTCTCCCTTTTAATTTCGAGAGGGAAAACAGTAGCTTCTCACAAAAATTATTATTAAATGATATAGAATAATTATTTCCTCAGACGATCTCTTAAATTACCAAGTTAAATTTTTAATCAACAGTCAAAGGGTTTAACACGTAGTTCCTCGTTTCGTACAATATATCACTTTATCCAAATATTGAAATATCTGAGTGTAACATTGAGAGTTTCAAGACGAATAGAAAGTTATTTTTGTTAAAAACAGTAATACGAGAAATTAGATTTCTCTAACCGCAGATATTGTTTGTTCCACAGTAACATTCGAGATTCCACATTGATACAAACCAAGAAAATATCTCTTGCAATTGACCATTACTAAAAGATACGTCTTTGAACGTTTAATGTAAATGCACGTTCAAGTTGGCTGAAAAATCTAAAAGCCAAGTCCAACATTAATAGTGGATAAAGAAGCGGAGGGTGAAAGGGGATTAAAAAGGCAAACAGCTTTTCTCTCCGCATTCAGCTCGGGGATGAGTCACTGTTGACTCCCCAATCCTTTACGAAAGGGAAACATTTCCGTGTAAACAACTGTTACCGTTTGACATACTGTGAACATTCAAATTAGGGATCTTTGGATTTCTGGAATTACAATGCGTACTCTTTGAAATGTTTGCTTTCAAATTTAGGAATGAAATGTTTGACATTTTGGGAATTTCTGAAATTTGAGCAATTGGTCGAATTGGAATTCGAGGACTTGGGATTCAGGAATTTGGGAATTGGATTCTGGAATTTTTGAAATTTGAGGAATTAAGAACTTGGAGTTTGAGAATTTGTAATTTAAAAATTCATAGATTTAGAAATTAAGTGTTTAGAATTTTTTAAATTGCAGAATTAAAAATTGTTAACTTGTGAATTAAAAATGTGAAAGTATTAAAGTTTGAAGACTTAGGAATTTTGAAGTTCATGAAATTTGGGGTCATGAAAATTTCTAAAATCAGTAACTAAAAATTTATAAGTTTATTAATTTGATTTTGAAATTATTCTCACTTAAATTCTCAAGATATCTCTACGTAATAGAGGATGTGTATAATCGCAAAAATTTCAAGATAAAATTAGCACCTGAAGGGACTTCCGTTAAATTTACCCCAAGGTTCAAAGCGTGTGTCGAAGGGTAATCAAAAACGGGGGTAAAGAAAAAATGATTTTCCCGGTCAACCCCGGTCGAGGGGTGACTGTAGGCGAGCGGTTGGCTGCTGAATTCGAGCGTGTAGCGGGCGAGTGGCGCGAAAGGGATAGCAGAAAAGAGAACAGCTGGATTGTATTGATCCGCGCTCGAGCGTTGGCGTAGGGGTGGCTCGACCGACCCCGGCCTCGCTCGCTGCTTTTCACTCGCGGGGAAGAAGAGGGGTCGCCTCGATTTCTCCTCGTATACAGTCTCTCTCCGGTGTTATGTCACTACCTTGCCGCATTGTCCGGACATTTTCATCGACTGTTCCAAGAGTTACGACGTCCAGCAACGCCAGTAGCACCAGCAACCCCTTCGCCAGCTCTATGGATCGTCGCGAAACCCGTTAAGTTCGCGCGCGACGATGACGGTGAAAATCTCGACGCGGTACGAATCCTCGAATCTCCCTCCTGTTATCTCCAGTCACCAGGTGATATCCTAAGATATCGAAACACAGTGCCAGAGTGTTTATTTTTACTCGTGACCTGATCACGTGTTTCTAGATCTACGCGTGAATGCGTGGGGTCCCTGTGTGTGACTTATTTCCCTCGGTTCAACTTCCTTGGTATCCACTTTCAGCTTCGAGTCCGTTCACGCGCGAACCGGGGTCGTTGCGATCGCGTATGGTGTAACACCGTGGCGCGAGTGACTTCTCGTTTCCCTGTTGTTTGAGTTTGGACTTCAACGAGTATATCTACTTTCAGCGTTCGAGAGACACACCAGATTGCCGAGGCGCAACAAGAGAAAAATGCCAAGCTACGAGAAGCCTTCGGTATATCGGAGTTCTTCGTGGAAGGAAGTAGCCTAGATCCGGAGAGACACGCGCGCGAGGCGGAGGCAAGAGCGGCCGCTAGCAAAGTGTACGAACTGGTGCGAACACCTAGCCCAGTGCCAAACACGACCTCCTCCCCGGAGAAAAAGAAGAGAAAACGATCCGGTAGCACGATCAAGAAGAAAAAGGGGAAGAAGCACAAGAAGGAAAGGTAAAGGACCACGTAATGGTGCACGGGTCAGTGGAGGCTGGATTCGGTGTTCCAATCATTGTTAATCAGCGAGCGGTTGTAATTGTATACGCATATTGTCACATTGTACTATGGTATATTAACGAGATTGTATTCTATGGCGTTAGTATAAATTGTATGACAGTGACGGGCAAATGTGCTCATGAGAGGACGTGTGTGTGATGGACATTCACGGGCAGTTATAATAATAGTGAGCAGGTACTGGTTTGCCTAGTTGCCAGGAATCGAGAGATGTCTTGATGTCTCTAGAATCCTGAGTAGAGTATACTGCCTTGCGTTATCAGATCAGTTATACATTGATAGCTTGGACGATTAATTTCATATTGTATCATAGAGTTCATTTGTTAATAGTATTGTATTGTACGTCGAGAATTTGGAAATTGATGCATTTTCACGCCTTGCAAAGAGCTAGGCTTTTAGGGCCAAGTATTAGCCAAACATTTCTGGAACGTTGTATCGGCACGTGTTATATTTTCACGCATTCTTATGCGTTGTATGGCTACGCTTTAGATCGCATTCACGCATTAGATCATCACGCGTTACATCTTTACCTAGGCTAACTCATCAATCTAGGCTTTTGCTAGACTCTTGCTAAGCTTTTCTAAACGTCCACGTCGCTGTTCATAAGTTCTCCACTGAGCACACGATCTGCCTATCACTGTACTGAAGCTAACATAGCATAAATACGATGATATTTAATATATTTTGTTGTATCATAGTGCAATGTTGCGATATATATACTTGAAGAAGTGATTGAAGAAGGAAATTCTTTGCAAGAACCTGAATCCAGGCTTCAAGACCGAACGAACATCCCCCCGTAGTAATTCCTCTCCTCCCCCGGTTAATTATTCATTTACCGCAACTCCACACTCGTTCATTTGCTTACTACACACCTCTTGTCAGATACTGACTCATGACTCACCTACTATTTCATGTCCCATACACCTTTCTCTGTTTCAAACAGAACTGAGGAGGACTGAGTGCCTACCTAGTAGGCTCAGTAGGTAAGTGTGGTCGTCGCGTCTACTTTCCAAAAAAAAACACTCTTGAAAAAACGATATTGATCTTCGTATTGAGAAAAGAAAAATCGAGTCGTTGCATTATGTTTAGGTGTTATAGGCGCAATTCAGAGGTAAATGTTTGCTATATTCCAATTCATGTAGCATCAAGAAAACACTCGTAATATTTGTCCGGGTTTAATGAATATGATGTAAAGAATATGTGTAATGGGCAAACATTTACCTGTTATACAAAGTAAACGCGGGTTGTTCTTTTTTTCTAAACAAATAACGTAAAATCTGACGCGTAAATCATGCATTTCTATCTTTGTTGTTGTTATCGATAAAGCTTGTTGTTAATGTCATCTCTCTATTTTTTTCTGACAAGTCCGTCCCTATCGATGGTTATCAAGGTAATGCTAATCCCATATTATATCAATACTCCTCATATTTTGTATACTTGTCTTTTGTAAAGTTTTTGAAAGATTTGGTTTTGTGTATGTACCTTGTCGTAGCTAGTTGAACAGTGATCCGATGCAACAATGTTAAACCAAATCTTTCAAATGAGTGATTCTGTAGTCGGTTTGTTAGCTATAGCCCAATATTGTGACTTTCACCTGTATATGTATCGTTGTATTTATATTTTTTATTACTTAATTCACTTGGGATTGCGGTGAAATAAAATGAGTTTTATTTATTTATTTATTTTTTTTTTTTAACATATATATATTGACAAGTATTAAAGTGTTTACATGCTGCATTTCCTCTCTCTCTCTATATATATTATATTTCTATAAATTAGTTTCCATTTTCTTTTTTTAAATTCGATACCTTATCCAGATGCTGAAATAGTTCAGTGCAAAATTCCGTCGGGATTCGCGTTTCTCAATTGTTACTTTCAAATTTGTTACTTTGGTCGAGTTCGTTGAAAGCAGGTAGCTTGTATCATTAGAATAAAGTATTTGTTTCACACACGGATACATTGTACTACAGCTTTCTTTATTGTCAGCACAAGGTATGCACTTGTCGACAGGAAGACGCCCACTGCAAGAATTAATAACTAAATATTATTAAAAAAAGAAATGAAAAAAGATCAAAAATAAGCAAATTATGATAGCATTTTAGTGAAGCTTTTATTAATGACAAATGAATTCCCTAGGTCGGAATCGCCAAAGGCTAGTAAGAAAAAAGAAAAATCTAAGAAGAAGAAAAAGGAGAAGAAACACAAGAAGACTGAGGCTAGTTCCTCTGATAGTGATTCTAGTGAAGCTTCGGATGATAGCAGGTATAGGTTAAAAGTATATATAACACACTTATAAATATCTCACACATGTTGCTAATAGATGTAATTTTACAGTTCTTCTGAAACTGAATCAAAGAAGAAAAAGAAAAAGAAGAAGAAGAAATCTAAAGCAGAGGCAAAAGAAAAACATGAGGTAGGACAAATGAATACGAAGGAAACGGATACAAAAGTTCTATCTTCCTCTCTCTGACTTTCTATACATACATATACATATTTATAAATCTATATATTCATATATATACCTTAGCACGTGAAGCAGGAGCATGCGACATTTACTTTTATGTTCATTTTTCCCCACCCCTACTTAGTTTGTCGATTATAAACATTGGATTATAAAAGATTTGTGTTGCTGCCTAACTTTGAATAAGCATGATTCATGGCTTGTTTCTGTAAAGATTTTCATCTGATTTCAAGTTAACAGTCATTATTTCAAAAGTGTAAATCTCAGTATTGTTTGTAATTATCAGCGCCATTTGACAGGATATATTCCCTGAGTGAGTACCAGATATGCCGCTAATCAATGTAATAATAATTTGTGATTTCTATTCGTACGAATTTTGCGATTGTTGTTGCCTTTCACTCGTTTTGTGTCGAGCACCATCACATTTGCGAGATTATAATAATAGGAGACTGCTTGTTCTTTGATACAGGTGCAATGCAAAGAATATTAATGCATACAATGTTCACCTACTTTTAATTTTTCTTTTCTTGATATATATATTTCTTTCTCTGTCAGCACACTGAAACTTCTGGTCCAAACATTACATACATTTTAAACTGTCAAATATATTTGTATTAGAGCAAATGAGCAGACTCCAGAAAGTCTTTTTAAAACTTGCGATCTCTTTTTTTTAATCCTACTGACAAATACATATGCATGATTGGTGTTCGTTAGATAATTTTGTTTAATTTAATAATCTGCACTCTTCTTCTTCTAGAAGAAGAAAGTAGCTGTCAAGAGGAAGCATCAGTCATCTGACAGTTCGACAGACAGGTATGTTCTAATTGAAATATTAATTGTTTGAGGTCATCATTGAATTTATATGTCCTCAATAAACGGACAGAACTTTAATCAATATGTGATGTGAATTATTTAAATTTATAGCTCGTCAGAAAGGCCAAGGAAGTCTATGAAACATGACAAAGCCGTGGAAAAGACTAAGAACGACGAGGCAGCGAGTACGACGAAAGAATCTCGATCGAATCGCTCGCCAAAGAAGCAAGAGAAGGGTCGAAATGAAACTCCGCCCCCTAAAAAGAAAGATTCTCCCATCAAAAAGGTTGTTCCAGAGAAAAAGGATAAATCACCGGTTGTTGTACACAAGAGTCCTCCACCACGGCGTCACAGATCACCGTCAAGAAGTAGAATCGATAGAGGAAGATCTCCTAGAAGGTATTCGAGGTCACGACGAATCAGTCCTTCGCCTAGAAGAAGGAGAATCTCAAGATCTCCTAGAAGATACAATAGATACTCGATATCTAGAAGCAGGAGTCGGTCGAGGTACGATCGTTACGGATCACGGCGCAGATTATCGCCTCCTCCTAGGCGTCGAAGGTCTGATTCGCGAAGGAGATCGAGGTCACCGAGAAGGCAAAGAGATAGACGAGAGAGGTCGAGAGATCGTCGTAGAAGTCGCAGTAGGACAAGGAGTAGATCTAGACGATCCACCTTGAGCTACTCTCCCGTGAGGAAAAATCCAGAACGGTACAAACACATATCGGAGGAGAAGAAGAAGCGAGACGAGAAGAAGAGTCGCGACAGCAAACGAAAGTCCCGGTCGAGTTCCAGGGCACGAAAAATGAGAACGATTACTCCAAGGGTTAGGCTACGATCTTCCAGCGAGGATGAAACCGATATAGCAGACGACGAGCCGAAACCGGAGGACGAAGAAAAGATGAAAGAGTTGCACACTCTGAAACGTTTACAAAGTGGATTAGCCGCGAAAGCTCGAGAATCCCTTGGAAAGAAGGCAATAAATCCTATTAAGGTTAAGGAAGAGAAGAAGGAGGATAGTGTACTTGATATAGCTTTACCAAATGACCCACCGAAAATGGTACAAAACCCTATTGGTCCCGTCGAAGAAAAGTCTAAGTCAAAATCACCCGTATCATCTCATCTACCCGCTATTCAGTCCCCAGTGTCAAGTAGATCACCTTCGCCCGCGTTACCGTTGACACGAGAAGAGGCAGCCATAAAAATACGATCTCCCAGTGAATCACCTCCTCCGTTATCACAAGTATCCAATAAAGTAACCTCAAGGTCCCCCAGCGTAGCAGCCGAAGCGAATCACCAGGAATCGTCTCCTAGTACTCCTAAGAAGAAATCCCCGCTTATTTTAGCGTTATGGTTATACGGATCATGGAAATGTTCATCACAGGGCAAATCACCACCACACTCACCACCCCCAGCAATTGCTGACAAGGATGCAACGATAAAAATACGTTCACCCAGTGAATCACCACCTCCGGTACCAAACAATGTGAACAAGTCGAAGCAGCGGTCTGCATCTCCATCTACGTCAAAGAAGAACTCGCCTGTTTCTAAAAAGCATTCTCCAAGAGGCAAATCCTACTCTAGGTCACCTTCTAGAGCGCACGCAAGATCTACGTCCGCAGAGAAAAGGTCTTCCAGATCGCCCAGGCAACGTTCGAGGTCCCTTTCCAGGGAGAAAAAATCACGTTCCCCAACAAGGAGCAAGAAGTCTGTATCTCCCAGGCACAAGTCTTCTGTATCACCCTCCAGATCCAAGAAGTCACCGAAGTCACCGACTAGGTCGAAGAGGTTAACCAGGTCAAGATCTTCTTCGGAATCCAAACACTCGGCTTCAAGGTCGCCCTCGCGTTCGAAAAAGTCCCCTTCTCGTTCCCCAGAGAAATCAAGGTCCAGGAGTAGAACCAGGTCGTTGTCGAAACGGTCCAGGAGTCGTTCGTTATCGAAGAAGTCCAGGAGTAGGTCGTTATCGAAAAAATCACGAAGTCGGTCGTTGTCGAAGAAATCTAGAAGTCGATCTTTATCGAAGAAATCGAGGAGCCGGTCACGGTCACTCTCCAGGATATCACGGGACAAAGAAAAGAGAAGTCGCTCTAGAAGCAGTTCACGTTCTTCTTTAAGGTAAATTAGTTTGATGAGTATTAATAAAATGTTGATGTTTGCATTATTGTTGCAATGTTCTTGTTTCGGTTTACAGTTCAAGACATAGTCGTAGAAGTTTCTCTAGTTCTTCGCGATCATCGAGCAGTGTCTCTAGCAGGTCTTCTCGTTCAACATCCAGCAGTTCGGCCTCTAGCAGGTCACGTTCTCCGTCGATACCTCGACGTCACGGTTCACCTAGTTTCTTAGATAGACGTCGTATTACAAGGTAGGTATCAAGGACACTACTTTCGGTATCGTAGCAACAGGTTTTACAGCGCACCACGCCAAATTTTGTAAGCCCACTGCATTGATCGTAGAGATGTTTACCTTTTCCAAACCTTTTTTTTTATATATATATATTCATTTGCATTTTTTATTTTATTTTTCGCTATTGATACTGTTGTTCTTTTCATTTTAGAAAATTGTTCATTTTGTCGTGAACAATTTCGGTTAGAACAAGCAATTGCAAAGCGATGAATATCGTTAAGTACGTAACGTTTAAGTCATATGATTGAACTAATGCCATTTTGTATTATGTCCTACAGAGACAGATCGAGGGACAGGCATAGAAGATAAAGTTACGGCTTGGCACAGATGTTTCTTTTATTTTCCTACGATTATAATGTAGTAGTAAAGAGAAACGTTATATAACGCATACATACCGGATTTCACTTTGGTACAAGTAAATGTCGGAAAACAAACAAATAGTTTAATAATTATTGAATAAGCGTGATCGTTCAGATCGTGTCGTTTTATTATAGTTCCGTAAATAGTATAAAATATTATAACTTTAACGATATAACTGCAAGTAATTTTCTAAGGGATTATTTTAGGCGCTATGAAAATTTCTACTTTGTAAACGATAAGTTCGATCGCCGTTACTACATTTTGTTTTTATAGAGTGAACATATATATTTACTCTATCGAATTGATAATACGAACTTTATTTCGTCAAACAAGTATATTTATGTTTGTATGATTTTTCTTTCGTTCCTTTTTTTCTTCATTTTTATCTAATTGCTTATAAACAATCTACCGACATCATGTAGATGTAGCATGCGTGTATTTTCCTTATAAATTATTGTAAATTAAACATTTACAGTAGAAGTTCTCTTTTATTTTATGTCAGTCACAAAATAAAATGTATTTACCGCTATGAAGCAAGCCTCTTTCTTTAGTTCAATATTTCTTTCATTGTGTTTTGTGAATCATTTTTGATCCACTACCTTCCATGATCAATATTACAGCAAGGTAAGTGACACATTTTTATTTTGCATGGTATTCCATTTTTTTTTATTGCATTGCATGGTTTAGTTTGCTATTTCCTTCCTTATGTTGTTAATTACAGTATACGTTGATTCATACATTTTGATATTAATTTGAACACGTTAATTTATTTTATAAAACTATTTTTTGACTAATGTGCATTTACCTGAATTTGAACAAATGTTATACGTTTTTACACAATATTGATAGTTGTTAATTTTAGCGCCAGGAAGCGACCAATTCCATATCATCGACCGACTCCGACACCACCTTCGTCTCCGAGTAGTTCAGAAAGCAGCAGACATAGTAATTGGTCAAGTCCAAGTCATCGATCAAGTTGTTCCCCAAGTCGGAGTCCATCGTATACGCGTTGAAGCGATCAAGTGGATCCCTAAAGACACTCGACGTTCCTTTTAATGGATCAGATTTGGAATGGTGCGGGTCACGGATATCTTTCACGCTTTTTCTAATGCTGTTGCATCATACAAATCATGTTTATTAACAAAAGTTCTACCTATTTTCTCATATCAAAAAGTATGATTTGACAAAGAAGACGCCATTCTAAGTTTGATGCATGATATTTAAGTATTTGTAAATTCTTAATAGGCATTTATACATTTGATCTCATGACTTAATAATACTCATCAGTGGTGATTCACCATAATGCCATCAGCCTCAGTATTAGTAGTACTTCTTGTCAGGTGAAGCTAATATTTTTAATTTCAATCAAGTGTTCAGAATCAGTGATTTCAATGTAACTACAGTGCAATGATTGTATTAATTGTTAAGGCAAATTTATTTATCAGGAGATCATTTTTTATAATTTTGTGAAATTAAACGAGACTCTAAATAATAGAAATATGATAATATGTTGCGATATGATCGTTTTAAAAACAATTATTATCGTGGATTATGCTGTGTCACAACTTTGAGAATTTTAAGTCTCCATATAAAGACATTTTTTCGTAGACTTACGTACGTCTAAGTATTTAAGCAATAAGAAGGAAATGATGATTATAAAGCATCATGAACTATGTTGGTTGCAGCTTCTTAAGATCTCATATTATTATTCAATAGCTATTCCATTATTTAAAAGTTCATTTTAAACTACTCTAGTAGTGCCACATTTGCATGATTATTTAATCATGCGATTGTTTGTTATACAAACACCAGCTAGTCAAATTCTAGACATTCCATTAATAATTAAAATATTAGAACTTTTTATTTATTATTTTAATAATTAACATTTTAGTGCAATGTTCTACACCTGTTACTTTTGTACATAGATATTACTATGCATAATGAAACCCAGCACTTTTGCTCATTTGCTTTTCATTTGACATACTCAATATTTAAAGAATTGTATATTTATTTAGATAATCAATTATTTATTTTGTAATTTATTTATTTATTGTCACAACTTGCTAGTCATTTATCAACTCTCAAAGCAAAGAAAAAGTATAAAAGTGATAAACTTTTGAACTTTTTTTACTTGCAATACTCAATTTATCTGAACACTAGTCAAAATGTTTTTTTCTTGGCTATAAGGCCAGGCAGCGTACCAAAAGACATAATTAGACTAGTCTCGATTATTCAAAGTTAAGTCTTGAAAATGTATGTATAGGGTTTAAAGTCATATTTGGAAAGTCTACGTTGTTTATAATTAGATAGACAAACTACATAGAATTAGCTCTTGCATAATGACTGACTCAGTTTTATTAAGAAGTTGTCAATTGTTATGGTGTTGCAATACCGGTTTTTCATTGATGCATATCTATTATACAAAACGGGGATACAAATATCATTTATCTTAATATACATGTTTTATAAAAATCAGTAAGATTACAAAATTTTATTTTGATATTTTATTAATAGGTTCTATTATGATACTATAATCCTGTAATGGAATATGAAATGAAGTTCACAAGTATGCAAAAGTGAAACTTGTTAAACTTTGCCCACCATGGCTTTTGACATTAATATTTATTATTCATAATTTACAGCCATCGAATGTTACCATCGTTGATATGAAAGAAATTCTGATTATATCTGTAATATACTCTGTATTGTTGTTGTGTGATTAAATTAAAAAGCTTAAAACACTGCTTCCTTTCCTTCAAAACACATACACAGCTTATTCATAAATATTTCTGTTTTATTTTTATTCATAAAAGTACAATTTACCAATGAAAATATTTACATAATGTACATACAAAATATTTATTATCCCTAACATATGGTCCCCATTTTTAGTTCTTAATTTTATACCTAACAACACCACAACCCAAGTTTGTAAAACATTAATACATTATTTTGTAGTCTTTGATTGCTTGGATCGCTGTTGTGCAAGATATATGGCCCAAAAGAAACCAATAAGATTTACCACTAGAACACGTAACTGTAAACAAATTAATAGATATATATTATTTATGTATGATGTATAATTTATAAGATCATAGAAAGTATATGCTTGAACACTTAATTACTTACCAGTGGTGGAACATATTTTAAATTCAGGTACTGCAACACTGTTAAATACTTCAAATTTGCAGTTAGAACAGGCAAGTATAACTTTTTCAATTGTTTGTAAGCATCATTATGCGTGTTACCCTGTAATAAAATGAATTTTAATGTGATGAAGTCTAGTACAATAAGCTGTGAATCTAAGTAGTATGTAAATGATTGTACCTCAAACAATGCTATCATGTATAATGCTAATGCTTGATAGCATGGTGTATATAAACATCTCTCTACCAACAAAAGTGAAAGAGGATTTTTTAGAAAAGGTTGCACATAAGTATAAAAGTAATGTGGAAGAGGTCCTCCAAAGATTAATCTATAAAATAATGTAATATTTTAGTAGAATTATAATATTTTTAAGTTGTAATATTTTTCATTCACAAAAATCTGTAATTGTGATTTATTTAAATTTACCCAAATAAAGCAAATGCAAGTAAACTATCTTGATTGAGGTATTTTGCTCCAGAAATTTTCTGCGACATAAAATTTCCGAGACTAGCGATTATGCAACTGGAATAAAAAACGTAGTCTTATAAGTTTAATTTAATGATTAAATAATATTTATTTCTTATGTTGATTTGGAAACATGACATACCTGGTAATTGCTTTAGTTTTTAACGGACTAGTATAAAGACGCTCAAAATAAGCACCCATGAGTTGAAGAAGAAAATTCGTTGGTTTAGATAATGCCATTTTTGTGACTTAATTCTTCTGTGTTTATTAAGATACTAATAATGAAGAAACGAGATTTCAATGCTATGTTCTGTAAAAAATAGATGAATACTCTGATAACGGTACACCATACAGAATGTCACGAGTTAGAAGATATCAAATTTAATTAATATACCGATCGTTACTCAAGTTAATTTTAAATTATTAAATATATTATGTTAATAATACTGATTTATTGTGTTATTACAAAATATATCATTATAACAAAATATTACTGAAAGATAATTGTTATTTTACAACATATTGACAGATTTCAACATATGCATGGAGCCATATTTGAACTCAATTAATCGGAGATAATATATTTATTTATTAAAACATCATTGCTACTTTTTTATATATGATTGCATAAATATGAAAAAATTATTATTTTATAAACATAATAAATATTTTCATACAATGCAAATTGCAGAAAATATTTTAGGATTACAAGGTTAGATTGTGTATGTTTTATCATGTACACAATAGATGACTTGCACAGTAATGCCTCTTATATAAATGCATGACTTATAAAATAAAAGATGTTTGGATGTGTTAAAAAATACTTTATTTTGCATTTAATAAAATATCTCTTACATATTAAACAGAATTAAATTAATGGAACCATCAGTCACGTTGTATTTTATGCTAAGTAACTTTAGCTATACATAAACATTAATTTAAAAGCTTTCTTGCAAATACAAGATGTTGCAAAGTCGTATATAATTAAAATTATTTTCTATCTAATAAAAGACGCTACTTCTGTAATAACATATTCATTAAACATAATAAGGTACTATTGATTATGAATTACAATAAAATGGAACTTTAAGTGTAATATTATGCTATTAGCAGTTGTACTATACCTGATTAAATTAAATTAAATAATTAAAAAGCAGTAATTGTTAAGAAAATAAGAATTGTTATGTACTACAGCTAAGTGCAACACCTAAAAAGTCTTCAAAAGAGATAGTAATGGTTCCTGTTTGGTCAGAGTCCCTTACTCGAAAGGCTTCTGTAACAAAAAGTTAATATAATATTATTACTTACATTGCACATGTACTTTACACTTTGTAATTTTTATACTTCTATCAATTTGTACCTGTGAATCTTTGAATCTGAACACATAACACAATGAACTGATCAATAGTGATACAAGAATGACTATTAGGATCACTTTTTTTTATAAGAAATGAAATAAATTCTGGACTTAGTCTATATCCCATTTGTGTTAAAGCTGCATTAAGTTCATTCTCCTGTATAGTTCCTGAATTATCATGATCGAAACCACGAAAAACACCTAACCATGCATTGATGTAATTATAAAGGGCTTGGAATTCAACTAAGTCTATTGTACCACTCTTTTCTTTGTCAAACATGCCTATAAGAAAGAAATGAACAATTGTAAACATTAAAGAAATACATTGAAGTATGTATCTTAAAAGGATTTCAGAAACATACCAATCATTAATTTGCAGGCAGTATCTGAAAATGTCCCTCCTTGTCCATTTGCTAAGGCAGCTTTTAATTCTGTAGCAGTTATTCTTCCACTACCGTCTCTATCAACAGCAGCAAACCACTGTTGCACTTCTGGAGATACTTGAGATTGTGGATCAGTTGCACCATACATTGAGCCCTAAAACAACAAAATGCAAACGAATATTTTATTTATCAATAGCAAATTCGCTTACTTGAAATGCAGAAACATACTTACTGGATATGCCATACCATCAGTTTATTCTCTGCTATCAAACAGAATTAAATTATACTGTCAGTGAACTACTACTTTACGCCCTACTGCATTTACTGCATATGTGATATACATATACAAACTCTCAATCATCATGCCAAACAACAAGATTTCATTTTTGCCGCGTAGATCTCCTTTGATTGGTGTGTTATGCGCACATGCTCTAGCGATGTTGCGATGCCAAGCATATTTATACGGTGATCTTTTATTTAGGACTGGCATTGTAATGTTTCAAATAATTATTGTAACTTTGAAACTTCGAAAATTTATAAGTTTATTAAATTTGTATTTAGCCAGTTATCAGAAATAAACGAAAATATCTATTCCTTCTAGAAGGTTTTTGATGAACACATAATTTGGCTACCGTTGATTTACATCATATATTTTTGTTCATCATATATATTGACATCACATTGGGGATACAGAGTCTTTTGAAGGTAGTCAAGATGCGCTACGAACTACGGTTCTTTCGATATCCATAATCGAATCAATAGTCTTATTCATCATGTGCGATGAATATAAATTATCACATTTTTCTCAAAATTAGATCTTATATATCATTATTTTGAGATCTGATCATTTTAAATTGAGAAAATCGACCATCATTTTTATTTTTCAACGTCTGTAATAATATTACGTAACAGAATCTGTTTATTTTTGTTAATATTTTAACATGACGAACATTTCGAAAAAAAGAAAAACCCCATCAAAACTTAAGGTAAAAAATTACATATTTTAAAAAACAAAAGGAAATCTTGTTTTTATTAATGTGTTTACAGAGTGTGGGTAATCACGACGAATTTTTAAACCGTATATCTAAATCACTTTATTATTCAAAATTACCAGGAACTGATTGCCTCAGTTTGCCTGTTACTGGTGAGTATACTTTTGTCACATTTTGCATTTATACATTTTAAAAACAATTGAGAAAAAATGGATAAAAAATTAGCAATGTACAATTGATTAGTTATTTTGTAACATTGGAAACTATATAATAAAACTTTATTCTTAGAATTGGCAGCAGAATTCTTTACTGAAGTAAAGAGTGGTCATACGCTCGAAAGATTAGATGTGGAAGAAGCAAGTAAAATTTCCAGAAATGCATGTGTTTCACCATGCTCACTTGTTTTGGCATTACTATACCTAGAAAGACTAAAAGACTGCAATCCAGAATATCTTCAAAGGGTAGCACCATCTGATCTCTTCCTTGTTTCTTTGGTACTGCATCTATACTGTTTATTATATAAAATTATATTACTTTACAAAATTTTCTTACTCGAAAAGATATGTTTTTTGTTTTATAGATGGTTGCTAGTAAATTTTTGAATGATGAAGGAGAAGACGATGAAGTATTTAATACGGAATGGGCACAATCTGGTGGTTTAACTATATCATACATAAATCAATTAGAAAAGGATTTTCTTAAAGCTATTGTAAGTCAACTAAATACATTAACATGTAAGGTTGTTTAATGAACTAATAATATACTTTATTTAGGATTGGACTGTTTTTGTTCATAATCAAGACTTCTGGGAAAGATTGCAGAAATTAGAAAAAGATATAGCTTATAAAGAAGCACAAAAGAGAGGATGGTTTTCATATACAGAACTAAGCTGTCTAATGAATTCAGTGCAATTAATAACAGTAGCACATGCTATGATAAATATATCATCTATTTGTTTAGCAACATACACTGCAGGAGTAGTCACCCTTCTAGGCTCTGCTTTGGTTGCAAGTTACTTTCCAGGAACGATACTTAGCCCAAAACAAATAAATTCTACGGACATTATAAATACAGATTTGAATCCAGTTGTTGATGTAACAGAAATAGCTGTTGAAACTTTACCAGAGAATATTTTTACTTCAGATTTAATGTTTAATACATTGAGTTGTAATCAAACTCAACAAAATTGCGAAAATATTGAATCCAATGAAGTTGTAAATGTAGATTGGAAATGGTGGCTAAATCCAACTATGATTTGGTTACAAAATATTCAAGATTGGAACCAAAAAAATGATTGTACAAAACAAACAGTAAAATTAAACGTAACGAAAACGTTAACGCCAAGTACTAAATTTTTACTTGATATTGCTACATTAATACGAAATTCAGACGAATTTTTAATGAATATAAATTGGAAACAAATTCTGGGTATAGATTTAAAGATTGTTTTGCACGATTGGAGATACTATGCAAACTATGTTACAAAAATAAATGTTGATCATCAACACTGAAAGTTATATACTGAAAAAATGAAAAATTTTACAAAACATAAAGTCTTTATTAGACAGATTTATAGAAAAGAAAAATATATATTTTTTGTACTAACTTGTAAATTCGTAAACAACCACTATACTAACAAAACAATTTTTCTAATAAAAAACATGGAACGAAAATTAATTTCTGGAATTATTAAAACCCTCAACATCCTTAGATCTAAATCACGGGGAAATGTGATAATATTAAAACAGACGGATACATCTATTACTAATACTGTTAATATCAATGGTACAGTTAATTTATACATATTATTACATTAAATACATTCATTATAGAGATTAAATTATGTTACATAGTTTTATGATTGTCATAAATTAATATTGCAAATAGTTGAATAATGTGAGTGAATATTTCTTGGTTCTATCACTACACATTGACATACTGTGAATGGAAGATATTCATACCTCTATTGCAATATTACAATCATTTAATTATTTAATATTTACAATTTCAACCAGTGTGATGAAAATAGGAAAAAATAGGAATGGGTGTCATTCCAATAAGACAACCAATTGTAACTCCAACAACTCGTCCCTGAATTATTATAAATTATATTTTCTTAGTTAAAGTTATTAATGTAGATTTAAATAAAACATAGAAGCAAATATATATATCATACCATATTTGCAGCTGCTTTTGTTTTTTTGAGATTTAACTGTACAGGAGTAAGTTTTGGTGCTTCAAATCCAATTCTTTGTGCTAAACGTTCTACATAATGTACAGATCCAATTCCTATTATATCAGATATTGTATTTCCTAATGCTGCAGCTGCTATAGTTGATATTGGAAATCTTTTATTTAGCATTATTTCAATTTGATCTCCCTGAAATAAGTATGTTACAATTTGGAAAATACATTGTATACACTTAGAATACGTACAGCCACAATCATGATGAAGTTGTCAAGAAAACCAAAGCCGATGAATGGAATTGCATTTGCAATTGCAACTGCAACAATATTACCTAACATTACTATACCATAGCTCTCATTCAGAAACAGTAATGTAATTTTTAACTCAATATGTATTTTTTTAGTAATTACTAGTATTTCAAGAAGTTTATGTAGGTACACTTTATTAAACATAAGTAATGTTAAATTTCATACCTAATATTAGATCTTTCACAGATGGTTCTGGAACAGTTTCAACTGTAACGGGAAAGAGAAACAAGGTAAATATACTTTTTCCAACAAAGTATTAAAGAAGTAAGGATTCAGTGAAATATTATTACATATAAAATATAGTTTTAATATTACTTACAAAACAAAAAAGTTAACATTCATGCATATTGTTTTACATGTGCAATATAGTTATAAGATTTTTTATATTCAGAATGCTAAGTGAAATGGATTAAAAATTATATAACAAAATATCACAGAAAATCTGTAGGGCAGTTAACTATTTGAATAATTAAATACACAAGACGTTGGAAAATAAAACTTTATTTAAACAAAAGTACATTTTTTCTATCTAAAACATATTTACATTAAAGTTATGTTAGATGGTGTAATATACATTAAACATTTCAATAATTGATAGAGTAGACTTTCTATAAAGAATTCTATATAAAACCAGAGACCATGCAGAAGACATACAAAGAAATGTATTTCATAGAATCAAACTAAACTTGAACAACATTTTAATAAAGATCTTTAAAATTATTTACCTAAATCTTTAACTTATTTGTATAGAGTTATCTTGCAATGTTCATGTGTTCATTGTAGAATTAATTGGGGAAAGTTATATTCAAGTTACTCAGTGGAACTGTATAACAGGTAATTAAAATAACACAGTTCTATTAAAAAAAGCATGAAATATAAAAGTAATGAAGTGTGTATAAAGTATGTGTAAAATATTTCTATAAAATTAATAAATATTTATCATTACATATTATGTTCTTATTTAAAGGAACAAATAATTTATGTGATTACAATGTAGAAAGAGCATAACAAAAGTATAACTGAAAAAGTTTTAATTGTCCTTAATGTATGATACTGTCAAGTGTCCAAACCAATAATAAAAATGTACATGTAACATAATATATTACCTAAGTGTGGCTCTGTAGCTGTCTTATTAAAATATCCAGAAAGTTCAGTCAGAGTAGAAGAAGCAAGTAAAAGAATTAAAACACACAGTCGAATGAAGTGTATGGTTTAATATATATATTAATATAGACTTACAAAATGATGTCCATGTAGAATGCGATGGAAGGAAATATTTTAAACTGTTAAATAATGAAAATTACACCGAATCACAATATGATAATAATAAATATTTTTACCTTTAAAATTGTTATTGTAATATTAAGATTTATACACTTTAATAAAACAAGCAAGTTATGACTTTTTATCTTACTATTACAAATTGTTATTGGTTAAACTCTGCAAAGAATTAATTAATATATTGAAATTCCTACCATACTTGCGCATGAGCCAATCGTCTGGTACAACACAATAACTTCCTGTAGGGTCCACATCACCTAAAGATGTTATTTTGCTAGGCCTTCCAAATTTATTACACCATCGAAAAGCTGCTAACTGACCTTAAAAATATAAAGCTTTTTTATTATATCTTTCAATGAATTTCACATCTAATGGACATATAACTTTAGTTATGAAGAACAACTTTAGTTTTGTAATAATTACTTTGATATTGAGCTCTGTCATCTTCTGATTTACACTCTTCCAGGGCTTTTAGAAAAAACTCTCGTTCTTCGGCGGTAAGTTTAGAGGCCACATTTTTCGCTTTTTCTTTAGTTAAAGCACCAGGAAAAGCTAGTTTACTTTCGCTACTGTAACGTGTCCTTTGCACAGTATACTTATCAGTGATAAAAGAGGGTAAAAAGTATTTTTCTGATAGAAAATTATTTACACGACATAGTTTACGATTACGGTGATAAAAGCGAGATGCATTTTTACTAAAATACATAATTTCGCGTGGAAGTAATACTGTTTGACTAGCTAAAGCCGCGACTGTCACACACATTTTTCTAAAATATATAATTGACTCTTGTTACTGACGTTTTGGACATGTGTACAGCATTAGTTCCTAAAATCAATAATTCTAGTTGTTATAAAACGATTAAAAGATAAAAAATATAGATTTCGCAAGTACTTGAGGTACGTGCCCGTTTCGATTGATTTGGAAATGACTCAATATGTATTGTGTCACTGTCAGTATCAGTAGTATGTAGTAAAATATATCCGACACTCAAGAATGAAAATACTATCATTGATAATAACAGGTTTAGATTGGTTTCTTACACACGCATACTTTATTTTACGAAATTATACTAATCGCGCAGCTGCGCACTTCAATTTGCACTGCTTGCTTTAAACTTCGTTAGCCATATACATGGTGGGTAAAAAGTTGTATAAACACGGAAAAAACGAATGTATAGAGTATAGAACACCGAAAGCATCCATAATAAAAGGTCACTGGATATATATATTCGATATCCCGAAAGCCGCAAACGCGCATGCGAATAAAGACTTGTACGACTAGTATGTTTTTTGGTATATTACAAAAATTTTTAATATAATTTAGACACTTTTTTATTTATACACAAAATATACATTGTTCATAATTAATCGATAAAGCCATTTGTTATCTTTCTAATCGTACTGTTTTTATACAAGGTCGCCCATATCTGCGTTCAGCTTCTGCTAAAAAAGCATTTTCCATTTGCCTTACAATTTCGTTAAAGAATAAATTCGATAAGTGTGAATGAATGATCGATTTGAATTCAAACGACAAAGAAAAATCGATAACACAGGTTTGTGCGTTGTTTTTTAACCCTGAACTAAACAACCACAGTGTGTTTAAATGGTTAAATAATCTACCATCGGTACATTCAGCTTTTACCAAATGAGGTTTTACCATCGTTACTTTTGATGTATAACTTTCGTTTATAGGCGGGAATCCTATTACTAAATTAGCTTTGAGTACGTCGTCCTTTTTATATATAACATCGGATTTTTTACAAAATGGGACAAAATGTTTATAATTTTGTACGTCAGCTACAACATTATATATTTGTTCCATTGAAAACCTAGACGTAAAAAATTTTCTATAACCTTTTGTATTTGTTTTTATTGAAAATGATCAATTTTTAAATTTCATAAAACTTACCCTATGAGTTTGCGACCTTCGTATTCTTTTGTTTTCAATGATTCGGCCATAAACATTCTTTGTACACATTGTGTTTGAAAATTATATTTATTTTGAAGTATAATATTTTCTAATAACGTAATATGCCTGGAAGTAGTATTATTTGTTTGATTTAAAAATTAGTTATAAGGATTTGAACGACTGCAATTAAAATAAATTGATGGATATTACATGAATATAGCATGAAATGAAAAATATACGTTTTGATGTCGAAAATAAAACGTAATTTTATTCACTTTAAAATTTGTTTCATTTTTATATTACTAGTTTCAAAACTATTAATAATAAAATTGCAAAATAATAACGAAATGTTTGTTATGGCAGAAAGTTTTGCTGGTACAAGTAGAATAGTATAGGTTTAGGTTATACGCAATGAGTTAATCAATTATTAATATTATTAATTTCTTTACTACTGAATCTAGTATATTTAATGAATATAATATTATTTACATATCCTTCATACAGTATAAGAGAAAGAAATATTTTAATAATTAATATGTAATTACCAAAGATGGAAAACATAACCTACAAGTTATGTATGTATAATTTGTAGTATCAATTGATGCAAATGTATATTAATTAAAACATTACCTATACATGGTGTAGTAATGTAATAATTCCACTACTGTGCAATATTATTAAAATTTGTACTATCTATAAATCATATCTTCATATATGAATAAATTCGTAAACTATTTGAACATTATTCATTTTTACTAGTTTACTTTCTTGTTTCCCAATTAATCAAAATATATTTCATTTTTCACGATGTATTTTGTAACATACATTTCAAGAAATATGTGAACGAACTTGAAGAGTCACTTAAAAAATAGAAGCACGTGAATACTTTATGCAAGCTCTTGCATGATGAAAGTACATTTAAAAATAATATGATATTTTTGTAGTTAAATGTCAAATAGTACGATATAACAATGTATAAAATATATTCGTAGAGTATAATCAATACGTATTTCAATGATATATGAATTGAATATTCGTAATATTCGACTTCACTACTTCATAGTTTAATCTTTATTAAAAAAGAAGCAGCTTATATTTATATGTAAATTTTTTATTAATTTTTACGCGATTACGGGTATTACAATACGATAACTTTTTCATATTCTTATATATTTTTATCTAAACAGAGCTGGTAAAGTTGGTACATACACACTCACGTGTGTAGAACTTACATAACACAGGTACCGCAAACGTCTTACTCCGATTTATTTTTGAAAAATGGCTGGTATTGCTCCTCAGGCGTGCAGAAATGTGTTTCGACAAGTGAGTACTGTAAAAACAACATACTTCAACAATAAAGAAATGTTATACTGTAATGCTCTTTTCATTCTTATAAAGTACTGTGCAAAATGTCGGCAATAGAATGTAACCTCAATTTGTTCTTTTACTAATGTCAGTTCTACTGTCTTTTCCATTGTATGTTTTGATGTTTATGTTGAAACAATAAATCTTACTTTAATGTTCATTAATTAGACAATGTTAATACTTATTACTTTGTATATTGTTTTATTTATTAATTTTGTATACGTAATAATGATGGAAGTACTATAAACATTTCAATTATAATTATATAATAATTACATAGATTTCTCTATGGTTGAACAATCCAATAGCAGATTTTTTATATATTATTAATAATCATTAAGTATATATCAAAATTTCTTCCCTAAATAATTTACATATAATGACTTAACATTGAGATTACAATTACAACTGTAATTAATATAATTTTAAATTTAGGTCAGAGGTTTCCATATCTCTGCAAATCAAAATGCTGAAGCCAGACTAAAAACCTTCTCTGTGTACCGTTGGAATCCTGATAAGCCAGATGAAAAGCCCTATATGCAAGAGTATAAAGTAGACCTAAACACGTAAGTTCAATAACTATTTTCATTATTTGCTTTGTATTTATATAATTTGTGAAATATTATTTCAGTTGTGGTCCTATGATTTTGGATGCATTGATTAAAATTAAAAATGAAATTGATCCAACTTTAACTTTCCGTCGTTCCTGTCGTGAAGGCATTTGTGGTTCTTGTGCTATGAATATTGGTGGTACAAACACATTAGCATGTATCAGGTATTTAATCAGCATGTTTATTGGACATTTTGCAATAACAGTATCATAATTTGATATTAATGAAGTTTAAAATTATTGTAGCAAAATTGATACTAATTTAAATACAGTTAGTAAGATCTATCCTTTACCACATATGTATATAGTGAAAGATTTAATCCCAGATATGAACAACTTTTATACTCAATATAAAAGTATACAGCCATGGTTGCAACGTGGTGAGGGTAAAGATACTGGGAAAAAGCAGTATTTGCAAAGCGTTGAAGACCGTAAAAAATTGGTAGGCACAATAATTATTAATAAGATATATTTTCTATTTAGGTTCATATCATATATAACTTTTTATAATGTAGGATGGTCTCTATGAGTGCATCTTATGTGCTTGCTGCAGTACTTCTTGCCCATCATATTGGTGGAATGGTGATAAGTATTTAGGACCTGCTGTGCTTATGCAGGCATATAGATGGATCATTGATTCACGTGATAACAAAACAGCTGAACGTCTCGAAAAGTTAAAAGATCCTTATTCAGTATATCGTTGCCATACTATTATGAATTGTACTCGTACTTGTCCAAAGGTAAGTCTGAATTATATGACAATCATAAATTCAATATTAAAATTGTGTTTTTTTAAACAGGGCTTGAATCCTGGGAAAGCAATTGCTGAAATAAAGAAATTGCTAGCTAATATTAGTCAAAAAGAGAAACCAGGCCTTGATGCTACTGCATAATTATGTAGAATAAAATGAAGAATAGAGAATTAGTGAGTCATGTGTATTTTCCAATCATTGTGATTATTTAGAAACTTAAATTTTATTTAAAAAAGAAAACATAAGTAATGGATTCGTTTAAATTACTTGGTAAAACAGCATGTGCTGATGCCAAATTTTTTATGTAATAAATTATATATATTTCAGCTATTCATAATGTCTTTTACTACGAGTAAAACTTAATTCCCCAATAATATAGGTAAATATTCTGTTCAAATTATTTATTTTATATACACTAATATTTGAAACCAAATATATTAAAACTTATTTAAAGAATTCAGTGTAATATATTCAATGTTTTATATTACATATTTTATGTTTTAGCGATGACGTATTATTGCTAATGCAAATTTCTTAAAACATTCAATAGTTTTTTAATTAGTAGCACATTTGTTGGATATGTATTTTACCCTGCTTTTAGTATAAAAGCAGGGATAAACATGACAGTTTCTAATTCGAAGTAAATTTTAATATTGTTAAAAACAGATGCGTATACGACACTAGAAACTCGTACATTATAATAAAATTAGAATAAATCATGCATTCGTAAGATATGTCAGAGAATAAGAGTCTTAAATTTTCAAAGATTCAATTTTTGCATAAGAAACGCATCAGATGCATGATATGCTGAATTGAGAACTATCTACAAATATTTCAAAATTGTTAAAGATTAAAAGTGCATTGCATTATAATGAGATCTATGGTTCAGCAGCCATTCTACTTCTTGCTGTTTCCCTTGACCGATTGTGGACCTCTGCTGTTCGTAGCGTAATACCAAATATATCTTCGTGATAACGATTTTCGTCCTAAAAAGTTAAATTACATAAAGTGTCTGTTACTTAATTATAAAGTTACGACATGACTTACGCGCAACGATAACATGTACGCTTCAACTTGTTTATTCGTCATTTCACCATGAGTTTGTATAATATGTTTCAAAGTTTGATAAACGTCTTCTGCCATGGTACAATCACCGCAAACGTAGAAATGACCTTGCTCATATACTAACATGTCATAAATTTGTGGGGCTTCCGCTTGAATTAAGTCTTGTACGTATGTCTGTTAAAACAAATATACACAATAAATAACAATGAATTAAGTAAAATGTGACATTTGTTTAAAAAATATTCTAATTAAGTATATGACCTTCTTCAATCCAGGTTCTCGAGAAAGTGCCAAGAAGACTTTATCCAGAACTCCCGCTTTTACCATTTCCTCTTTCTCTTGTCTGTACAGATCCAAGTTCTTATTGCGACAACCAAAGAATAGCCAGACCTTTCCATATTCACGATCTATAAATTTTGTATGGTTATTTCAATAAAAGGTATGATTGTCAATTATACGTGGTATACCTGGTTCAGATTTTATTTGTGCAAGTCGGTGATGCCAAAAACCACGAAAGGGAGCAATTCCAGTTCCAGGACCAACTAATATCATCGGTGCATTTGGTTCGGTTGGCATATAAAAGTTAGGTGCGCTAAAGAAAAGAAGGTATTATATTCTTTACATACTCAGACATAATAAAAGCATTGAAAGTAATAAACTTACCTACGTACAAATACATACAACGGTTCTCCGTCTGATATCTCGCGTAAATAATTAGAACAAACTCCGTAATGGTCTGGTCCAGAACCTCCTAAAATATTCACTCAATTTTATGTTTCAATAGAATGTAATAAATAAGAAGAAACAAGCATTGTATACCTTGCGTTTTATACTGTACTATTGCAACGGTGAGATGTATTTGTCCTTGATGCACATCTGGAGAAGAAGAAATGCTATAAAATCTCGGTTGCAGAGGAGTTAAATGAAGCAGCAACAACGGCGCAAATGGTTTCACAGATGGAAATTCATCTAACACTTCTACTAAGTTTGGGAACTTCCAATGTCTCCAATCTTCGTAGGCTGCTGGATCCTGTAAAAAAATTCTTAGTCCTGTGGTTCAATTCCTTTATCAAATATCCATCATATTTACAGAAGATAACAGATGAAGTTGCGCTTGTTCTTTTGGATTTGTAGCTATCGATGCAAAGTATCTGAGGAGATTCGGCGTTGGCGGTGTCGTAATGTCTAGAAATCTCGTTAATAACATTTTTAACGAGTTGGGCAAATACCTATCGTGTGGCATCCACGTTTTCACAATACCTGAAGAAAAATAGAAACATTGAAATCGTCAATGAGAATTTGAATAGTCAAGTTACAAACCATTTGGAGTATGAGATTGTTTCTGCATCTGTAATTCGATGGGTACATCTGGGTCAAAAGGAGTCTGTATTCGTTCCAAGATTGCTTCCACCAATTCTGGTCTGTTGCATGCAAAAACTCCTAAATGATCACCGGGCTTGTAGGAGATTTCCATGCTAGCTATGTCGTCCAGTTCCAAGAGTAACGTAGTTCCACTATGCAAAACAGAAATGTAAAGAATGGAACAATTTTTACAAAATGATGAACAAGTTAAATATTCAATAACCACCTAGTTAAGTCGCCACTTAAATTTGTCTTCCGGAGCATGTTGCAGGTAGTCACGTTTCTGTTATGACACTTGCTTAACGCTGAAAATCAAAGGAATTACTACAGCGTTGCACATAAATAAATTGCAGGTACATGTACCTTTTCCAATCGGTTGAGCTTCAGCTTCTACGAAACGAACAGTCGCTGCCGACAAAGCTTCTGATCCCAAAGATAAAGCAACTTCCAGTAAAGTATCGTCATCGTCCAAGCAGAATGTCTCACATGCAACCTAGTACAACAGTTGTTAGAAGAGTGACAAGAAGAAAAGATATTAACAAGAAGATACCAACAGCAAAAGTATCAGCTGCCCATTTTCGAAAAGCCTGTTCTTGACCACACATCTCATCTCCCTGCGCCAATTTCAGCAGTCGTTCTCCACCTAATTCGCCTAACAAATTGTCCACGTAACGACCAAACGCACAGAAGTTTGGGTACGCGGATGAGCCCAGTGCGAAGACAGCGAATCTAAGAAATATATTGCAGATTTTGTTTCGTGTTCGTGAAATCATCTTCCAACAATGCGTACCTGACATTACTCAATGGTCCAAAAGTGTCTTCTGTCTGAGAATCTGTAGTGGAGCCACGGAGAGAATCCAATCTGTCTAACTTCTTCGAGTTGCTTACTTCTGATTGGCTGTTTGCTTTGATAAACGATTTTGAAGTTGCCAAGCTATAGGATTATCATACAAATAGTTGTAAACTTTTTTTCAACTTTGTTGTAAATATGGATAAGTACCTTATCTTATTGCCACTATTGATGTACGTTTCATTCATTTTCATTGCGTACAAGTTTTGAGCAAAAGCCTGGGAAATGAAACATATGTGTAGAATCATAATTGCTTCAAGTTATTTAATAAAAAAGAGAACGTACTTCACCATTTTCTGGAGGATCACCGTTCCCGAAAGTGGATGTTATAACCAGCAGTAAAGCTTCATGTTCTATATTGCTGATATCATAGTCTGACATAGAAAGTACCTGTAATTGATAGCTTCAGGTATTTTTGACACATCATTTCTGTAAGAATACTAGGTAAACAGGAAGATTAAATGATGAATACCTGGGAATGAAATGCATGTCCTAATAATTCACCAAGTTTCTCAGCATACATCTGAGATGTGCCAGTTTCTGTGGCAAACAAGACTGTGGCTTTTATCCTTCGAGATAAAGCTCTTCCAAACAACTTTGATGTAAACTTCACAGCTCTAAAATTATTTTGGTAAAGTATTTGTTTTTATATAAGAAATTGTCTTATTTGTCATATACCTTGCAATTTGCTTGAAATGGAATTTCCTTCTAGGTTTCTTAGACGTTGACCTCTTGTCTCGACCCTTTTTCCAGACGTGAGTCTTCCAAGCAGGATCCTAAAATTATATAATGAAGATATATTGGAAATGTGAGGATGTATAATAAATTATTTGTTCGAAAAACAACCTGTGCATCGTAAGAGGGTTTCAAATGATAAAGAGCCATCTCCTGATGAAACACAGGCGTGGCTGATCCTGATATCGGTGGGACAATCCACAACCAATCGGCTGGGCAACCATTTCTTAACCGCATTTCGTTTTCATAGTGTTTCATAAAAGATTCTGAAGCAGTATGATGATCTACAATCGTCACGTTTTTCATCTGTAAATGATTTCAGATTAGTGTGAATTCATGAGCAAAAAGGTCCGAATAGAAAATGATCTACTTGAAAACTGTGTAGCACAGCAACATTAGCTTCTATCATAGCCTTGTCTTTCCATAAGGAAGTGGATGTTCTTGTGTCTAGCCCCATGTGTGTAGCTATTGTCTGCAAATAACACCATTGATAAAAGCACAAGCTTATTAAAGATATTTGAAAGCTCTCCTGGTTAAGTAATGAAACAAAGATTAAAATCTTTATAGACCTCTAATAAATTATATCGTTGAACATCACATAGATCTCTTGCTCCAATTTCAGTGCTCATGTACCACCCATTGAAAGGTGCGGCTGTGAACTCCAGTCCTCCGCAATCGAACACCATTCCTGATACCGCAGGTACAGCGAACCACTTCAATTCTAACTTCTCGAACCAATCGTACCTGTGATAAAGGAATTAATATTACATAATAATTTTTAGGAACGTGTCGATGTTACTTACGTGGGATGACTGAGAGGTACTTCGAGAACAAGTTCACTTGGAATGTCAAAGTAATCAGGGTCGTGGCCGTTTGCTGATAACACCAGTGGTAATATATCAAAACGAGTACGTGCTCCTTTCCAGCCCAGTTTAATGCAGAGCTATAAAAATAGCATGTTACAAGTCAGCTCAGAATGTTACAAGTCAGAATAAGAAAATGATTTGAAACTATTTCAGGTACCTCGGTGAACTCAACGTTGGCAGGATCACCGGTTACAGTACCGTCCGGGTTCTTGTAACCCGCATAGCCGATCAGCTGTTGATTCCACACTCTATAGTCATGTTTTCCATCTGTACGTTGTGGAAATATCGTTATTGCGGACCTGAAATTTGAATGATTCAGGGAAAATGATAAAATCGAGGAAGATCATTGCATTTCTGAACGTACCTGATGTTTCCTTTGTTTGTGCTGTACTTGATATGATTACATAAAGCTTCGAACATACCACTGGTTGTTGTCACGTAGCGACAATCGAACACCTACAAATGACAGTGTTCCAAACAATTCTCTGAGTATAGACATTAGATTTATAGTTTAATTAGTAGATAAAATTTTATGTCAATTATTTTGTAAACTTAAATTTTATGAGAGACTTAAATTTTATGTTGAATCTTTAATTTTGCAGAACATTACATACTTGTAACTTGGACCACTGAATACGACCAATACACCTCGCAGCATTACGCCACGCTAATTTTGCTCCGAACACTAGTTCTGTTTCTGTTAGTTGATAAGTACCAGTGACGTACACTTCTTTCTGTACGCTGTCCCAACGAGAACGATGTGCTTCGCTGTTTAGTCTGCAAGGAGCAAAGTGGAATTAGGTTTCAGTAGTACAAAATATGTTTACGGTGGCGCAGTAGATACAGCCATGATTAGTAAGACGTAGTCGAAGTGGAAATGGACATACGTTGCAAGACGAGTTAAATGACAAGGTGAAAATACCTTCTAATAGAAGAGAAATATTGCTCAAGGAAATCTTTTGCGTGCACCAGGATTTCTTCTCTTGAACGAGCCTCTGTTCCATGAGTCGGTAGCTGCATAACGCTGCCGAGGCACACTTGACCGGAACATAATGTTCTCTGAAAAAAAATCAGCACATTTCATTAATATATCTTTTATTATAATTTTTCAATTTAAAATAATTTATTATGTTACTATAAGTATTGAAAGAGTTGGAGATTTTTTTCTTCAATAGAACAATCAGCGCTGAAACAATCGGATCTTTTATTTTGTGTGCATTCATTTAAATGCGATCTGATTTAAGCACCGTATTGTGCAAGGATTACTTTCACGGAACAGAACGTGTATGAATAATATTTTAAATAATCGAGGCTGGAATAAATTTAAATTTCTGGAATAAGTAGTCAAAGAAAATATAAAAAGACTTGCTAATTAATTAACAAATTTGTGAAAGGTGGATTTTAATTAACTTTTAATTAAAGGTACGAAGCTACCCCATCGAGGGGTTGAATCTTCTGCTTTGAGAAAACAAACTTTTCTGAATTGACATATCGATTTTTTTTTTTATTATCGGTACTTATATTGTAGCTGTAAATACACGTATTAAGATCATTCGATAGAGCTTGACAGACAAAATTATCAAAGAGAATAAGAAAGGTAGTCTTCCTGTGTGTGCACTCTTGTGCAACTAGTGGGTCACCAAAACGAACTCGGTTTCTTCGATAGTATTGACTTGCTTCGTTACAAATTCACCCGCACTTCCACTCGAACTCCCACGCTGTTCTTCCTCATGTACAATTTTCAAGACGCAAGAATCTCCAGGTAAAAGAATCACCGTACATTCAGAAGCAATTTATCAATAAAAAGAAAGAAATTATTTACATTCGATTTATTACAGATACCTCGGCATTCCTGGCATGCAGAGAATCAAACGCTTCTGTCTTGTAAATGAGATTCCTGAGTTTCGTCGGTTTCCTCTGACACCCTGCTGTCTCGTGCTCCTTCATCCTCGTTCTCGTCGTCGTGACACCTCTCTTCTCGGGAAACGTGCTCCTGGCTCACCGCTCCGCTCGTGTATGATGCTGCAGCGGCACGTACACTGGTTTCTGGTTTCTTTCACGGAGATGTGGAAGGGATATTTGCTGCGTGACAAACGAGAGGTGTATACACCCCCGGACGGAGATGCGCCATCGATTTAGCGCGTCGAAATGTCTCGCGCATCGTAAATCGTTTTCCCGATATTGTACCAAGCTCTGTAACGGGTTTATCATGTGCCGGTTAAAAATTCATTGTCAATTTGTTCGAGCGATTAAAGGAAATTAGATACGCGTTAAGCGGTGGAAAATGAATGAATGGGACATGGAGGCTTAGCGATAGAGTCGAGTAATTTGTATGTAGATATAAAAATCCAGATTTGAATCGCTGGAAAAAATGATTTTATACGGGGCACTTGCCCCCGCGTTTGAAGACTTTGCCCAGAGCCACATATTTACGCTTCAGTAGTACGCTTCAAACATGGAATCACGCTCTTTAAATTTGGCTATACTTTATTATAATTTGTATAATCTAAAGGCTACAATGTATACCACCGATAATTATAATATGTAAACCACCGATGCCACAAGATTTTGAAGACAACAAGAGATCTATTAGTATCTTCACATTTGTTTCTATGAACAGTATAACTTTATTAGTATTTCTTCGTGTCTTCAATACCAATCAAGATACTCAGGTGTTTTGTTTTATATGACTCACTTTATGAGCACCTACCGGACTCGATTCTATCGTTAGATCCTATCGTAAAAAGTGTAAGACCTATTCACCAGGTTAATGATGTATATTTAAGCGACTATTTTTGCACGTCGTAAATTCTTTAACGCCTTTTTATAGGTATTATTCTTATTTTAACCGTCCGCTTGAAATTGCTATTTTTCATAATGGCAAGGATAATACGTATAGGCTTCATAATGAGAAGTGTTTTATTGATCGTTACTACGATCGTAAATTTTTTCAATCGCTACACCGAGCGTAACACGATCGTTTCAACGATCATTAATATCTGCTTCGACTAATTGGATATAAATTTATCAGTCAAGTGTAAATAGTTTATTAAATAGTTTTACAATTGTAAATAGTTTACTAAACGAAGCTATCATTAGCGGTTATCGTTAAGATTCTGATTTAATATTTTTCTTTGAAAATATCATTTCAAAAAATATTTCACGTAGTATTACAGAGCTTGTGTTTACTCACGTAGTAGTACAGTTTGAAATTAATCAGACCACCCTTGATGCCTCAGATTGTGAGTCACTTTAAATTCGTTTTAATCAAAGAGATCAATACTTCGTTGCTTTATTAAAAAATAATTCCGTAAATAATATACAAAATATACGCACATAATTTTGTATTTAATTATTAAATAGTATTAATTGTTAAATACTTGCATTAGAGAATAATACATTATAGGATGTTCAATATTGCCACGTAAAGTTTGTCACACTGTTAATTGTTCAACTATGTCTTAGTTCAGCTTCACTTAAGAAAAGACAAGCATAAAGATGCAACAAGAAGATAATCGTAAATCTGAATCTAGCAACTTGACTCCAGAAAAATTGCAAAGAACTCCTCGAGATGGAGGTAAGTTTTATCAGTATGTGGTTTAACGTGTATTAATGTATTAATAACATTATATTACTACTTTTCAGGATCTATTAGAAGAGACGCGTCTCATTCGGAAGAGCGGAGCAAACGGAGAATTCATTATACTCCGTATAATAGTCCCGAAAAGTATTCTAAAACTCCTCAAAGTAGTGGTATGTTTTATTTCAATCTATAAATTAATATATTTTAATAACGCATGACAATATGGCGATCTAATGTGTGAAGAAGAAAATTATTAGAATGTAATAAAATGTCTGATTCGTTTATTTTGTAGGATCTTTTAGGAAAGAAGTTATGAAATCACAACTGGATAGTAATAAGCGTAAGATTCAATCGACACACAACGAAAGTCTCGAAAAGATTCCGAAAACTGATCAGGGCAGTAAATTCGTTAACACCTTGATAAGTCAATGGTCAAAACATATGGGAGTGCAAACCCCCTTGTCTCAAGCAGCAAAGGTATAATTTGTTAATGTTGTGGGATGAAGTTACCATGACAGCTTTAAAATGAAACTTTCATTTGCATGATTTGAAAGAAAATTTTGAAAATTTCTTCTTAAAATTTTCTATCGCTTTAAGGCCTGTAGGGTAAATTCATATGTTGCACATGTAAATTATTTTGTTTATAAATATGAAAGCAGGCACAGGAAAGTCCGATGTCGGAAGAGATTAGAGGAAAATGCAGCGTTGAAGAAAAAAAAATCCAAAAATTACAAAAGAAACTGCAAGCTGCTGAAGAAACTATATCTTCACTGTCTGTTGCTCATGAGGCTGAAGTAAAAGCTAAGGAAGAAATACTGCAGCAGTAACGTGCTCACTATGATGAATTAAAATATATTAATTTATGTTATGTTTATTAAAGTGAATTAATTATGAATACAGAATAAGTTATACCTATTTTTTAGGTTGAACAGCGATTGGGAATCAATTACTAAATATTACTATGAAATCTCAGAAAGTTTAAAGCAGTTCCAACAGCACAAAGATAATTTATCAGAGTTGTATAACAACGTTATACTTATGCAACAATCAACAGTAAAAAGGTTACAACAGGAATTAAGTAGTATGAGATTAAAAGGTAAAGCTTCAGGATTGAAGTAATTATTTAAATATATGTATCTTTATTATGCTTTTATGTAGATGATGAACACAAGAACATTATTACTGGTATTGAAAGTAAAGTATCACAGCAAGAAAAACGGTACTTGTATAAAAATTAACTAACAGTAAACTAGTACTAAATTATTCACTTACCTATTAATTTAATTTACTGTTAGAATACAAGAAATGTTAACTGTGGAGGCTGAATTGAAAAAGCAGTTAGATGATGTAAAGAAGAAGTCAATTGTAGAGAAAGATCAGTTACACAATATTCATGCAGAAGAAAAATTAGAATTAATGAAGGTCTAAAACATGTTACTTAAGTAATTTTTACCTTATTCCTTTTTCCTTTTTTGTGTTGAAAGACGTGCACTATCTTCTTTTCTGAAAATAAGAAAAATACTTCTCGACTGTATTATCGCTGCACGTTGTTATCATAGATGCAATAAACGTGTGTAAAACATTGTAAATGATATTGATTCCAGAAACAAGACAAACTCACGTCGATAAACAACGATTTACAAGTGCAATTGCAAAAGATCGAACAAGAGAAACAAGGCTTGAGTAACTTGTTCGTGGAAAAAGACGAGAAAATCACCAAACTGCAAGAACAAATTGTTGCGTGCAAGTAAATATTTTTACACATTAATTCAATACATTTAATAGCATTGATTAAGTATGTGTATATTGTGACAGAAATAAGGAGCAGGATTTATTGCATCGAAGCACAGAATTAAGTTTGAAGTATGAAGAGTCAATTCGTAAAGAAGAAGAATTAAGAACACAATTAGAGTTGAAAGTGCAAGAAGTATAATCATATACTTTTTCTGATCATAATATAATATTTGTATATATGAAATATTAACTTTATTTTTTCAATAGATCAATAGATTACAAGAACATATAAAGGCAAGACAAGAAATAGAATCAAGCTTAACTAAAGATCTTGACCTTATTGATAGCAAATATAAAACTATGCAAGATGATCTTTTAAATTTAAAAAATAAATTAAATGAAGCACAAGTTCGTAATTCGGATCTAGAAACATCTCTGGAAAATATGAAATATAATAACCAGCAGAAAATAACAGAATTGAATAAAACTATTAAGAGTTTAGAAGAAGAAAATAATAGAGTACTCTCTGAGAAACGTTCAAAAATTCAGGTACAGAATTAAATAACATTTAAATAAACAAATTTACAAATGGTAATTTTGATCTTGTTCTTCCATGTAGGAATTGGAAAATACTTGTAAATTATTAAGAGAAAGGCATGAGAAAGAGATAACATCTTTGAAGAACGAGTTCGAGATTGAACGTGCCGAAATGAGAAAAACGATAGACATGCAAAATTCTGCTTTCACGAAGTTAAACGATACTTTGAATAAGATGAACGAGACAAACCAGATAAAAGAAAAATACTATCATGCGAAAGAGAATCATGATAAATTGCAAGACAGATTGAATCAAAAATCACAATCAATTGTAGAATCTAACTTGAGCCAGATGAAGATAAGCGAGAGCCACGAAATAGAAGAGCAACAATTGCAAGAGAACATTGCAACACAAAAAGTTGCATTCAAAAATAAAAATGATATATCAGATTCAAAAAAGCAGGATATATATACTTTCAGTACAAAATCACAGCAAAATGTAAGTTATTATAATAAAATAATTTTTGTGAACTAATAATTTGTTTAAATATATGTATTGAAATTTTGTTTAATTACAGATATCACCTATGAAGCAAAATAAGTTCAACTTCAGTTCTTCAATGAAGGTAATGTTATTAAATTTCTCTTGTAAAATTTTAAAAGAAAAGTAAACTAACATTGCTCTCATAGGTTTCTGATAGTGTTGAAAAATATTCTTCTTACCTTTCTCAAAGTAAGAATTTAATGCAATCATTCACAAAATCACAGGAAAATAAAGAAAGAATAAATGAGGTATTTATTTTAGAAAAATTATTTCTTTATATACAGCTTGTACAATTAAAATCTGTTTCTTTTTACAAATAGGATCTAATTAACGCAACACAAAAGAAGAAAATATTTAAAACACGTAGTACTGGTTTAAAACAGTATGGAACACCTCGAAAAATATTAAAAAAATAAAATGTCTTGCATAATATTACAATATGCGATGCTGCATATAAATTCTTAAGTTTATTTTGTTTATCTTGCTCAAATGACAGAAACAAATATTTTACTTTAAAATTGTTGGTGTTTGGTTAAAAATACATGTATCAACACATAAGAACACTTATTCATAAAATAATATTTTTAATAAAAAATAATAAATATGTCACAATTTACAATCAATATATACATTAATAAAATGTGCGTAATATTTCACAAAATAATATAACAACATTGTTCTTATCTGACATCACATTTTTGGAAAATAATATGTATTACATGCTACATATATAATATTGAGTTTTTCATTCATGTAAAGCCTATTTCGATTGTTGCGTTTAAATATGTTGTGTGACATATAGTGACATTAATATTCAGAAAAAAATAAATATATATACATATATTCCAAGAATAACTCTAATTAGATATTCTTGTATATTTTCATTAAAATTGAATTAACAAATGCTAAACTGCTGTGCATACTTACTTTTCAACTCATTTGATTATTATTTAAAAGTGGAAGAACAATCCCAATTCATAGATCTTTCCACAGCCATCTTCCATTTTGAGTACCTCAAGTCTCTCTCTAAAACGTGAATAAATATTTGTAAATTTGCTGCCTATACAATAGTGCTTATAAAAATTTTACCATCTTCTCCAATAGCAGGTGAAAATTTTGTGACTTGGGATGCATCTACATCATTAATGTCTATGATTCCTGCTCCAACACCAGCTAATATAGCAGCCCCTAATGCTGTTGATTCTACCATATTAGGTCGTACTATTCGAATCATTAAAACAATGTTAACATACATTAAATTTTAATAGAAATTTATTATCGAAAATTCGGTATTCATATATATGTAAAGTGTACATACCCACGCTTATTCCAGTTAAATCAGCTTGTAACTGCATAAGTAAATTATTTACTGTCATTCCACCATCGACTTGTAATGTCGTTAGTTTCGTCCCTGAATCTTTAACCATTGCTTCTAAAATATCTCTTGTTTGAAAGCAAACAGCTTCTAAAGTTGCTCGAACGATATGGTACTGTTGTGTATCTTCAGTAATACCACAAATTATTCTGAAAAATATACACCACATATGATTTGTGCATCACTTATGAATCTTGCTATAAAAAGTTATTTACCCCCTAGCATCTTGTTCCCAATATGGGGCATATAAACCAGAGAATGCAGGTACAAAGTATACATCTCCAGTACATTTTACATGTTCTGCCATTTCTTGGGACTGTGCAATGTTGTTAAACAGCTGCATGTTATCGCGTAACCATGATAATGCTGCTCCAGCTACAGCTACAGATCCTTCTAGTGCATAAGTTGCTGGAGCTTTACCCATTTTATATGCAATAGTTGTTATAAGACCCTGATTTGAATCTATTTTCTAAAATAATAGAATACTTATTAAATAAGATAGTTTTCAATTACCTACATCATACAACAATATTAACTGTGTAAGTACATACAACACTTCCAGTATTATACAGCAAGAAGCAACCAGTTCCATAAGTAGCTTTTGCTTGTCCAGGCTTTAAACATAACTGACCAAGCAGAGCTCCTTGTTGATCACCTACACACTGTGTGAGTAAGGACAGGTACATGAATTAAGTCAAGTATTAATTACAAGATACAATATTTTTGTAATAATTTACCCCTGCTATAGGTACACCAGCAAGAACTGAAGGATTAGAAACTGTTCCATACATTTCAGCACTAGAGCGTATTTCAGGAAGAATATGTTGTGGAATTCCAAAAAATCGGCACAACAGAGGATCCCATTTCAATGATTCTATGTTCATTAACATAGTACGAGATGCATTTGAAACATCTGTTATGTGCAGTTGCCCCTTAGTAAGATTCTGCACCAAAAATTATAATAAATCATAAATAGAAACATAATATAAAACATAATATAAAAAATAGATTAGCTATAATACCCAAATAAGCCATGTATCAATTGTTCCAAATACACATTTTTTTTCATCCACTGCATGTTTAATACGAGGAACGTTATCAATAAGCCAACGTATTTTAAGAGCACTAAAATATGGTGACATTGGAAGGCCACAAAGTGGTTTTAAGTAATTTTTATTTCTTGTTTTGTTAGGCACACTATCCAATATATCCTCTAAAGTTGTAGTTGTTCTCATATCCAACCACACTGCAAAGTTTGTTAACAATTAATCTTATTAATAACGACTTACACAAACATGCATATTATTGACACAGTAAAAATTGTGTTTTACCAATTGCATTGTGCAATGGTTCTCCCGTATTTCTATCCCACATTAAAGTGGTTTCTCGTTGATTGGTAATCCCAATTGCTTTGATGTCAGATACGCTTAAACCAATATCCTTTAATTTTTCTACTGTTATCTTGATGCAATCGATAACAGCTTGTAAAATTTCTTTTGGATCTTGTTCCACCCATCCTTCCTGCGGATACTTCTGCTTGATTTCAATTTGGTGTGATGCTACTACTTTTCTACGCAATACATCAAATACCTAAAGTAAATATGATACATTATATATTGTATTTAAATACTTTTTATTATTTTACATGAATATATTATTATTTGTACAAACAGTAAGAAAATTGCATTTAGCGAATATATAAATAAAAAATAAATATTATATCATTTATGAATTAAAAGTTATAGATGATCTTAAAAATCAAATATTTGATATCATGCTATCATAATGTAAACATGGTGCTCCACGTAGGTATACTAGCGTACTTCAAATTACGTTTATTCATCTTCGTCAATAATCCCTTATTTTTGTTACATACATCTTAATGCATGAAAAAAAATTACTTACTAAAAATCTAGCGCTACTTGTTCCTTCGTCTATTGCTCCTATAAATGGTCCGGAACGATTAAAATTTTGAGACATAGTATTTTTTTTGGGTCACTTAAATTTCAATGAAATGTTCGAAAAAACATTTGAATGTATTTGTGCAGTGATCTGTACTTAATCTTTATCTTAACTTGTTATATAATAATATAAAATCAAATATAAAACATATTAGATGACATAATGACACATATTTCAAATGAAATTAAAAAAATATACATTATTTATCTTTTGTTCTATATAGCTTTTTATTGATCACATTAGAAATTCATCGTCATTCATCAAATAATGTAATATAGATTTTAGAGTACACGTAATAAAAATTAAATGCTCAATTTTCTATTATAATTTGTCAATTAATTTGTCAGTTGTTATTTACGAAATCGTACAAATATTAAAGATGATGGAAATACATCAAACGCTAGGTTTATGCATGAAATACATTTATTTCTTTTTTTGCAAGTAAATGAATTATTAAATTTATACTCTATATAAGTTAATAACATTACATAGTATTACCATTTCAATTAACATTGCTTAAAAAAAGATGTACATATTAATATTTATTCAATCTATCCGAGATGTAAAATACATTACTAAATAACATAATAATCAATGCAAATATCTAACTTTTTGTTTTAAATATATTCGTTATTCAAAATAAGTTAATTAACATATATTTCCATAGAAATACGAAAATACAGTGTAAGAGTAAGTTGAAGGAGCGATATATGTAGTTATATATAGAAAGAGAACGTTGCTACAGTTCGTCTAGGTCCAGGGTCGTCAAAATAAATAGGTGGGGATGTTGGAGTAAAATTTCCCAGGCCCAAAATTCGCAAGGTCCCGAGCATTATTCCATAATTCGTTTTGTTCTTTTTTTGCTTAGGGCCTATGAACATAAATATTTTTTCGCAGGTCCGATGACATCTTTCGACGCCCCTGCCTATAGGTCCATGATTTCAAGTGTTGTTCTTCTAGAGTTTTTCCCATTAGAAGGTTTGCTACGAAAATATTTCCCCAGATTTCTCTATTCTAGTAACTTTTAACGCTTGAGCTAGTATTTATCTCATTTCACTTTGCGTTACCGGTAAGGACGGACGTACGTTTGTGGGTGCAGTGGACAATTATTTGTTCGATGATAATTGAATTAGATTAAGTGTTCGCCAGTGTCTAATACACGTGAATTTTGTAATGTTTCAGGCAAATAACTATTAAACTGGCTTCGTAATACACGTTTATTACTTGGCCGGATTTCTTTATTACGGTAGAGTAAGTATTCCATGATACGTCGTGTCTGCCCCATGCGAAACCCTCTCCCTCTTTCCTCTTGTCCTTCTCGCTCTGGGATGTAACGGCATCAGACTTAGATTGCAAGTCTTCTATTTCGATACAAAAATACGTGGATACTATTTCGATCCATGCAACTTGCATACATTCATTTTGAAAGAGGTTACCGATCTTATGACGTGTCAAGTGAATACTTCATTCCATATGGTGGTCACTGCCTCAACCACTTGGTGGTCATTGACATGCTGGCATTTAACTTGAACTGTTTTCCTATTTCCTATTAAATATCGCAATCGTTATGAACTTTTATGGGTGGTTAGCGTCTAGAGTTATTTGTGTTAAATATGTAATCATTAATTAAATGCTTATTTGAAAAGAATGTACTAGAAAAAATTGTTCATAGTACTATTACATTCTGTAAAAATTTTTGGCATTTTTAGCAGTCTTTCAAAATCCTTTGTTTCTGTTGTTCTGTCTAGTCTTTTAATTCATTTTCCATCTTTTCAATAGGTTTTATTTAGTTGTTAAAAGTATTTTGTTTTAAATATTATATGCATATAAGTATTAATGAATTCAATTTTAGAATAAAATTGATTATGTAATTTTTTATTTTTAAATTAACTGCATGAAATTCTAGTTTAAATTTATTATATAAAATAAAAATTCAGATTTGAAATATAAGAATTGGAGTTCCTTTTAATGGTTACTTGTGTGTGTTAAGTAATAAGTTTTGTTTGATTAATATTCTTTTGTGTTATAGTGCTACTGTAAGGACTTGGCACGGAACAGGACAACCCCATCATGCAGCAGCAGTCAGTAATGGAAGAGGGAACGGCCTATGAGCCACCTACTTATGATGAGACATTCCCAGTTCTTCCTGAGTCAGCCAGTTCAAGTTCAGGGAAATTAAATATTTTCTCTATAAATAATAATTTACAGCTTGGACGTATAACAATCACACAGGTATATGTCATTTGATTACAGTGTATGCGTATAATTTTTTACAATGTATTTATTTATCCTTTTAGATATTTCGTGTGCCTGGAGAAGAACGCAAATTTGATCATAGTGACAAATTTGGTGAACGTGAATCCATACGTACATGTAAAACTATAATGAAAGAGACAAATACTAATATTGAAATAGCATCATCGAAAGATCAATCTCTTACATTCCTAATAACTGGCAAGCAAAATCAAGTGTTGGAAGCTAAGCGTCGAATTTTAACAACATTTCAGACTCAGGTTAAACATCATGGCCATTTCTAAAATTAAACTCTCCATTGTAATGAATGATCTTATAATGGAATTATTACTATAGGCAAGTAAACAAATTAGCATTCCTAAGGACCACCATCGTTGGATTCTTGGAAAACAGGGACAGCGTCTCAAGGATCTAGAGAAGACAACTGCAACAAAGATAAATGTTCCGTCTGTGCAAGATCAGTCAGATATAATCACAATTACAGGAACGAAAGAGGGAATAGAAAAGGCTGAACATGAAATTAGGGTTATTTCAGATGAACAGGTTAGTGGTATTATTTGTTATTTTAGTTATCTTGTAGTAAACAAGTAACATGTACAGTATTTGGTTATATTATAGTCAAGAAAAGCATTTGAAAGAATATCTGTGCCAAAAATATATCACCCCTTTATACATGGTGCACACAATGAGAATCTCAATGCTATGATGGCAGAAACTGGTGCTCGAATTAATATCCCTCCTGCTTCTGTGCAAGAAGATGAAATTACTATTGCAGGTGAAAAAGAAGGAGTCTTGGCAGCAAAACAAAAAATTGAAGCTATTTACAGAGATATGGTAAGAGAGACTAAACAGAAATTACATAAATTTGTATATGTTTTAGAATTAAAATTATAATTATGGTTTAGGAAAAAAGATGTACAACAGTATCAGTTGAAGTTCCCAAACAGCAGCACAAATATGTTATTGGTCCACGTGGTAGTACCATAGCAGAGATATTACAAGTAACTGGTGTAAGTGTAGAAATGCCAGCACCAGATTCCCCTACTGGAACTATTACTCTTCGAGGACCTCAAGAAAAGCTTGGCCAAGGTAATATTTAATCCATAATTGGAAAAACAATTAAATATATAAACATCTAGTGTTAACGAATATATCCGATAATATAGCATTGACCAAAGTGTACGAAAAAGCAAACAGTGTTCGTACAGCTGTTGTGAAAGCACCAGTATGGATTCATAAGTATATAATAGGACGAAAAGGAGTTAATATCAAACGTATTACGCAAGAAATGCCGAAAGTAAATGTAGAATTTACTGGTAAAGAAGACAAGATTAAGATTGAAGGTCCTCCTGAAGAAGTAGAAAAAGCACAAAATGAACTTCAATTAATGGCTAGTGATCTCATATCCAAGCTTACTTTTACAGAATTAAATGTTGATCCTCGATTTTATAAACATATTATTGGGAAAAATGGTTGTAATGGTGAGTAATTGACTATTATTTTAATTATTGTATTAATTATAAATTATTTATGTTTTCTTCTGTACAGTAAATCGTGTGAAAGAAGGTACAGGCGTTGTTATTAATATTTCTGAGAATGACGGTAGTAATGTTATTCGTATCGAAGGAAACCTTACTGGTGTGCTCAAAGCTCAAACGGTTTGTATTGTGCATTCATTCTATATACACGATATAATATATACTTTAAACTCAAGATTTACTGAAAGATTTGTTACAGGAATTAGTAGAAATGGTGAGGAAATTAGAGAACGAAAAAGAGAAAGATGTGATAATAGATCATCGTTATTATCCGGGTATTATCGGAAACAAGGGAGATAATATTAAAGAGATTAGAGATAAGTTTAACCAAGTACAGATTACTATTCCTGGTCTAGGTATGTAGCGTGATATATGCAATAACTAGAACTCGGATTTATGCCAGGTACAAACATTCGAAAGACCTCGGTTCTTGTTGGCATTTAGCCAACAGGGGCTCGATGTGAATTTTTAGAGTGCAGATAATATATATCATTTTGCATTGTTATGCACTCTTTTTTGTTTAATTATACAAAAATAGAATACCTAAAATTTAAAAGTCACTATAAAATAATTATATACAACTTTTAAGATCTAGATATTTTACATAGTATTATTTAAAAATTTTCTGTTGATAGGCGCGACAGGAGATATAGTAAAGATTAGAGGACCCAAAGAAGATGTAGATAAGTGCCATAAGTATCTAATGAAGTTAGTAAAAGAATTGAACGAAAATAACTATGTATTAGAAGTCCCCATTTTTAAACAATTCCATAAATTTATCATCGGAAAGGGTGGAGTAAATATTCGTAAGGTTGGTATCTTCTTCGTTATGTCACATTGTAAATGTATTTTATTTTAAATAATATATATGTTAACTTTATAGATAAGAGAGGAAACTCAAACTAAAATTGACTTACCAGCTGAAGGTGAAAAAAGTGATGTCATAACCATTACGGGAAAAAAAGAAAACGTCGAGAAAGCTAAAGAAATGATTCAGAAAATCCAAAATGAATTGGTAATTTATATATATATTTTTATAAAAATAATGTTGAAATAATTGTTAATTGTTTATATTAATGCATCTTGTTATCAGGCTAACATCGTTACCGATGAAATAGTAATTCCACCGAAGTATTATAACTCACTTATTGGCACTGGTGGAAAATTGATTCATTCCATTATGGAAGATTGTGGCGGTGTTGCCATTAAGTTTCCTACTGCAGAAAGCCGAAGTGATAAGGTAAATTATTGTTAATTCTAACGGTGATAATCCTATGTCTTTCTTGATTTGTCAGTATAGACGATAAAATCATTAATATTTTATACTTAGGTAACTATTAGAGGGCCTAAAGAAGACGTCGAGAAAGCAAAACAACAATTGCTTGAACTCACAAATGAAAAACAATTATCTAGCTATTCAGCCGAGGTTCGTGCCAAAGTACAGCATCACAAATTTCTCATTGGAAAAAATGGTGCCAATATTAAAAAGGTCTGTAATTATTTATTCATGGAGTTTACATAATATATGCCAATATTACTTACACATATTTATTCTAGATAAGAGAATCCACGGGTGCACGTATCATATTCCCAACGGACGATGAGCATGATAAAGAAGTAATTACTATCATAGGAAAGAAGGAGGCTGTTGAAAAAGCTAAGGCTGAACTAGAAGCTACAATCAGTGAAATTGTACGGGCTACTGTTACACAAAACTACTTTTGCATTTGTCTTAGGAGTATAATTATTTTTTGAATTCTTTATTTTGTAGGATAATATCACTGAAGGAGAAATTCGTATTGATCCAAAGCATCACAGACATTTTGTAGCTCGTAGGGGTGGTGTGTTGCATCGTATTGCAGATGAGTGTGGGGGAGTGCAAATTTCATTCCCGAGAGCTGGTGTCGATAGTGATCGAGTAATTTTAAAAGGTTCACACGAATGCATAGAGGCAGCGAAACAACGAATGCGAGAAATTGTACAGGAATTGGTAAAATTTTTTAATTACTACTTTCATTATTTTCTCTAATTTCGCATTTTTCATAGGAATGAAAATTTCGTTTATACTTCTTAGGAATCTATGGTAACTGAAGAATGCATAATACCGCAAAAACATCATCGTACGGTGATGGGAGCAAAAGGTCGTAAGGTGCAAACAATTACGTCTGAATATGATGTACAAATTAAATTCCCTGACAGGGATACGTATGGTTAGTACATAAAATTGTTTTTTAACAAAACTTCAACAAATTTTTCAAGTTCACGCTTATATTTTAGATGAGCAACGTGTAGCGGGACAGATGAATGGGGAGAATGGAGAAGTTACTGAGACCATTCCAGCCTGTGATATTATTCGTATCACTGGACAACCAGAAAATGTAGCAGCTGCTAAACAAGCATTGCTAGATCTTGTACCGATTACAATAGAGGTTCGTTTTCTCAATAATCATATTACATTGCGTTAATAATCGAATGACTATATAAATGCAAAATGTATTACAGGTAGAGGTGCCGTTTGATCTACATCGTTCTATAATAGGCCAGAAAGGTCGAGATGTGCGAGAACTAATGAATACATATGATGTTCATATCATGCTGTCTCCGGCAGAAGAGAAGCTTGATTATATCAAGGTATGTAGAGTAGTTAATTATTATTTAAAATGAAATAATAATATGTGATCTATTTATTAGATTTCTGGAACTCCTTCATGCGTTGAAAATGCAAAACAAGCTATTCTTGACAAATGCAAAGCATTGGAAGCGGAAAGACAAGATAGAGCTTTAAAATCGTTCGAATTGAAGGTGAGTTCAGTTGTTAGTACTATAAATGCGGAATACTTGTGTATTATCTAAATGTATATTTCAATTTTTTTTAGATCGAAGTTGATCCAGAATATCATCCGAAGATAATTGGACGAAAAGGAGCAGTAATTAATAAAATACGTAGTGATCACGATGTTCAAATCAATTTCCCACGTAAAGGTGACCCTGAAGAACATATCATTACAATTACTGGTTACGAAAAAAATGCTTGTAGTGCACGAGATGATATTATGAAAATTGTCAATGAATTAGTAAGTTTATTAATCCAATGGTATTATTTATCTTATGTTGTAGAATACGATGATTTTTAACAAAATATATTTTATAATTCAGAATGGGTTGACAAAAGAAGAAGTACACATCAATGCTGCTGTACATTCACGTTTAATTGGTTCGAAGGGTAGGAATATTCGTAAAATAATGGACGAATTTAAAGTGGATATCAAATTTCCAAGAAAAACTGATCCTGACCCCAATATTGTAACAATTGTGGGAACAGAGGACAACGTGGCAGATGCAAAAGATCGTTTATTGAATTTGGAAGAAGAATACGTAAATATTTTAGAATAAATTTCTACTATATATATTTTAGCATTTAAGTAGTGGAGTCTTTTAAACTGAATTTCACGATATTTGTGAAATTTCAGATTCAAGATGTTTTAGAAAATGAATATCGTGAAAATTTACGTTCACCTCAACGAGACGAGAGGAATTCTGGAAATTCTGGCTTCGTCGTGAAAGGAGGACCTTGGGAGCAGCAACCACAAAGTGCTCCGAATACCGCTAGTGTTGAAGAATTTCCACAATTTGCTGGGTATTCACACGTACCTGTGACTAATCCTGACGGTCCTTGGGGTGTAAAACGTTAATATATCAGTCGAGTAAAACTGAATGAAAACTATAAGGTAACATTATATAACTTTCCTCTGACAAACGATACAAAAGGGTACACACATTAGTGCTAGGTGGTTCCCTGTTCCATTACTGATGTTGCTGCATACGACCTGGCCACTCTATTGGACTCTGATACTGGTTTACTACATAACGTTTGACGATGATGTTTATATTTGCAGTTCATATACTAATAACCTATGTATCTGTAACTGTAACGCATGATATTTTAAGTTGATTGCCATGTTAGGAATATACACACATACAGTCAGACGCAAATTGCGAGTGATTTCATTCATAAACAGAACGTCTGATTTCTTCATAACTTTTATTTTTACTGATATGCCTTTCAGGTACAGATATGTTGTACTTAAGACTGTGGCTTCGTAGGAACTAATTTTTTTGTGTATATTATATATTCTTCAGATTGTCTCTATCCGTATAGATTGTGCGGTTAAACATATTGCGTTTAGCCGGATATAATGTTTTGTTAATTTATTTATATTTTTTGTATATAAATTGCATTTTTTTGTTGTGTTGGACTTAAGTGAAATCGTTTTTGAACTATCATGATGATACATATTAGAGTCTATATCAAACCTTTATGAAACGTAAAGCTTTAAGGTCTTTCTAAGGAAAACGTTCCTAAACATGATTTCCTGCTTGTTTTTTATATATGTAATGTGATAAAAGGTCGCTTTATATTTTTTAAATTCCAGTACACTAAAAAAACGGAAACATAACAATCTGCCAGTGAACTGAATGTACATTATTAAATATTGAATTTAACAAAAATTAATGAACATTGAATGTATATCAGGGGAACATAATCTTTAGAAGGCCTTGCTAATTATTGCACTGCATTTATGCAGTCATCAAAGACGAGACACGAGATTATTGGAATTATTGAAAGAGAAAAATCATGAATACTGTAATTTAAAAGCGATACGCCGTGTTCTTTGAATAGCTAATTTTATTTATTCTCTCTGTTTTACTGTTTGCTGTATGATGTGCAAATTTTTGCATTCTACTATTTATGAGGCCAACTAGCTAAGAAAAGATATTCGGTTCAAGTGCCTTGTCTATTTTCTTCAAGACAGCTCATTTCAATTGTTGGAGGAATGTGAATATTAGTTTATATATAATTATATATAGTATATAAATATTGATAATAATTATTATATACATATAATCAATTATGATAGGTATTGTACTGCACGTACAATAATATACTACCATCATGAATAAAATAATAGATACTATCATGTATACAGAAATTCACCTATATTTTTTAGATTTACAGTAATTTTTATAAAACTACTTGGTACGACGACTTATGTGTCATCTCCAATGCATGGTTTATACAAGATGCCAGAATTAGCAATCTTAATATGCTTAGTTTTGGCTAAAGATTTGATAGATGCTGTGCATGAATGTACCTTTTCTAATGAATTATAAATACAAAATAATTGTAATTATGGAATAATAATATTCTCTGTACACATGTCATGATATATGAATTCTATTGTAACAATATATATATACATACATATATATATACATACATATATATTATAATTAATCTATTGTTAAAAAAGTTGTTATTTTTTCCTTCTGTGGTTCATAGCCACATTTTTAAACAAACTCTCGGTATTAATACTGTGTCACTTTGTCAATTTAATATATTTATTGCAAAGTAGATGAAAGTTGTAACATCTTTAATTGCTTTACAAATCCTTCATTAGGTTTAATGCAATTTCTCAACTTTTTCACTCTGTCGTAAGCATCATTATAAGGTAACTTCTCAACAGTCATTAAATAAGAAATAATAATTGTTGGTGCACGAGATACACCGGCATTGCAATGTACAAGAATATTTTCATGACGATTTTCATGTATTATTTTAATACATTTTTTTACTGGCACTATTAGATCAGATTCAGGTAAATCTAATAAATCACAGTAATAATACTTAATCCCATCAAATTTTTCCATTACGTTAATACCAACGCTTAAAATATGACGAATATTATGTTCTTGTAAAATTTCTTTATTTGCAACAGGATCTTGCGAGCTGAGATAAAGTCCTGACATTATCTGACTGATTTGTAAGTCAGGTTTATTATCTACCACAAATGGTATTCCAACTGGTAATTCTTTCTTTTCACCGTTCACTTCTTGGTACCTTTGACCAAGCATATTTGTGACAACAGTTTTACAGGATTTCAACTGTAATCTTTTATTCTTTATTAAGTTTTCTAAACTCATTGTTATATATATAATATTTGATGAAGTCAAAATATACCAATTATGAAAAGGCTACTTTGTTTATATTTTTGCATAATTTACTTCTTTTCCTTCTACTGGTATGACTATTCTATGATTAGGATCCGTTTCATATTCTATTTTATATTGATCTAAGTCCTCTTGACAATATTCTATATTTGCAAGAAATAAACCATGTCCTGGAACTGGTTGTATTTTACTAGGCCAATTGTGATGGCCAGGAACTTGTAACATTATAGTTATATCTCTTTCTGTTAATTTTCCAGTAGCTAAAGCAAATAGAGCTGATACAATTCGTCTGACCTGTAAACAAATAAAATTAGTATAAGAATTGTAATATTTACATTCATATTTGAGTTGTTCATAGAAATATTCAAATACTGCACAATACAAAATGAAAGTGATAGAAACTCAAATATAAAAAATACAATTAAATTGGTTTACATATGTAATCATAAACATAATTATTTCAAAACAATTATTATTTAAAGTTTAATATATTTATAGAAAGTTAATTGTATTCAATTATTATTCAAAATAATATTAATTCATATACCTGTTTATACAAAAAACCTTTTGATGAGCATACGATATTCCAAAAGTCAAAATCTTGGGACAATGGATCAAGTGGCATAAAGGGTTGACCTTTTTCTAGCGTTAAGACATTTAGTTTCCTTACGTAATTAATGGGTCTTGAATCAATTTTTTTTGCGCTGAATGTTTGAAAATTTTGTGTTCTCAAAAATAACTTGAGTCCATTTCTTAATCTTTCAATGTCAATATCATCTGATCTATTACATGCATGATACAAGATTATAAAATAATGAACAATACATTCAGAAGATAATATTTCTCTAATAAATAATACCTTAAATAATGACAATATGATCTTTCCATAATTGGAATCTTATGATTATCTTTATTTTTGGGTATCATAAACCTATACACATATGTTCTAGACTTTATTATGTGTTTCGCTTGAAAATTTGGCTGCACAGGAACAAACTCTAAAAGTCTTAAAATACAATGATGATTTCTTACAAACGTATAATCACTAAACAGAATGTTAATAGTGAGTAACTAATTACCTAATATCATGATTACACTTTAACAAATATCGATTGATATATTTAAGTGCTTCCTCGGGATTATAAATAACATTGTACTTATTGATTAAATCAACCTGACCTATGTTGCCCAAAGCATGGACTCCAACGTCTGTTCTATAATTTATATTTTATATATTACTATTTATAATTTTAAAAAGCACAATTATTTTAATTTATGATTAGATATAAGATATGAAATAAGAAAAAACAATTTTGTGCAAAGCCCTTCACCTGCTACTACAGTACATTCTTGGTGGATGTATACATTTTGGTATTAGTATTGTAAAAGCAGTTTCTAAAGCACCTTGAATAGTATCTGGATCATTCAACATAATATATGTATCTTTAATCACATTTTTCTGAATTCCTCTAAAAATATATACAATTTATACATAATACAAAATTTTAACTTTCTGTTTTAATTAGATAGACTAACTAAAAACATAAGAATATCTATAATTATACCTATACTGTGTGCCAAGATATGAAAATTTAATGAAATATCTTCCCATTTTTCCAATTTATAGAAAGATACAAAATATAATTAATGTTTCAGTCACAAATTAAACGTACAGTTCACTTTTACAAAAATAACCTTAAAATGACTATAAAGCACGCTTAGTTTAGGTTTGTTTATAAGCACGTGGGATATTACTATACGGTTCAGAGGCTAAGGTTAGATGATGTTATGTAATCAATACATAAGCAGCACTTAATATTTCTCGCAGTTCAAACAACAATGATATAAATTAATACAACTTCAAAAACTGAAGTTTCATTTAATAAACATCCTTACCTTTGTTTCTGTAAGCACTGCACCAATTTTTCGTTTGTATACCGAGGGCCCGAGAAATTTTCAATACGATCCTGTAATTACCTCCTTCACTTTCATGTTATCCTATTACATTACTTTTAGTTCAAGATGTGTACCGGTAGATGGTGTTGCCTCATTTTTTTTTTACTTATGCTCGAAATACAGTGCAAGGAACTGTGTAGTAATATTATAAATGAAGAAATGATGTTTAGTCAGTACAATAATTATAATTACATTTTAGACACTTTTAAAGGGAAAGAGTTACAAAAGTATGATTCGAAAATAAACAATTTGTATGTATTACATTTGATATACGCGTAGTTTATTTTAAATTGTAATCGATACATAATAGACACGTAATAAGATAATCTCAAAAATCATGCTCCATTGCACAAATAGATTAAATCAAACTCCATAATTAATGAAGTTACTTGTAACGTAACAAATCGATTTATTTACGCTTATAAAAGTTCCAGGCAGTTTATGTTGCACAGTAATTGAATACTTTCTTTTCTGCCCATTCGTACAATGAAGGGACGATTAATATGGTGGTGGAAGATTATTAAACAATATTTACAAAACTGTAGCGTACATGGCGTCAGATATCTGGTCGATGACAATATTACATATGCGGAAAGGTAAATGTGTTTTATAAAAAAATTATAACCGCTATTAATATACTTCGAAAAATTTTTATTCACAGATTTTTTTGGCTGATCTTTTGCGTGTTATGTTGGATCGGATGTGCAGTTACGATCAAGGATGCGGTGACAAATTTTATTAAGTCTCCCGTTGCTGTAACCACCGAGACTATGTATCTCGATTGGGAGACACCTTTTCCCGCCATTGCTTTTTGCATTTCTACCAGCAAAAAAATTAAGACTGACTATTCTAACACGTAAGTTAATTTTTGAAGATAAAATATATTGAACGATATTTGAAGAGAAAGAAATTTTTAGACAGCGTCAGAAACATAGAAAAATAAAAAATTTTCCAAAATATGGAACGTTGACTTTATTAGTAAAAATACGATTATATTAAACATAAATTTATATTTAAGCAATCCAGGAATGTTGCCGAATAATTTCAAACGTGCTTTGTTTAAAACATCGGCTGAGGATCTTTTGCTTGCTTACGAAGGGGTAAGACGGTGTATTTCATATATTTACTAGCAGAGTAATTAATTTAATTTATTACAGTTGAAAGCGCCCTGTGCGGACTTTCTTGCCGAATGCAGTTGGAACAATGTGAAGTTCAATTGTTGTACCGAATTTCAAGAATTAAAGAAAACTGGCATCGGATATTGTGTCGCGATGAATACTTACCACTTGAAGAAAACTAATCAACCGAGTGTACGATTTTTCATCAACCGCACCGTGAAATACGGCGATCTGATAATTGATTTCAAGCTAAACGCGAAGGCGAAGGAACACTCTCACTCTTCATTTACAGTTCGTATCCTACAGTTCTTTTTTAGCAGACAATTTGAGACTTACAACACGCTAATTTACCGTACGATTTAGGTGCACGTCCTCAACAACCTGCAGCTACCGATGCTCACCAACATAGAAAAGGACGAGATCCGCATGAAGCGTGGCAGTACAACTCCGGTTCAGTTCATAATGTATGATACATTCAACGAGGATGGAGTGAAGTACGTCCCGATTATGCATAGAAATTGCCGCTTTATGTACGAGAATCGCGTTGACAGTCTGTTTGACATTTATAGTAGCGACTCGTGTTATCTTCAGGTACACAAATCTTAAATATCATACAAATAAGACGGTTCTGAAAATGCATAAATAATTTATACCTCACCAAGACTGATTAATTACACGGGCATTTAGATGATAATAGAACGGATGATAAAGTTCTGCGGTTGTGTGCATTTTTATTATATCGTACCGTCTGGAGCGAGGGTTTGTAACGGAAGCGAAATGCGCTGCATAATCGCCAACAAGACGGAAATCATGTCCAAGTCGGAGAAACTCGAACAATGCAACCCGAATTGCGAGGGAACGTCTCTGATCATGTATGAAGATAAAGTATTTCTACTTTAGATTTGAAATGTTTAAGGGTTGCCTTTTGTCTATAAAATATGATACATAGTTTGACAAACCCTTATGTGACAGAAACCGAATGGAATCTTCTGAGTATGACTCTCTGGATCGTTCCTCCTCAAGAGTCCATGTTATTCTACTTTCGCAACCGGTGAAGAGATATCGCCGATACGTGGTCAACGACATATTGGATGTAATAGGTACAAATCTAATACTAATACAATTTAGTTTGCTCAATAAAAGTCACAGTCAAATGATTGTTTTAAAAAAAAATGATTCCCGTTTTCAGTTGCAGTCGGAAGCGCTTTCGGCCTCTTCATGGGCGTCAGTATTTTGAGCTTCTTCGAAATACCGTATTGGTTCTTTATACGTCGAGATAAACTGGAGAACAATTTTTCTTGAATCAACGTTTTGAAAGTCACAGATTGTTTGATATCACGGGTGCAATCGATACTGTTCGTTTTACAACGACACTGCAGTCCGTGCACGAGATTGTTACTAAAACGAGAACCAGAAGTAAACATAACGATTTTTTGTACACATGCACAGTTTAATCTAGCAACTATTCGTCGTTAAATATGCACGCGAGAAACTAGGTAGTTACTGGTTATAAATACATCAGAGATACAATCAAAAAAGGCTTGACTTGATGCTTATATAAAGAGGATCGTGTACTGCAGTATTTACTTCCTTAGTCATGTCAAGATCAGAGCTGAAAATTCGACTTACTCCAGAACGCTTGCACGACAAAGTACAATATGATACGAGTATTAATTCTGATCCACTGACCACCCAGGAAGTCAAGGATTTGGTTAAAAAGGCAATAGGCGAAAAAAGGGAGGTACAGAAATTCTCCTTCAAACCCTACTCCGATGGGAAGCTTGGATTCCTTGGATCGTACAAACAATTGTGTGTGGACGTTAAAACCGCAAATGGGAAAGAAACGCTATACTTCTTTGTTAAAACGGTGCCTTTCGAGGTGCCGTCACAAGCGGAATACGTACTAGACAAATGTGTTTTCCTCAAAGAGACGATCTTCTACCGCGACATAGTTCCTGAACTCTATTACGGATACAGAGACAAAGCTTGGAGTTCAACTTGCTACATTGTTAAAGACAATCTGCTGGTATTCGAGGACTTAGGAGTAAAGGGTTATACTCTGAGAGATAAATTGTTTGACAAAGAGTCGGTTGTTTCCGGTTTAACGGCCATCGCAAAGCTGCACGCTTGCTCTCTGTTGGCGGAAGCCCGTCTTGGAACATCCCTGAAGAAGTTATATCCCGCTGCATTCGTGGAGAACGCCTTCAGCCACACTGGGAAGACTAGAACATGGTTTGACGTCAGCGTTAAAGCCATCGTTGCCGTAGCTAAACATCTTGGTCTTGACGAGAGTTTGCTACCAAAGGCGTGCGAGGAGGTGTTTCCCGCGATGGAGATGTCGTCTGTGAAAAAGAACGTCGTCAGTCACGGAGATCTTTGGGGAAACAATCTCATGTTCAACGATGAAGAGCCTTCGCACTGTGTGCTGATTGATTTCCAGTTGTTGAGGTATTCTCCTCTGGCGCACGACGTCGCGCAATTCTTGTACCTCTGCACGGAACGTGACTTTAGAACAACCTGGGAAGAGACCATGTTGAAACATTATTACAATGTCTTGTGTGAGACACTGAAATTTTCAAGGCAGAGCAATGTAGACATCCCGTCTTGGTCAGAGTTGATCCAAGGAATGGAGGAACAACGGTTAGGTGCACTCATCACGGCTTGCGTGTACTTTCAGACAGTACTTATGGATAAACATTTAAGCGCGGATCTTTTGAACGATGCTGACAGTTATCATCAGTTTGAATTTGAAAATAGGGACGAGATAATACTGAGAACTATGAAGACCGATTCTGTATACTGTAGGAGACTGGCGGACGCTGTTACCGAATTGGTTGAGCTCAGTTTTCGTTTGGATCAGTTACCCAAACCTACGTAACATTAAACAAGTTTTAACTCTTCTCAGATAAATCATAAGTTCAATGATTGTACGACACTTTGTATTACACATTTCTATATAAACGGAGACACTGTATTTGTAAAATAACATGTAATAAATAATACATAAAATAAATGTTTCTCATTCCATAACATCATGATTTCAATAGAATATCTTTTTGTTCATCGATTGATAAGTAAATGAAATTTCTGGTACGAGTAAAAGCAATCAAAAACCACAATTTTAAACGGGATAAAATCTATTTGAATCAATGTCATTCACAGGAGTCTTCAGTAAAAAAGAGTATCATGATCTATCTGGGCTTTCCTTCATCAATGTTCAATATCGTCTCCGGAAGAATAGTCGATAGGAAAGACCAATTGTAATCGACGAGTTGTACTTTCATTTCGTCTGTATCCTTGTCTTCAACTACGGGCGAAGATTGTCGCTTCACTGGCCGCGGGGATTCTTCTTCGCTCTCGTCCGTGGTATCCGCTTCATTCTGCGCTTCATTCCTTCGAAAACAGAAAAGAAAACCAAGTATGATCATAAATATATTTATAAAATAATTTCAATCTTACCTGGTGTTCTTGTCGTCTGTTGATTGAGTTTTCGTAGCAGGTGACAGTAACAGAGACGTAATGAAAGAAGAACAAAGCAACTTCATGGGTGGCAGAGTATGGGCCGAGACACTCAGTAGCTGAAACGAGTAACATTAATTTATGTCCACAGAAAGTTTAAAATAATTTGTATATAGAAGTAAAATATGTTTCTGCGTAGGTTTTGCGAAAGAAGAAAACGAGCTGGAAAGATAAACGGTTCGAGAAGATGAAAAGTCTGAGAAGAATTTGAAATGCATTTACTTTGGTCGTACTGACGCTCGCGACGTCCGATTAGTTAATTAACGTTAACGCTGACGCAGGCACACCCCCGAATGAAAATTTCTGCAATTCCTGCAATCTTCTACTTCAGATCTAGGTTGACGCGTCTCTTACGCGGCCTACACGAGTATTCGCGGTACACACCAGTTTTCGCCAGAAATTTGCCAGAAACGATGCATCACGGAAAAGAAATATTACTGGGAAAAATCTGAACACTTTTCTTTACTGAATCATGATGACCTCAGACCTCGTATTAAAATTTGTATAAACTAATTCTAATATTCTCTGGTACGCCATACTAATTTTAACAAGAATAAAAAAGATTTATAAAAGATGTAAATTCAGGATGATTCACATAAATGGTGCTTCATTTTACTTTTTATGTGTTGAATATTATTTCTTCGATTACCTAACTTTTCAAAATTGAAGAAAAACCGTATACCTTCAATAATTTGCAGCTTCAATAAATCAACATGTTCTTTTCCGGCAAATTAACATCAAATTATTATGTATGTCTTAGGGTACCAATTTTGTTATAATTTATTTTACAACAGACATCGTATTATTGTCTAAAGAAATTAATTGCTAACTCAGATAATACTGGATTCTATCTAAATTTAAGAAAAATGTATTGTAAGAGAATTTAGTATAAAAAGGAGCATGATCGATACAGCGATAGAATAACGCCTACAACACACGAGAAGAGAATACGATATTATTAATAGGTAACGTAACAATCAGGACAGTTCCCGTGGGAGATAAGAGTTTGTTCCTAGCTTCCCAACAGGTTCGTCCTGACCTGGTTTTACCGGAACATTTGCAAACAATTCTGAAGCAACGTTGAAAACCACCGTTCTCCATTGTACACCGTAACGAGAACGAATAAAGGACCCGGGGCGGTTCGACAGTAACGTTGATACCGGGTGAAGTTGTCTTTTTGACGACTCTTTTCTTAGTTTTTCAAGCGACGATATAATCAAGTTTCTCAATTTTCGAATTACTAAATTCTCGAATCACTATGAATTCGAATTTCCAGATATTCAAATCTTTGAATTTGCAGATTCACAAATTTTTAAATATCGGAATTTTTAAAACTTCAAGTTTTTAAATATTTTAATCTCTTTTCTAATTTTCAGGTCTTCGTATTTGTAAATTTTTAACCCCCTGAATCTCCAAAGTTTCAACCTCTCGAAGTATGAAACTTAGGTGTCTAATCTTCAGTTTCAACCCCCAAGTTCTCAAATTTCCAGATTTTCATATTTCCAAATTTTTAACTCCCAATTTCTCAAACTTCCAAATTTTTAACCCCCAAGTTCTCAAATTTCTAAATCTTCAAGTTCCAAATTTTTAATCCCCAATTTCTCAAACTTCCAGATTTTCATATTTCCAAATTTTTAACCCCCCGAATCTCCAAAGTTTCAACCTCTCAAAGTACCAAACATCTGTGTCTAATCTCTACTTTCTCAAATTCATCTTCCAACTTTCCAAACTTCAAGCTTCGCAAATCCCGAATTTCCGGAGTTTCCAAATCCTCAAATTCCAAACTTTCACCCAGATATGTACTCTAACTGAACGTCTACTGTCAGAAGTTTTGATTCTTCAATCACTCTGACTTCGAGTTTGCTCATTGATCTAGCTGATAGAAAATTTAATTAACACCGCATGACCTGCCAGTACAGGGATACACTCAATGAAACAGCGAACGAAGCGTTAAACATAAACAATAAACAATATGAGTAACTCTTGAATGAAGAAGATTAATCATGTTTTGAATTATTATCTGGTATTATGAAATATCTTAGTTCTTGAATAGTTGAATGCATGAAACATAACAACTTATGAGACAGATTTCCAGAAGAATATAGAAGGAAGCTGCCCAGTAAACAATTAAGTCGCAACGTTTCCATGGAATTGACGCAATTTATAAAGCCTGTGCGAAAGCAGTCGGTTGACGGATATCCGTCTACTGACCACGTAGACACCTAATTAATTATCTTCTGCGACGTCTTACGTACAGTTTTATGACATCACTGTCTCCAAAATTAAAATCCTTGCATCTTCCTTGATCATAATTTTCCCTGAAGCCGGAGAATTTCGAGAACTACGTCACAATAGCGTATTTGGTCTCTTAATAATTTTCTAATAACCTCAGTTTCATTATTTTGTGAAATTAGTACATCTTTGTGAAGACATAATACCAAAATAAACTTCAAAGTACAAAATGTTTCTCAAACTTAAATACATCACATGAGCTTCAATTTCATGATACAATTTTATGAAGACATAATACCAAAGCCGGAGAATTTCGAGAACTACGTCACAATAGCGTATTTGGTCTCTTAATAATTTTCTAATAACCTCAGTTTCATTATTTTGTGAAATTAGTACATCTTTGTGAAGACATAATACCAAAATAAACTTCAAAGTACAAAATGTTTCTCAAACTTAAATATGTCACATGAGTTTCAATTTCATGAAGACATAATACCAAAATAAATTTCAAAATACAAAATGTTTCTCAAACTTACATATATCACATGAGTTTCAATTTCATGATTCAATTTCATGAAGACATAATACCAAAATAAACTTCAAAATACAAAATGTTTCTCAAACTTAAATATGTCACATGAGTTTCAATTTCATGAAGACATAACACCAAAATAAACTTCAAAGTACAAAATGTTTCTCAAACTTACATATATCACATGAGTTTCAATTTCATGATACAATTTCATGAAGACATAATACCAAAATAAACTTCAAAATACAAAATGTTTTTCAAACTTAAATATGTCACATGAGTTTCAATTTCATGATACAATTTCATGAAGACATAACACCAAAATAAACTTCAAAGTATAAAATGTTTCTCAAACTTAAATAAATCATGAGTTTCAATTTTATGATCCTCTTAATACCTTCCTAAGTTTTCTACCAATAAATTTGAAAGACTAGCAGGAAAAACAATGTCAGTTTCTTATAAATGACAAAAGATTAGAGTATTACGGACGATCGTTTGCAATTAATTAAATGTTGCGTTCATGTTCTTTATAATGCTATGATTAGCAATCATGCGGCCTTAAGGACCGCCGGCTCGTGATGATCCTTAATTTGCTTAGCCTCCAGACTAAGGCAGCCTCCAAATGGGGCAAGATTTAGCTTTCAGATAGGCCGATGTTATCGCGTTAACAATGTACGCGTCACTTCAGACAAAGTGTCTGCTTGTCACCACCGATAACAAGGTAAACTTTGTCATTATTGATTTTGCATCAACCCTGAATGTACAACGAAATTTCACGACCTCTTGGACATCTCTCCTCGGTATTGTTCTCGGGAATGATCGAAGCGTGACCACCAAGATACCGCAATCATACGGTCAGAAACATTCTATTTCTGAAACTGCTTCTAGCTGATTTAGCTCATGGAATAATCACGAACCCCGTTATCGTCCTGAAAGAAGCAGACTGAAAACAAGAAGAAATATAGACGTTTCTATATACCATAAACAAGATAATGGTACGTTCCAAGTTCAGCAATGCAAAAAATTCGGAGGCAATCATGATAGAGATAAACGTGAATTTTTATAATTGTGCGTAGGTAAAGATAGGGACTTGAAACTTTCCAATTTTGGAGTCCTTGCAATTTTACAATTTTATAATCGCTTTATGTCTTTAAGGTTTTGGGACTTTAAATTAGAAGAGTAGAATCTTGAACCTAGAACGGTATTAAAAGCGAGTGGATCGCATTTTTTTAAACGCATAAAAGCAGCCCTGATCTAATAGACGAGTTTCGTGACGATGAAATTCCTTGAACGACCCCGAAGGTTCTTCCACGGAAGACAATGTCCCAGGTCGGAGGGACAACTGGAACGCCGTGAGAGGGTGGGAGTGCGGAGAAGTAGCTCCTATATTAAATCATGGCGAGGCCACTTCCCAAACTCAGTCCTACGTTGAACGTTGGAGCACGCAAGAAACTCCTGCCCCCTTACTCTTCATCGATTTTTTGATTCCATCAAGCAACAAGTCGTCCTTCATCATAATTCTTTGAAAGATTTCTGGTGAACAGTGTCCGTCGTGTTCAAATTTTTCATTCAAAATAGAGGTACATTCAAACTTGCTTTTGGAGATGTTTCTTTGGTTCAAGTAATTAATGAACATTTTGTGATTGACAGAATTGTTGAAGTCTCTCGTTGAACAAAATAGAGGAGGGTGGTTCTGAAGTGTTTGAAGAAGGCTTGTGAATCACAGTTTTGGGCATGAAGTTATCAGGGTGGAGTTTTGTGTCGTACATCTTGATGGTTGTCTTCTTTCTGGCAGTTGCTACGAATGCGTATCCTGCCAGCAACCCGGAGATAGTAAGTACCTTCTTTCTTCTATTTCACTGTTTAGACAAGCTATACTCTTCTAAGCGTTTGTAACTTGGTCTTAGTCAAAGCTGAATCACTTAGTCAAAGTTGAATACATTTTTCACAATAATTACATTAGTTACATGGTACTCTTGAGTACTTTTACAATGTAATTTAATATAAGAATGCTAGATACTTAAGGTACATAATGTACTTTTAAACAACTGCAGATATAGCCACTTTGTTGTCATTAAATCTTTAACGCTTTGATAGCCATTCTCATATATGCATGATTCAGATGTGTAACTTTTTATGAACATTCATAAATAGTAATAAGCAATAATAAGTTTGTACATTATCAATTACTTATAACATACTAAATTATTACCTACTCATGTTATATTAAATAAACTGTATTTAGTATGGCTCATATTACTAATCTGAAGAATTAGTTTCAAAATGCTTTGACTAGTATAGCTTGCAACTTAGAATAGAGTTTTGGCATCCTCATCATTTTCGTGTCCCCTCAGGGTTGCAAAAGTTCAATTCTTCTACTTGAAAGTCCACGTTGAAAATGAGGTTCCCTCGTATTTCCTTTTTAAAGTGAATCTTCTATGAAACTCATCCACGTGTTGAAAGCAATGCGTGGGCAACGGGTAACATTAGGGCTTTGACTCGTAAACTCCAGGCTCCTCGTAGCGAATTAGGCACGTAACAGCAGAAAGAACGATAGAAGGAAGCGAGTCTAGAAAGATGCAAACGTGAGTCAGCCTGATAATTATACTCCACCGCGTATGAGTAGTCAGAAATCAGGTTGAACTTCTGGAAAAGAAGCAACATATCTTTATACTTTGTTTGTTTAGACTTGTTTTCAATCAAAAGTACAGAGTTAAAAAAAGAAATGTCAAGACCTTATCAAGGTCCCATACATTTTACTGATAGCATAAACGTAGTCGCGTACTCGACCATAAAATGTTATCGTCAGGTCGCGGGAGAGTTTGCATTAGTAAAAATGGGGCAAATAGATAGCGGAGAAAATGTACTACACGTGTTCATCGATAAACAACGTTTATATGACATAATTCGGTCATTGATATTTGATCATACATTTTCTCTCAAATATCTTGTTTATATGAAATCGCGAGTGGAGTCAATGAACATATAATTACCGCACTAAAAATAATATTAAACTGTATAATAATAATTATTAAATCCGTGATCATTCGTTCATCAGTTCGGAGCTTCGTGCTCACGGTATATCTTATTAAACTGTTATCGCGAAGAAAATTGTAGCAGCGAACGTTGTTTCCGGATAATTTAATTGCAATTAATCTCAGGAGGAAAGGTCATGATTCAGGGGACCGTTTTATAAGCGAAATGAGACTAAACACGGTGCGATTATTTTGTATACATGTTGCAACGATTATCTGTTTTTCATTAAACGTTTCCATGGAACTTAGTCTGATTCCAAAAGGACACAAGTGTTGTCCAGGTCAGCGAAGGGCAGATTGTCCACCGAAGTCACCTCTCATTTCTCATTTAATGTATTTTTATATATACACTGCAAATGGTTTTTAAGTTTTATTAAACATTGTCAATTATTTTTTTAAGATATATAACTTGCAGGCGATCGAGAACATGAGACAGATTCCGCAATGGCATTGTCTACGTTATAGAAAATTCGATCTAGTCCGTCGCTGTAGGAATTATCGTTTAGGAAGGAAACACTGACAAATACAATACCATCGCAGCCCTGGATGGATGACTACGATCAACAATAAATCACCTTACTACAAGTTCCATCGACCAGCTATTCTAAACGTTTTACTTCACGTGTTTAAATTGATCTGAAGAAAGCAAATTCAAGATGTAACCTGCTACGAAGATTCTTCTGTAGAGAACAATCTACAAAATTATAAAAAGCGATGTTCACGTAGATCTTAATTTAATTTTTTATACTTCATAGTATACCTTAAGACTGTACTCCTAAGACTAACATTTTACTTGTATATTTATTTATGATTTTTGTAAAAACAAATGTGAAAATCTTTTATGTAATTAACTATTTAAATTTCGTTTTAACAAAGAACTTAATAAAAATTAATATGTGTGTTACTAAGTTATTCGTTCTACTGGTACTTTGATGTATCATAGTTATTTATGACTGTATTGTACGAAGAGATGTATATAAATGTTGTTTGTTCTCGTTATAAAATGAGAATGCGTTATAAAATAAAGTTATTTTTTGTATCGCAAAAGTACCTTTAAATAAAGATCACTTACCTGGTGATGCTCTGATCTATTGAAGTATAAGCAAGTAATTTAAAATGCAACCGAGTTCACTTACTTCGTTCACCATTCCTTTTCCTAATACATTTAACTGTTCATGTATTAAAGGAGTAGTCGTTTCCTTGTCTGTTGTAACTTGGGCTGCTATTAGACTGCTGAACGCAGTTGCTGGTACGGATGCGTTTGTGGACAAAGTTTCCAGAGAAATAGATACTTCAGACTCTGGTTCCAGCGTTAACAACTCCTATCAATACATTTATTAATTTCGTATCGTTGATTTATTTTATATTTATGCATGGAATTACGTACTTGATTAGAATCTATAAAGAACAGTTGTGATCTTTGTTGCCATAGCCCGTACGATAAATCTCGCTTCCTCTGTAAGTGGGGTACGAAGGTAGCACCCAAAATACGGTTACCAGGTTCAATAATATCTTTTCTCGTATAAATAGGCATTGACTTTTGCGGTGTAAATACATATACTGAAATTAATGAATTAACAGATATACAAAAATGGAATCCAATATAATTTTTAAGGTTTAGAAGCTTACGCGAATTGTCAGTTGTAAAAACGGCCATATACGTAGATTTCGGATCCGCCGTTAAAGTTGCTACTTTTAGCGGTACACTCCATATTAACGTAAGGGACAAAATGTTCCAAACTGCAATATGCTGAGTGGAAGCTGTTACCACGAGATGACAGGCTTCTTGTTTTCCAAATTCAATTCGCCTGTTCATAAATGGACAATTATGTTACTGTCGTTTGTATAATTAATGTTGCTATCGCTCTGAGCAAGACTTACGTTATAGGATACTGATATTTACTGTGTGTAAGGCTACATTTAAATGTACAGGTATCGGGTGTCCACATTGTCACGCTAGAATCAAAACCAATACCAACTAATGAACCATCTACTGAAAATCCAGCATCCGTTACAGGCAAATTTCTATAATCTCCTATACTATGACATTGCCAATGTTTTGTTTTTTCTAGAACAAATATAATCTTGTAATTTAGTACTATAGTCCTTTGTCATTTTTGAATGAATAAAACTTTTGTACATACTATAAACAGAGGAAGGTTCAGCTAGCTGCCATAATTTGAATTTTTTGTCTCTACCAGTTGTAACCGCCATCGCTGCATCTTCACCAAATATATTTGGTTGAAAATGCAAGGCATTTATACCACCTTCATGAGGAAGTTCTATTGACGTGTTCAATGTGAACCTAGCAAGGCAATATAAAATTATTCACATCTGTATGCAAGAAAGATGAGCTTTATACTTACAATTGCTGTTTAGTGTCAAACATCCAAAACTTTAGTCTTACTTCTATACACGATGTTTTATCGTTTCGTTCTTCTACGGTCGCTAACCACGAACCATCGTGATTTAGAGCTATTTTTGTAACTTCCGTATTAACGATTATTACACTACGTTCTTGGGTTAAAAAGTTTTGTGCGGTAATGTTTATCTGAAAATAACATTGATATTGATATAGTAGTCTTAAAGAATAAAAATATTCATTTTATATTTACTATAACTTATATGATTACCTACATTATACAATAAACTTTTTGTATGGGTGTTATAAAACTGAACATGTCCAGTACGACTGTTTAACACAAGGCAGTTTGTACGTGGATCAACAATAAGACCAGCAGGAAATAGGTCTTTAGAAGATAAAGCTACACCCCATGTAAAATTCTGTATTACAGATGTTAACTTTCTTTGTGGATTTACAACTACAATGCCTGTAATTTTGACAAATAATATTATTATTAATGTGACACAGAAAATGTTCCAAGATTAGTAACATATTACATAATGCACATACCATTATCTAAAGTAGATACAGCAACATACAAATTATTTGGAGCAATAGTTAGATGTTTAATAGGTGCAGGTAACCGAGGTAGAAATGATTTTTGATGTGAATTTGCTAATACCCATTTTACAAGTACACATTCCCCACCTCCAGTATACATATGTGTACCTGTAAATTTTTATATGATTATAACTATTACCTAATTTAAGATGAGTAATAAAAGAATTATGTTTGTTACCCGATTTACTAAATGCTATCTCTGTAACTGGTAAAGTGTGCCAATGATACACAGCTGTACAAGGTCTGGTTTGAAACAAACCCCTCCATACTACAACACGGCCAGTTGAATCTCCTGTGGCAACACATTCTTCTTCTGGATGTCCAGCAATACATGTTGGTATTCTACCCGTTTTACCTGTTTTATGCCTATAATTATAAAATGAAGTAGAGTTTGCCCTCCTACTGAGTTTAAAATTCTTTTTATTAAATTGTGATACATACAATTTATCAGTAAGATTCCTTGATGGATTTAATATATGTAAATCTGCATCATGGAGAATAGCTATTAAATTATCTCCATGATTTCCTATTATATCAACATAATATTCAGGAAAATTAGTTCTGTAATAATAAAATTCAATTAAATACATATATGCCAATGAACATATTTTTCTATCCTGATGACAAAAAGTTTGACTTACAAGATACATGTAGACTTTGTACAAATTCCATTCTCTAAATCAAATAAAACTATATAAATTTCTGTTTTATTATTAGCTAGGTAAGTTACAAGTACTTGTCGTAACTCGTTCCCTTTGTGAGTTTTATAATTTACAATGTGAAAAGTTTTTATTTTCGGTTCTTCTTGAAATTTCAATTTCTGTGAAAACATTAACAATAATTATAGCACTGTTAAAAAGATTCAAGCAATCAATAATATAATCTTTTAATGTTAGAAAATATGTCCAATGTTCATACTAATTTTTTGGTGATAATTCCACTCTGGCAACTCCAAAAATTAAGCTCTCCATTTTCTGTACAAGTAATAATTTGATTAGGATTATCAGGGTGGATAATTAATCCTGCTATTCTATGACTTGCTGGTTCTAATTCTCTTACAAAATCCCCAGTTTGTGTACTATATGCTCTTATAACATGTTTCCATACTATGTACAATGTTCTGTAACAATACACATTAAATAATGAGACTATGCAAATATTAACGAATATCAATGAACAATCTCAGCAAAATGTATTTTTATACCAGAACTAATGGTAATTAATGTCAGTATTTAACAAATCATAGTAATATGTCTCACAGCATTTGAACAACAGCAAAACTTAATAAACTCTTTAATGAAAACTTACTCTCCATCATGAGAAAAAACTGGCCGTTGATCTATTATACTACCTCCTCCTTTTCTTGCAAGAACTAAATCATCAACATCTATCACTTCAATTTTTGAGGATCGGCGCCTTCTATTTAACTTCATTTGCATTTTGTCACTTAATTCGAGAAAACTTAATATTTCTGGTATATACAGTCGGTATCATATACTCCATATATTAACGATACCATATAATACAAAATTATACTTTAATTATATTTTGACAATTACACGTGGAGAACGTAAAATAACCAAACTAAACACCGACCACATGGTGCGTTCTTGGATCTAAACACTCGGACCAACCAACTTCATGTATCAATTGTGCAAGTATGTTGAATAAAATAACTAACACTAGCTGCAACTTCAAGCGCGAAGGTTATTTACCAAAAATGATATTGATACATTACCGACCAAGATATTTAGGAATTTGAAAATTTCTAAGTCTGTGGAAAATGAAGATTTGGGAATATGAGAGTTTATAAATTTAAAAATATTGAAATTTGGATTGTGCTATGTTGATAAGATACCGACAGCTTTAACTTGGTTGTAGTTCAACATCTCACCATAGATGCCGCGAACTGAGCGTTGATTTTTAAAAGGACCACTTTACATATAGACATAATTTGCTATTTAAATTTAATATAAAATGGATGGGAAATAAGTAGTACAAACAGGGAGAAGTTCAATTAAAGATTTTATTGAAATATAAGGAATCTGTACCAGACAGAACTAAAATTACCGTTGAATTTGGTACTACCGGGGTTCACATATCGTATATGCCTGCTTAAGCGCTGGGTTATCTTTCTTTCTCTCTGTGTGTTTATCGTATAAGTAGTCTGAATATCTATAAGTACAGAAACAATGTCGAAGGTACGCGCACAGTCTATCTCAAATAATTCTAAAGCTAAAAGGATCTCCTCTAGACTTGCAGTTGCAATTTAATTACATTTACAACTTAAAAGGGGGATTTTCGCATTTCTGTTCTATTTACACAAATTTATTACTGAAACGTCTAAAGCTACGCGATTTTTCACCTCGTGTTTCGTTATATATATATGTATATATAACGTAAGTTTCCACTATTTACAATTTTTACAGAATATCTTCTTGTCAATATACACAGTGATACATTACAACAATTTAAACGTTTATTGAAATCCTGTGCAACTTCTTCTTTGCAAGGAATCGTGATCTAATTGTACACAAATAGCCCCATTTTTTTTTTTTTTTTTGTTAAAAAAGATAAATCATCTATCGCTCTGCTCTTTTCGAAAATCTATACAAAAAACATTGAACAATTTTTGGAAGTATCGCTTTTCTCACAACGAGTAACGATTTCTCAATGTGTAACGTATAACTGAATCGAAAAATAAAACAAAAAGAACCGTTCGAACGGGGACGCATTGCGTACATTATCTAAGAAATATACTCTATACTAAGAATGTAAAAACCTAAAAACTTTTATATTAGTTACAATAAATAAGCAACGTATATGCGTTTCTTCCTTTAAGTTTTACGCTTACATTATTTCACTATATCACGGATTTACTGGTTCTTGAAAGGTGTGCACACGCGAAACTGTACGGTGCGAAGTCGTTTAAAATTATTAAAAAACAAAAGATACGATGCTCGAGTCAGCGATGTTTCTTACATTAGAATTTACTTGTACTCGATTGTTTCTACTAAACATGATCGCTCGGAATAGGAACATGTTATTCGGTTAATACGATTCATCTTAAGAAATGAAGTTATGCTGCTGTATCGGGATATGCATAAACGTTTATCGAATACGACATTGGAATTGAATCGCGCGCAAAATATTATGTGCTTAAGTCAGTCCTTAAACTCGAATGAAAACGAAAACACATTTGACGGTAAAAAAGAAAATGCAACAGCTAACATCATTAAACAACACGAAATCGATATGTAACGAGAATCAATAATATAGAACGCATTACAAAATCATTGTGTACAGTCAGGGCCGGCATAAACATTTGCGGAACTGGGTTTCAAAACTATATAGAATTGTTTTTCATTTCTGAAATTTAAAATTTGAAAGTTTTCATTCAATATGTAGCCAATTTCAACAATTCTTCGCTGTAATAATTTCCTCTGTGATAATATAACAGAATTTTACTGTAATATAGTCTTAAGCTCTGAACCCGTCTCGCGTCGACCCTGCGTACAATGTTGTTTATAACAAATATACATAATTGTTTTTTTTCTTAAACTGTGCATTGACCTGTGCGATACTACAACAACCGAAAATAAATGAACATGAACGTGTGTTTTCTAAACGAATCTAAAATCTACGGAACGAATGATACACCTTTTTGTGACATGATATTATTCTACGTAAAAAAAAAGTAAACGAATAAAGTAATATTTACCGGTAAATACAATAATAATATCATTAATGCTGAGAAATACGTTGTCAAGATAGTATCTTAGTTTCGTTCTATACTTGAAAACTGTTCACTTCCTTTTTTTCAATCTTTTTAAATAGCTTCTACGAAGCCGCTTCGATACTCTAAAAACGAATTAGAAAAATATTTCTTTCCAGATCTGTACTATTTTATCATAGTAAAATTTCAAATTAACTAATTTACACACCGTGTCTCCTTTGCACAATTCTAAATAGAAGCGGAAATGCAATTATCGAGAAAAATGTCTTATTCTCAAAAAGGTTGTATCAGATCTTTAGTACAGAATCGTGTACGTCTATCAAGCGTTTTTAAAATGTACAAACGTGTATATCACAACGCGTGATCGTGACTCGTGACGTATCGTTCTCGTGCAACGCGGTAGTCTTTCTATCATTGATCGCTGATTTACACGTGTTTCTGTTCAACAACTAAACTGACCATTTTCAATTTGTTTCATTACAATCAAATCATTCGTTTCTTTTAAAAAGTTCTTAGAACTTCGAATTCGGAACGTATGATTGCCGGAAACTTTTATAATTATTACATTGTTCCATCCGCTACATTCAATCAAACACGTTCTTCCTATGGATGTACATGTGACCGGACATGTTGATTAGTCGAGCATCGGGACGAATTCGGAATAATTCGGACTAAATCGGGCACGACCTCGAAGATATTTTTCTTTGTATGACCCCTCGGGATTTGGAAAATTTGAAGTCTAATATTTCCGAATTGCTGTCCGATCTTGTCCGAATGTTTTCGAATCCGACCAGGATCCACAATCTCGAGTACATCCCTAGTTCTCCCAAAAATGATTTCATAGATTCGATACCGTCAATATTATCCTCGACTTAACACTGAACGTGTGAAAATAATTTATATTTACAAAATTGTTGTTTTCAATATTAGAATTCACAGTAGAACGTCTCTATCAGAAGATCATTAATAGATATCGCTTTTAGGATCCCTTTCCCGGAAGAATCCTTTCTCAGTCTTGCACTCCCTGATGGTAACGGTTTTAAGATTCACCGTGACGTCTGTGATGAACACCTGATCGGCGACTGGATTCCTTGCGTGCCAGTAATCCGTACCAGGGCTGGAGAGGGGGACATACACGTCTGACTTGGTGATCTCCGTTTGCTTCACGTTCGTCGTGTTATTATTATTATTATTATTGTTATTATTATTATTGTTGTTGTTGTTATTATTATTGTTGTTATTGTTATGACTGTTGTTATTATTATGACTATGGTGTCCATTCACAACGGTCGGTAACCTATTGTTATTGGTGTAAGAGTCTGTAGGACTGGGTGATTTGTGACCGTTCGTGTCTATCGTCACAGCACCGTTCGACTTCTCTTGTTTTTGTTCCGGTAAATGTTGCTTCTTCTTAGTAGGCTGTTCTAGGGGTGTGTCTATCTGAGGAGACAAAGGTGCTGGTGGTGCACGAGGCAACGAGGGTGGAGGTCCGTGAGGCACGTCAGCTTCTGCTCGCTTTTTTTCTTGCACAGCTGGAGCTGGCGTTGTCGGCACTGCTGGTAGCGGTTCCTCCGGTGTGGATTTCACGCTCGACGATGATGGCCTCCTACCGTTAAGTTTGTGGCTCTGAAATGCATTTGGAATAGTCTTATTATTCTGTAAACATTTCTTTTCTGCTTAAATATTGTACATGCATTAACACATGCGTGTTAACCTTCATGATACATACGTGGCAAGAAGGCGACGTTAGATTGCTATTTAAAGGTAACAGTCGAGGGATTTTGTTCGGTGGTGGACTTCCGCTACCGCTGCTTGGACTGCTTGTAGTAATGGTAACACCGATTTTTCCAGATTCTTTGCTGAGAACTTCAGCTTTCCTCTTCGTGCCCGTTGGTTCTCTCCTCGGCAACAAGGGGCTGTCCACGCTGCTGTTGGAACTGTCCGAATCGACGCTGAAGTTGGACGCAGACAATTCTGGGGCTGTCGGCGATTCGTGTCCATCGAGGGAACTCGGAAGCGTGTCTTCGTCAGGTGCAACGGGATTCAACCGACGAGCTGAGGTACTACCTGTAGTTAGGGCTATTGGTTTGGACCGGGTACATGAGACACCCGGGTATCCGGGTTATCGTGGGATACAGACGTTGTTCGATAAGTAGCTGCCATATAAGTAACCGATAGGGACGCATCGAGTAAGTCGCCGCCATATAAATAGCCGATAGAAATATACCGTACGTTTAACTCGCATATCTTTCATCACGGAAAGTCCAATTACATCATTATAATATTTCATTACTGTTTCAATGATTTAAAATACTTTCAATTATAATAAAGTAAATTTTATAATACGTATAAGAAGATAAAGTTACAAAAATATACGACAAATATAAAGAAAACAAAGTTAGATTTGTGCATAAGAATGTAAAGAATATGAAATACTGTTGAATATTTATAAACTGACGTTTTAATCATAAAAAGGCGGATCTTCATCATTCTTTATCAGTTAAAAATATAGCTTATCTTAATTACCAGAGTTACTCTATATTTTGTAATGTATAAATAAAATAATTAAACGAATTGAATTGTTGATTCTTTTGTATGATTTTATTCCTATTATTCATTACATTCTTACATAGGTCGATTCCTTGGAACATTATACATAAAAAAAAGTATTAAGGTCTGGAGTCAATTCGTCAGATATGGAACATATTTTATATAAAATATCTTTACTTTTTGATTTTAAGTGCACGTACGTTTAATATTACTGCTAACCTTTTACCACGCAAAATGTTCCGAAATGCGATTTATGTAACAAAAGCAATATTTCTAATCCATTTAAAAATGCAATTAATTTTAAAATTCCCCTCACCAATCAAAGCATTTAAAAGACAATTAACCTTGGAAGATCCCTCACCAAAGAGAAATTATTGATGCTATCTATCTAATGGCCCCTCTGATACTACATAACTTTCTTCATATCTTTAAAAATGACGAAGATAATTAAGATAATACAAAAATTATTGCAACAGCGTGCATATAATTGGTTGCTCGATAAGTAGCCAATTCCTGGAAAAACCCGCCTCTCTATTCCCGAATTCGGCTATTTATCGAACATCTGTATAGGAATAGACCTATCATCTCATGGTATCCTATCTCACGTTCTGAAATACCGATGTCGCTCTAAATCTTTCTCGTAGTCTTTAGGAACTACATTAGTCCAACATTGCTGAGAATAATTAGGTAATAAATTTGGACAAATCTCAACTCAGAGATTGTGCATTTCCTTAAGTGAGCGTGGAGGCAAACAGGATAATCAAATATCCCAATTTCCAACTTTCTCAATTGGGTCATGCTTAGTTCAAAATTTCCTCTACGCTCACTTACAGAATGTTATTCGAATAATAGTAAGAATTTTTAATTGCAACGCGAGACAAAAAACGCAGAGATGATGGATCTGTCCTATACTTCGTCTGTGTCACGGGTACCTGTGCCGGGTGATTTTCTACCCGGTTATCTCACAGGTACCCGCGTACCCGGGTGTCTTATAAGTTGTCAGCTCTACCTGTGGTCGACTCATCTTGACTATCTTCCCCGACTCTTTCATCTCCACCGGGTTCTTCCTCAACCACCAAATTCTCCAACACTTGTTCCTGTGTATTCAAAAATTGTTTAAATTTTATGTTACTAAGTACTGCTTCCTTGTTATTAACATTCAGAGCCATGTTAGCCATATCTGCATGATATGAGAACCAATAAAAAGATGTTAGAGAAAATATTTACCAGTGACTGGCTACGCATTGAAGCTTTAATATTAAAAATTTGCATTCTTGAAAATTTAAAGTTCATAATATTCATTGTTAATTAGATATAAATATTTACACTGTATCTGGTATCCCTCCGCCTGGGTCTCCTTGTGGGTACTGAAGCTACTGTTACATCCCCGCCATTTTTTTGATTTTCTTCGTACAATTCAATCAACCTGACATCTAGAATGTTCTCTTCCGGTTCCCACGTGTTGTATCTGTTAGAAAAACGTTGGAAATTAAATTCGTGACCCATTCAAGTAAAACTGAGTATTTCGATCTACTGTTATCTTTCACTTACTTTTTACTCCATCCTTTCCATTTTACGAAGTATTCTACCTTACCCTGCAACGAAAATAATCGAAATTTACTTACAAGAATTGTTTACATTTATAAAAGTCTTAACAGAATTTAATAATCTATTCTTAAAATTACACCCCATTTAATATTTTAAATAATTTCAAAATTCATCTTTTATACGTTTACGTAAAAGTTACTTGAAAATCGGTAGAATGGTAATCTACATTATCATTCTTCTGCAAGATCGATTTTTAGTACATTTTTGACAAATAAATTATTATCAACTTTTATTCACAGCTTGTGCCACAAATCATATTTTACAGATATGAAATAGATTACACTGACAATCGTATCGCTCCATCTACAAATTCATCCCTCTACTTCCGGCGCGAGACACGTAAAGATGGCGAAAGAATTCGAACACCTGTTCGAAATACAGAAGATTCTCGTAACGCTTCACGAATTGCACAACGTGAATTGCACTGTTCCTAGACCTGCAGATGCATGTGACATAGATACCAAGGAATCAAGATAACGAAAACCCGGTCTATCTACCGAAGACTCGAATTGTATGGGTACACATGCGTGGTAGGTAAGTTGGTAGATAAAATGCCATATGGAGAAAATCAAATTTTTTACGGCTATACAATTACGTGGAATACTGCGTCGTACAGTTTTGCTGAGATTTTCTAGAATAAACGACGTTAAAATTTCCTCCGAGTGTTTTATCATCCAAATTCAAATTTCGCGGGAAATGCGACTTATACCTGTCGATGATTTGACAGCTCTCGTAAACTAAAGAAGATAGGTCAAAATAATAGGGAAGATAACTGTAGTAAAAGATGAAATACAATTTTAGATAGAATAGAACCATGGAATACTTTAAAAGTGTTTTATTTTTACGACGTTTACGTTAACAATAGTGAAGATAATTAAGGTAATTGAACGAATGAATGGATGACGTTATTCATATTTACCTAAACTACAAATCGAACATAACTTTATTCGTACTCAAATTTGAAATTTACTCTATCGTAACTTCAAATCAGAATAATCACTCGACAGCGTCAAAAACAATGACAATTTACATGCTCAGCCCTCTATGGTTTAGTCGCAACTCTCGTTCGTTTTAACGATATTGCAACATTATCGACATATCGATATGTATCGATATCAGCACCTCTACTTTCATCGTAGACCCAGTACAATCATGAACGGACGAGAAAGAATGTTGGCGCCAGTTAGTTAAGAGCCACGACGTCAAAATATAGCCGGTGATCGCAAAGATCCGTTTCGCGCGTCTGCGTCAAACAGCGGATTTTCGAATCCATCTAACACAGCCGTACGGTCGATAAAACGGGCGGCGTTGACTTCCACGAGAGCCGCCTCGTACAGCTCACCTATTGGCCGTCGGCCAACGAACGAAAGCGTGCCGACCGGTCGAGGTGCGCAGCCAGTGTGACAGTTGGAAAACAATGACATAACTGTGCAGGTATAGGACACACGTTGGTTTAATAGCGCATGAGCCGGTCGCAGCTGACAAGTTTCGCGTGTTTTATGTCGATTTACAACGTTGCCAGCCTCTCGACACGCGTCGTTACCCAGCGTTTCGATGTGGAGGTGCTGCTATTGATTATCGATAAATTATCGATACGTTATTGATGCTTACCGATATATCGCTAACTGCGTGATTCAGGTAGAATGTAACACAAATTTTTCTTGTCCTCTGAATTTCAAGACAAATCTAACTCAATCAAACTGTCCTGACATACAATTGTATCATTAAAATCTTTTTATTTGTATTTAAATGGTGAATCTAGAAATATGGAAATGAAACGTGAGTTTGAATTATAAACATGGAGGGGGAATTTGAGAGGGGGCCTTAGACGATGTCCAAATTTGATTGGTTATTTGCCTGCGCATGTTCTGTACCGCCAATTACGAGAAACTGTTTAGTTTCTCACACCGTTGATTAATATTGACCTTAAAATAACTATCGAAGAAATGATTGCTGTTTTATGATGCCAGATTATTTCAGAGATTTGTACATTTTTTATTGAGATTTCAAAATTTTCTAAATTACAAATCTAATGTTATATTTGACAAGTTTTCTTACTTGCTCTAACGATATTTTAATATTATCGATATATGTGTCGAATTCGATGATCACCGGCACGCGGTGGAGACGCGTCAACTTTTGTGTGTCAAACATTTGGAAAGTTGTTCGTTCGAAGAATTATCGATGAATTTGTAGAAGAAACAGTAGACGAGACAAAGTCGTAGAAGTTGGTAAAATAGGAAAAAAATACGTGAGTTTTAAACGTGACTGTTCGTGTTTGACGAGAGATATCGAGAGCATCGTATACGATAGAAATCGCAACGGGAGGGGCAGCAGAATCGTCGGAACGCTAGTGGGAAAGAGAAAGATAGCGAAGGGTGGGGAGTAAACGGCAACGGCGCATAGACAAACAGATTCCGTGTAGTGGCGCTACCTGACGGTGACGGTAGGCAGTTCTCTTACTTACCCGCTTTTCCCTCTTCTTCATAATCCGTTCCGCGGCATAAACTCTGTCACCTAGATCCATGATGTTTTTAATCCTTGTTCGACAGACGCGTACAAAAGCAGTAAATATATCCAAGAAGCGTGCGATGCGTGTCACGTAGAAACGATATCGAATAACGTAACACCATATGTACCGACACTGACTTTAGGCAGAACTTTAGCTCCAATTGAATCGAGATGACGTACGTAAACACAAGGAAAGAAACCGTGACGAGTGTCGTATCACCAAAGGAAACGTAGCTCTGATTTCACAGAATTCGTAGAGCACTGTCGGTGTATCAACGGTGAAAGACACAGCACGTGAAATATGACCACGTGTTATATTTTCGTGTTTAAATAGCGATCAATTCGATCGCATTCTCGACGCGTAAAACATTTTCGTATCGAGTCATGTGAAGCAAGCTGCGGCACGTGTTGTCTCGTATACGAGAACACTCGGCATCGCTCGATGTTTTCCGCACTGATCGGCGTCGACCGACGGTGATTAGAGTGGCTGCTATTTCAGCGGCGAGGCGGCAATGCGGCCGATGTTTTTTGAAAGGCCAGTAGTCGCGGCAAGACCGACGAACACGAGCGAAGTCGGAGTACACGCACGTCCCATCGGGAAGGGAATTTTAGGCGGCACAGTTAGCGCGCCGCGAATTTCTTCCTCGTGTGTTCGGCCGCACGATAATCCCGCGTACGTATACCGGTCGAGCACGACGTTCTCGCTCGACCACGTTTCGTTTTCTTTCTCGTATCGGTGCTAATGGACTCGTTGGTGTCTGTGTTGGCCGGCAACACGTTTTCTGCTTCTGCTGGTGCTGCTACTCCCTTCGTGTAAGATCGGGCTTCGTGACGTCAGCAGTTCCCCCTCACCTCGTAAACACCAAACATGGCCGTCGTACGGATATACGCTGGTCGAGTGCGTCCCAAACTGACGGTGAAAACTGACGTTGATACAGGCACTGGCGACCCGTGGACACACGAACGGAACGCGGTGAGACGTTATCGAGCCTCGTGAATACCGGACAGCTTCTTCGTGTACGAATATACGAAAATCGGAACGATCGAGCCACAGCGTCTAGCACATTCTGCGGATCGAGGCCGACTAGAGCCGAGGTCTGCCGAACTCCCCTCGCAGGCTTAGTGGACTCGCCCGACCCGCTCGAGGTTAGGAGGGGAGGGGGTAAAACGGTAGAGAAAGAGTATCGAAGGGGAAGGGAGAAGTTCTCAACGGTACGTGCGCCGCACACGCGAGAGAGAGAAAGAGAGAGAAAGCGAAAGAAGGAGAGTGACCGGGACGAGGAGGGTAGGGAGAAAAGGGAGAGAAGAGCAAGCGCAATGGAGGTAGAAAAGAGAGACGGCGCGACCAGGAGCGCCGTCCTCGGAACAAGAAAGCTGCCTGCCTGCCTGCCTGCTAGCCAGCCACCCCAAGTTCCCTTCTAGGTACGTGTATCCGTGTATTTGTGTGAGAGAGACCAGTCGATGCGATGTTGCCAACTCTATTTCATCGATAGTACCGCTCCAAATGTCACTGGCGTATTACCGATAAACTCGACGATCCACTATGTCGTCGTAACGTTCACGATTTACCGTTACGAACCGAACGCATCGAATGCCGTGTCTATTCACGTGTACACTCACGATTTTTAACGGGAAAGTTCGCGAATCGAGGTACCGTGTATTCGCGCCCACGATATGACAACACTGTATCCTCTTGCGACGTACTGTCACATACTACCACAACACACTGGCGCACGGCATCAACGATGCTTTTTAACGGTAAACAGACGCTACGAACGAGTTATCCGGCGAAATCACGAATTTTCTAACACGCTAGAGACCGTATCGAACGAGAACGACGTAGGATAAAGCGCGTCGCAGTATACGGGCGGCGCTGTTCGTGAAAACGTGTGCAACCTCAACGGATCCCGAAACGAGAGTGTCCTCTCCCGTGGCGACGAAACACGCAGGGAGAACGAAGGAAAAGGAGAGGGATAGAGAACGAGCGAGAGAGCTAGATGGGGAGCCTGCTCTTCTCCGTCCTTCGGCGTAAATAGCAGGATAAAAAAGCCACGACGGTGGCGCTCGATTGGCGGGATTCGCGAGGCGCCACCG